TTTTTATTATTCGTCCACCCCCCCCCCCCCCCCCTATCAAAGCGCTACTCGTCACAAAAGTCCTATGTCCACCACTTCAGATAGTCTTAAATAAACTATATTTCTCTTTTCAATCATATGAATATCCCATTCAAAACCACAGCTATGATTTTTTATTCATTTTATCAATCCAGATGGAACTAATAGAAGTGACAGTTGTTCATTGTGATTTTCTCGACGATTGAGAATTTCATCATGAGCAAGCTGTGTGTTCTGATTGTATGTCTAGAGACTTTCAATTCGTCATTCGCCTATTCCCATGATTTAATCTGAAGTGAAGGTCACTTACTTGTCGTACTTATCGTAGTTGTTGTTGCGGTAGTTGCCGTTGTCGTTGTCGTTGTCGTTGCCGTCGTTGTTGTTGTCGTGGTCGTGGTCGTAGTTGTTGTTGTTGTTGTAGTAGTCGTCGTCGTCGTTGTTGTCGTCGTTGTGGTAGTAGTTGTTGTTGTTGTGGTCGTTGTAGTTGTGGTCGTTGTTGTTGTTGTACTGGTCGTGCTGGTTGTTGAAGTACTTGTCGTACTAGTTGTTGAGGTGCTTGTTGTAGTTGTCGTTGTCGTTCCTATGATATTTCAAATTTAGCGTCTTAAATAAATTGTTAAAGATGCGTATCAAGGTTGAGTACGAGACAGAGACTCAATCGTTCAGAAGAATATAACATGTTCTTATTATCGCTAAGTTTATCTAAATAATTAAATAACGGCTTTATTCGTTCGAGAGACGTGGGTGTGGGTGAGTATTCTCATTAGGAAAACCGCCATCCACACCCACACACCCTCGAGAATCCAGCAAAATACGTTTCCGGACTGTTTTCGAATACCTTCAAGAGATTTTTTGGAACGAAAAACTGGGTTTCCGAACACCCTGTCCTTTTCTTCATGTCCAGAGATCGTAAAAAAGAAATAAGACGAAATGTCACGTTCTCAACGAAACATCACGCAGAAAACCTGACAAAATATGTACTATAGAGATCTCAACGATTATTACACGATTTGCTGTTCTCGAGTTCATCGCATAACAAAATATGAACTTTGCCTGCGGAATTCGAGAAAGAAAAATAAATCTTAAACGATCGTTATATAGTGTTTTGCTCTTTAATAAGACTCGGATTCGACTCTCGATAATTATTGAGTTAGATATGTTAATGGAAATTTAACGGCAGAGAAATAAATGATGAGATTCTGATCAGTAGTTCTATATTTGAATCCTACAAAAGAATAGTTAAGCTCTTTAAACACTATCGATTAGAAAAATACTTGTCTATATTAAAGATCATTTGATTATTTCGATAGTCATTAGTTTATATTCTGGAAAAAGAGAAAGTATAAAGTTGATTTCTCGAAGATTGTTTTGGCGAGAAGTAAAAAATTATTTGCAGTAGTTGAAAATAAGAGATGAAATTTGCATAGAATTTGTTGATAGAATAGAATATTAAGTACTGACCTTGAAGACTGAAATAAAGTACTGGTCCAACGATTCCTCCAACCAAAATGAGCAGAATCAAAGCAACAAGGGCAATTATGAGCCATAGTGGTATCCGTCGTAATCTGTTTACTCTAATCAAAGAACAACTGTTGACTATATCAACGATCAAAGAAAGTAAGAATACTCAGTGTTTGTTGATGCGTCCGGCACTGAATCTAAATTGATATTGATATTTTCCTGCTTAACTGATTTTTTCGTTTGATCGGAATGAATATTTCTTTTATTGAAATTATTGTCATTGTTGTTTGTCGAAGAATTTTGTGGAAACTAAACAAAATAAATTTGATAATGAAAAGAAAAATCTAAATTTGTTGAATAAATCAATACATCTGGAACACTCAACAATGGAATATGCCTAGTTATATCAGCAATCGTTCCGTGTTTGTTCCATTGTCTTGCAAATGAATTTGTTTGGCAGTTAATATATTGCCTGGTGTTCTTCTCATAAAGATGCTTCCTTTCAAATGATTCGATGAAATATTTTGTTTTCACAAGAGAGAAAAGAGAATTTTGTTTATTTTGTTAAGCTAATGCACAAATTGATTTCATATATATACCGGAGGAGTTTTCTTGACTAAATCATTTCAAGATGAAAGTCATTTAGTAAAAATATAATTGATTTCAATTTAATCTTCAAAGTGCAAAACTGAAAAAGTCCAGTCATTTCACTTAAAAATGATTTTAAAGAAGAAAAATAATCTTTACCTTTTTTTAATGACTAAACATTCTTTGCATTGTTTTCTTCCAACAATTATATATATATATATATTTATGTATAAATTTAAGTATTGATATTTATCAAATGAGTATATAGATATACGTATTTACATATGAAAAATGTAGAATGACAGAGAACTTTTTCTTTTCTTTTCAAGGATGATGTTTAATGATCTGGAATGTGTTCATTACGTCCAAGAGTACGTTCTTAGGCATTCCACTACAGAACATGATAGAACCCGATCTCTTATAAATGAAACTCAATCCTGGTTGTTCCCAAATAGAATGAAAAGAGAACCATTCGGGTAGTGGATGGAACGGCTTAGATGGCTTTCTATTCTAATAAAGAAAGATTTTTGAGGATGTGGGTGTGGGTGGGAGTGAATGACAGACGTACTACCTCATCCACACCCTTCTCTGAGATCTATAGCAGAGTTTGAAAAGAAGAGCTCATTGTTAAAATGAAGCAAATTGATGAGCAAATGAAAATTCCATTGAAAGCATTTATATTTTACAGATGGATGTTTGAATGACTAGTATCCTTAAATAATCCCCTTTTTGATTCCCACAAAACTAGCTGATTTAAGCTAGATGTGTAATTAATGCTTTATGATTTCTCTAGTTCGGTCTAGTATATAATGATTTGAGGAAATTCAGCACTTCACATTTTCCTTTAGTGATTTTGCATAATGCACCCTTTCGAAAGTGAGCGCTTCACAATGATGGTGATAAGGATAGATATATTTTGTGTATATTTAAGATCTTATCAGGAGTATCTATTAACGGTATTCTTTATGCATTTCGTATTTTGCTGAAACGGCTAGTCGTTCACCTGCCTGTATTGTTGTTTCATTGCTTAAGAAGAAATAACATAAAACAAGTTTGGTTTGTTGCAATATTACACCATAATTCATTTCATGAGGCATTTCTACGTACTCCATGACGTAGATGATGTTTAAACTCTAGGCTATTGGATATGTTTCACGAAAATCTCTGGTTTATACCAAGTATGTCAGCAGTTTCTTGCAAAAATTAAGATTTTAGTCAGGTTTATCGGCTATAATTCTCTTTAACCAAATAGTCACCACCTGATAAATTGTATAAGTACTTGGGAATCTTTTCTTATTCCGCTTAAAATTGTACAAACTCCTATAAAGGTTCAAATAAATCAAAAATCAGTCGCTGCTGAAACTGACTGTTGATGCCCGTGAGTTGTAAAATTCATTTTGTTTTAATCTTACAAATTTTTAAGAAAGTGAAGATTGAATCATGCAACATTTGAATGGACCGCCCGGCTTTCTCTCTTACAAGATTTTATCTTTCTATAAAAGCAACCAAATGGGACATATACTTTGCGACTATTCAATTCATTATTTTCACTTAACGGCTGTTTTCTTCTTTTTCTCATTCCTCTCCTGCGTTTTTTTTCTTTTCTTTGGACTCACATTCACACTTTGCGACGCTTTTATTTTTCATCTCTTTTGTGTATTCCCATGTATACGTTGAGGATGAAGTTGGTGTTTTTCTAGTAAAACTAGAACGGTTATGACAAAATGACCATTGATGTTGTGACTAGACGAATACGACTTTTTTCTATAACATACTTTTCTATCGATGTATTAGATCTGAATTAAAAATTTGCTCATTCGTTTGATGAAAAATGATGCTCAAAGTGAAATACGTGTATAACAAAATTCTTACATTAGCAAGCATATTTTCTCTATTTAGCTACTAGTATCTACATAGTTGGAACATGAATTTATGATCGAAAGTGATGAAGGTCAAGAACAACTGGATGAAGCAAAAGCAACACATGATCAAAGTTTAATCCTGAAGCTCGAAAATAGACAAAAACATCTTGAAGGATTTCAATATTGAACAGGATAGGAGATAAATCGAGTTGCAAATCGCAGGATTCGTATGAAAATATCCTAAAGTATTTAAATTAAGTAAAGTTGTAGTATGGAATAATAACGTCCCAGGTCGAGCAAACACCGCCGTTTACGGCTGGATAGGGAATCTGTGGACCTTGGCCTGGGTGTTTGAATAAAAAGATAAATGACCATTATAACTCTCATTAAAAGCTATGAAGAACGGCGAGATTAAGATCATCCATGAAGAAGACAGAGTCCTTTCATTACTTGCCGTTTTTCATCGGAAATGGTGCCAAACGACGCCATTAACGTTCCGGGGGAAAACAGCCCATAATCCTGGCTGACGGAATGCAACTTTAAAAGGATGAGCGATTTTCGCCATTTTAAGCAGTTTGATGCCGTCTTTCAGATGGTCAGAATGATGGATCCGGCTTCATTGGAGTCACCATGACTCATATCGGTGATGCAACGGAGAGGCCTAAATATAATCTACTCAAGTTACCAAGTATGAAAACATATATTGATAATTGATAATGACATTTTTAATTTCTTCCTTGCTACCTCTTTTTTTCGATCGTATTTTCATGTAAATTTACTCTGTGTTAGAACTTATTATGTGTTTTTCGTCCCTAATTCTTCTATACTTGTATTGGGTCCATTGTTGCGATAAACTTCAACTTGATGAAAAAGCATCAAATAAAACTACGTGAAAAATCATCTGTTACTATTATCGTTGTTGTTCATCTCAGATCGATCAAGAAAATAGAAAGGACTATGGGATATTTATTTATTAGTTCATTATTATGCAAAAGCAAATCTTTTTTGCTGAAGAGTTTTTGTTAACAAATTGATATAATCACTTAAATAATATCTTAGCACGAAGAGAAATTAATTGCAGAAAATATTGAAGTTCTTTGTTGGTAATTTTTAACAAACTTCTATATTATTTTATTGTCTAGGAATAGAGTAAATGCATAACCAAGTTAAACCTGATGTTTTAAATAAAATAGATGTTTTAATAGATGCATTATTAGTTTCTAAACAAGGAATCAAAATATGAGTAGTAACACCTGGAAACTCATAGAAAACATGAATTAAAGCATCCATTTTCCGTAATTTTACTGCGGTATCATCAGCACCATACTAGTTGGAATAGGACGACGAACAGATTCAACCATTCCAAATGTTAAACCTGATACACAATAAATTGGTATAATAATATTAGTGCGATAATTACCATATGACTATAGAATCATTTTCATTTTCATGTTCAAGTTTAAAGTCTTTTGGTTCTATACGTCCATCAGTTGAAAAATCAAAAATCGTCAAAATAGCGGCTGATAATGCAATATATGGATCTTATAATTAAAATAACTTGACATCCTTGATTAACAATAATAATTAATCAGAAGTCAATTATATGTTTTCCTTTTGTTACTTCTTCAGTGACTTAAAGTTACAGGTGTTCCTTGCCACTTGAAATGACGTAATTGCAGATGAAATTAAACTTACTAACTCATATCAGTCTGAAGTCAATGAGATCGATTTATCTTTTGCTCCCTAAGTGAGATGAACGAAAATAAATGTTCTTATGAATATAACTCTGCTCTTATATTACTAGATGCAATCAGATTTCAAAAGAGATCATGTTAATGAACCACCGAAATCTTTGTTCACATTCTAAACTGTCCATGTTGAACTCGGTAGAGCAAAGGCTATGTTAGATTTCGAAAGTGTTAGATACATGTCCGTATTTTTTGCCTCAAATAAATTACATAATTTCATTAACACAGTCAAAAGAAAGCAGCAACAGTCTTGTCATCAAATTGATGCATACCTATCAACAGTTTCAACCAGTACGTATCATCACCGTACTGCTATGGTGATAATAAATTAGTCAACGCGATACAATGAAACTAGGACCATGTCATCAGATATTCAAGATTTCAAGAATATGTTGTCTATAGTTTAAATGAACTAGACAGATTTCATACAAACTCAACGATATTTATAATTTATTTATTGATCATCTATTCTCTAAATCAACTATCGTTCTAGGCAGTATATTTTCATAGGACGATAGTTGATAAGCGTCGACAGAGGATTCATAGTAATAACCTTTACCATGTCTTCTTCTTCTTCGTCTTCTTATCATTACTTTTGTTCTTTTTTTTGCGAACAGCTGGTTACAACGCATCTTCATTCGTAGTTTAAGACCATTTTACCCTTGTGTGGTAAATCTTCTTTTTTTTACGATTATTTTTTAGATAGGTTTTATCAATGCCTATAATGGATCCAGAAACTCGACCAGAAATTGCTCGATTACCTACTCAGCCTGTAATACGAACTATCGAAAAACAAATTGCTTTATTTGTGTTTGTTTAGATTTCTTCTCAAGATCGTTATGAAATACCAGATAATTTTTTAGAAATTGAAGTTGTAAATCCCACAACTCATGGTCTAGCTGGTAGACGATACACTGATTATGAAGTTCGAATGAAAGTAATATTAATTAGGTTTTTTTGTCGTTTATTTGAAAATAATTGTATTATTTATTTTAGACTAATTTACCTGTCTTTCGATTAAAAGATTGTTCTGTACGTCGTCGTTATTCAGACTTTGATTGGTTGCGCAAAGAACTTGAACGGGATAGTAAAGTACAACGCGATAAACTATTCGTCTTTTGACAAGATTAACATCGATTTTCCTATATAGATTCTCGTTCCAACATTACCTGGAAAAGCATGGGAAAAACAAATACCTGCATTTCTTCGCAGTGATGATGGTATATTTGATGATGATTTTATTGAAGATAGACGAAGAGGTCTTGAAGAATTCATTAATAAGTATGTAAAAGATAAATCTTTTATGATTTTTTCCTAATCTTTTATTGCATAGAGTGGCTGGTCATCCATTAGCACAAAATGAACGTGCGCTTCATGTTTTTCTTCAAGAAGAAAAAATTGATCACAACACGTATTATCCAGGCAAAATGCGCAATTCGTGAAATAAATAAAATCTTTTGTTATGCGAATTTTAACGGTTGCTTCTATTGTTAATATTTGAGAATCAAAAAAACAACACAACATAGAAAATGAAAAGGCTAAATGATTCAGTTTTTCGTTCATTGTTATTTTTATAGTTGATTTTTGTTTTGTTTTATGCACAGTTCATAGTAAAACACACACATTCACATGAAGGTGATTTCCTACTTGCATTTTCTTTATATTTATGATTGTGTACAAATTTTTCAATATAAATTAAGTTTTAACACTAATAAATTGTTTAAAGTAATGAGCCATCGATTGAAATAAGAAAAAAAAACGCAAGGTAAACTTAAAAGAGATAACAGTTATCTTTCTACGTCGTTTTCAGGACGAAAGTCTAAAGTTTCTTTCAACAAACAACTAAATTTATCAAATAGGAGTTTAGAGTCAAGAAAGAAATATCCAGACAATTCCAGACATCAAATGAATAGCTGTATGTTTCTGTTAGAGATAATTTTTTTATACGTAAGATCAAATATGGTACATGCATTGGATATGAGAAAAGCTTAATCTTGTTTTCATTTACAATATTATGACAGACATAATATTAACATGAGATTTCCGTTTGATTGTTGTTAATTGCGGACGTGCAAAAAACGAACAGATAATATTTATGCAAACAATATTAACAATCTGTTTTGTATAAAAGTAGAAACTATTTCGGTCTGGATACTTTCTTGCTCGATATTTTATTATATCGACACTATTTAAAAAAAAGAATTTCCAGAGTAAATTAGAGTACAGATAAACAGATATCATTTTTTAATGTCATATACTTTGTCAAGTTTGCACGTTTTGTTTTTCAAAAAAATTAAACATAATGAATCTAAGGATATTACCCTTATATAAATCTGCACTTCATAGTACGACAGAAATCGTGGATGTTTATAGGTTCTTGTTAGGCACGGTTGCCACTAAATTATATACACACAAAATATGCTGCTCTCGAGTAACTAAAAATAGACATACAAATTTTTGGTAAACAATAGTGATGTAGAAAACTAGCCGATATCAGGCCTGTCAGACTGTCAATTGTATCATGTTAAACTTGTACGACTCTATTAGTAGTGGTTTTGAATACAGACTTCCAATTTCATGAATATCTTGAGTAAGTTATGCGTCTTCTTAAACTTCTGATCTTTCTATTCGATAGCAACTTGATTGTTATCAATGGAAATCTTGTTGTTTTGTTTATGGCGAATCTTCACATTTACCCGATGACTATTACCGTACAATCGATCGATAGAACAGAGAAACTGATATAAATAACGATTCATTTCCTCTGGTACCAAATAAAGAAGACATATCAAGGGGATAAACAAGTAAGTAAGGAGAAGATAAACGTTATGGCCGTGATTATTGTCTCTCTCTCTTGTCGCATTTTCTCCGTCAACGACGTCAATATTATTGGTTGATGTATAACTCTTTTGATTGCAAAAGCAGAGTGCAAAAAAATCCAGACAACTGTTATTGTTGTCACTCTTACTCCTCCATCTTATCAATTATCTTAATTTACAAAATGTCACAATATTTTCTCACTGAAGCGCAATAGACAGATATTCTGTACTAATATAGATATGCATATAGATATATATACATCTGTAAAGACATAGATCCATCGATTGTTACAAAATCAGAAGATATGTTAAACAAAACAATATTTAATCGAAGAATCGATTTCGACAATGGTTAAGTATAGATTTTTTTACTTGAAAATTACGCAAAGTTTTTAATTGTGATTGTTCATTTATATTTAAAATCGTTTGGCAACGTTGTTTTAATTTATCGAGATTTTCACGTATATTAATATTATGGCAATCAGTTTTTGCTTGTGTTTCTAATAGGTTTATTTCATTTTTAAGTTTCGTACCGATTTCGATTAATTCATCATAGTCATTCGAAGAATTATGTGAGATTTTTTTTGCCATTTGTAATAATTCATTGGCTGCATTCTTCATTCGTTCAATAGCACATAAATAAATTTCGATACGTACAGAATATTTTACTATTTCCCAAATATGATTTTGTAAATCGAGTAACATTTGTTCATTTCGATCGTCTAAAACATCTTGCCGTTGTTTGACTGTCAATAAAATACGATTCATATGACGTATTTTATCTTTGAATTCTTTTAATTGTTCGGGTCCACCTTGAAATGTATTAAGATCAATTTTTATGGTACGAAATGTATCTTTCACTTTAGTTAATTCATTTTGTATATCACGATTGAGAGCATCGAATCGATTACGATTATAGGGTGAAAGTAAACGACGTGTACCTTCACTAACGGTGGAATCTTCTGAAACAGTTATTGATTGAAAATCATCATGCGACGAACTTAAACTAGTCATTGCCAATGTTTACTTGTGAATAATATTAAAATTGAAAGCAGTGCGGGCCACAATGAGCCAGCAGCTACTGTCATGCATCTACTATTGAACTAACACTTAATTATTAACAAATAAAAAACAGAAAAAACAATATAACAACGAATAATAGGCGCATTTAGAAACTTATTTGAAAAAATATACAAATAATTCGTAGCATAGTTACAGATTATTTTATAATAACAATAAATTATATTGTATAGATTTAAATACAGTGAAACTTGAAATAGACGATTGAAAAGGCTTATATAGAGTCTTATTCAAGAGAAATGCGTAAATTTTGTTTCATGCTATCGATTCCTTATCTTATCAAATAAATATCATTTGTGTTTGAATAAAAATATCTTTTTACCCGATTATCAATTCATCATTCAACACAATAGCTGAATGAATATTGATATTGATAGGGTATCAAGACATTGAGATTATTACTTTCTAGCATAAATTCTACGTTAACGTCTATTTTCTGGACAATGATGAGAAAGAAGTAAAATCTAGATATCATTTTATTGAAGAAATAACCTTTTTAGTCCGAAGAAGAAAACGCCTAGAAATATATTATTCTCAAAAGAACAATATTTTTAAGTTTTTATAGAACAAAACAAAAACACTCCGACTACAATGATTAAGCAAAAGTTAATATTAATATTGTCTTTTGTCTCTTTCTAGATCAATGTTGTTACTTCTAAGCTATTAAAAATAATGTTGACTACAATCACTATTGTTATTAATTGTTTCGTATAGCTAATTACCGACTATTAAACGAAGCGGCTCTCAGTATGATTTTACATGTACACCTTGTTAAATTCTATTAATTCTACTGAAAATCGTACGAAGAATGATGTTGATCACAACGTCTTCACACATTCATCAACATCGCTATCTCTTGATAATTTATCGACTGTAATATTAATTTCGATTCTTTCTGTTTTGTGTTTTTTTGGCGTTGTCTTTATGATCTTTGGTCCTATAATGCGATCGGAAGCTTGGCGACATGTTGATAATTACATATTTGGTCAACATATGGAAGATGAAAATCGAAATGACGTTGAATCGGAGAATGACGAGGCAGAATTGTAACATTGCCAATTATATCTCAGACACATGGATTTGTTTTTTTTTCAATTATGCATTTTTAAATTTATATCAATCAAATCAAATTAATTATATTGAACTTTTGATTTCAATGATAAAGTATATCTCCTAGACCTCTAGCATTATCATCATACAATCAAATCCATTGTATTTTGTATTAATTTCAATTCAATAGAAGGGGTCACTAAATAGCTCAACGGTGAAGAAATGATGAAAATAATCCAAATAGCAAAAACAAAAACATCTTTTATTATAATCCATGCTACTGCTCATATCAACATTCAACTATACAGATACATATTGTTCTGGTCTTTCAGCAATGTTAAAACTCATACCCAATATAGTATTTTCGTGGTTATTTTTGTTTGGATAAAGTTACGAATTCATCAAATAATGTCACACTTCTTTTGTTAGAGTTGACAGTCAAAGTGAACTTATTTCATTAGCGTAGCACGTTCGTATTAATATTATCTAAACCTTTTCTCTCAAATAATTTTGTTTATCCAGTTGTAAATTAGAAACTATAGGAAGATTTATAAAAGTTAATTAACACATCTGTGAGAGATTTGTTTTCATGTATATACTAACTATTGAAAGCACTCATTTTCTGTACTATATTTGTCTGTTTTCTAGTGTGCTTTTGTATATATATATAATTCAGTTTGGTTGTTGTTCGATCACTATCACGTATTTTGTTTTACTATTTTATTGTTGTTTCACTTGTTTGAATAAAATATTGCAATTGTGAAAATCACTTATATAGTAAATGTTTTGAAAAGAAATTAATCTCAGCAATTTTCAGTTCATTCAGTAGATGCATTTGCTTTCATTGTGCTATTAATGTACATTTTTTTAGTCTCATTACAACTTTATAAATGATATGCAATGAAATTTCACATCAGATTTCATAGAACAATCAATTTAACTAGTATGTGAATTGTTTAAAATACGTATTTACGAAGCCACATCACAGTAGTCAAGGCTGACAGTGAAAACCTAATGAAATACATATGTATAGGATGTATGCGTTTTTTGAAACAGTGCTTATAATTACCATGTAACGATATAGGAAAGATGTTCGTTGCGCAGCTGAACATTTGTTTGACCACCGATTGGACCACCAGGAACAGACGTACCTAAAACAAATGATATGTCCATTATGTTCTTTGAATAAATCATTTTAGCTAATTACATCATAATGATAGAAGAACCCTCATGTATGCAATTCATTGAGTGAAAACTTCAGATTGTTATTATATATGTCACGTACAGCCCACCCAAATCGAGAATGGAAAGGAAATATCTGTAACATGATCCTAACACAAGAAAAACAATGTATATTACTCTATTCTATTTATGACTATAGCAACATATGTAATCCCTACATTTCTTTTGTCTTCCTTACAACCAATATTAGAAAAATATTCGTTCTCTTTCTTACAATCATATATTTCGATGATAATTCTTGATAGACTGAAACAAACACGTGGCTCATACTTCACACAAGAAAAATAATTCAAGATGCACGTATACTGTAAATTACGATGACTTCTTCCCTTTACATGTTTGACTATATATACTGCGCATCATAAGCTATAAAAAGAGAATATATCTTTTTTACTAAGAAATTCTTCAGCTGAGAATCGTATCGCGAAAACGATCCATTCCAAGACCACTTCATCAATGCGAAAAATTATTAGAATTCTGAACTACCCAGGCAGACTAATCCGACGACGAATTCCATCTGATCCTATAACATCCTACTAACCAAGGAAATTCAATTGAATTCTGGGTTTCGGAATTATTGACGGATCCGAATCTCGGCCCGAAACCTGGAAGCCGTCGATTCTAGTGACTTTTTATATAAGATCCGAGGTAACCCGTCTTCAGATCCGATTGGATCCAGTTGTAGGAATGCATGATCTGGGTATTTCACCCACTAAACTTTATACATACATTTTAGAATACTCAATTGCAATCGATTTTAAAAATTTATCAAAGAAACAAGGAAAATATAAAATCTTTCAATATTACTAAGAATCTCTAATATTGTATTCTGTAAAAATGACGGTCGTATATAAAACTACTAAATTCGACTAATGATGAATACTTTTTGAAGGAACCAATAAAAGTATAAATGATTATTGCTTACATATCTAGTTAATACAATCTTCTTTTGATTTAGACATTATATGATTGACTTAAGATGCCGAAATCTAATTGTGTTCTTTTCGAAACACTGCCCCCCGATTAAATATTTAGGAAAAGAATAATTAATTGGTATTATCTTATTTTCATATTCATTTAGCGAACAGTATCATGACGTCGGTCTGTGTGGAAGACACCCGAAAAATGCCATAAAGTTATTAAAACAATCAGATAAATCGCTTACGACATGCCGCTCCTAGTCAATCGGTTAAAAAAGCAAATTAACATACTTAACTCAGACCTAACAATTTCATGAAGAGAAAAAAAATACTAGATATAGCAATAAACTAGTGCTCACCAACATGTGCCGTTAATTATTTCAGTAGACAGATAATGGTTTTTCAAATTTAGAAAACGAAAGAGATCCCGCTCCATGCTACGACACGTGTGCTTATTACAGGAAGAACAGAGAGAAGTATTATTTGGAATCATTTACTATACTCAGAAGTAGAGTTTTTTAAAATATTGGATGGCTTATACACTCAGCGATATTATCGGATAACGATACGCTGTAACGAATCAACAATCATTCGGAATTATCACGATAGATTGTTTCCTGTTAGTAAGATATTAATCATTGCATTTTATGAATCCAAAAACATTCCAAATAACAATGTTTGTTTGTAGACAGTGAATGGAGCAGATACCACAGTAATGATCAAAATTGGTATTTGATTAGACAAAAATTTAAGAATCAATGAACAATGTTGACTCTCAAGAAATTCGAGCATTATGGCTTATCTTTTTCATTTTATCTAGACTTTTGTCCTGTACACCATCCGCTAAGTAAATTTTTGCAGAGCTATTGAAATAAATATAGATATTATGAATACAAAATGATTTTTATTGCAAAGTTTTGAAAAATGAACTAGACCGGAAGAAGGATTTCTACTGATGCATTTATCTCTAACAAATGAAAGGGAATATGAGTTGTAGATCAACGCACTTCTCCAGTATCAATCGTCAAACTAAAATAGTCAACTATGTTTTGATTGCTCAGATATGAGAAAGATCATTGTGGTATTGTACTAGACATGTTTGATGAGTTAATTGCAAATATTTACATAGATGTATTCAGAAACATTAGACCAGGCTGCTACTTTATCGCATCAGTGAACGAGTAACAGCACCATGTTTATACACCCCGGTCGCAGAAAGCGATCAGTAAACGGTAGTATACGATACAAATACGGCCCGTTTTACGTGCCGTATTTTCCCCGTATAACAGGGGCAGTAATACGGCCGTATGTTCTGTAGAATACGATAATATTACGCCGGCTTTACGAGGCTTTACGGTGATCCGTTTTGATCGACCTGGGGCAGTGCTGAAATACCCAGTAAACTCTGGCTGTAGCGCTAGCCAATATGTGAATGAGTTGTATAAAAATTCTTTTCTCTTATTTTTAAAAATACACTGTTATATCCCTGGTCAATGATTTCAGAGAACAAATACTGTGGGAACCAGCAGGAAAATGCAGAAAAACCACCGTATCCTGCAGGAAAACACTAGAAATTGAGGGAACCGGAAGCAGTATTCCAGTCGGAAATTTTCGATTGTTTTCCGGTGATTTTCCAATTGGTTTCTGCCTGAAAGCACAGGAAATCGCTGGGAATTCACAGGAAAATGTCTGGTCGGAATACTGCTTCCACGTTCCAGTGATTGCCGATGTTTTCCTGTCGTTTCCCGCCGTACGAGCTCGACCTGGGATATATTCTTGTACTAAAAAATATGATGAAAACGTACATCTATCATCTTAATATTTTGTTCTCAGAAGCTGTCAATAGAGCGCGAGAACTGAGAAATATAGATAAATAAAAATTTCTACACAAATGAAGAAATTACTTTTAATTTCGTCAATAAAAATGGGTGCTGTTTTAATAGCCGCTGCCATTTCGGCGACATCGCGCGTACGCCAAACATTATTTTCTGGTTCATTTTTACTCCATACTGCATTCAACTAGAAATATTCAAATAAAATAGATTTGAATATTTCTTAGATTTTATCATGTGAAAAAGAAACTAACAGTATCTGTTGATCGCAGTAATCCAATGATTTCATGTTCATCTTCAATCTAAAAATGTAAATTATCTGTATTTATATATCTTAGCATCATTGTTTTCTCAAGACTTCTGCGTACCTGTCCTACTCTTCGAGTAGACGGATCTCGTAATTCAAATGGAACAAAACCACGATTGACAAGAATGTCAAAACTGAAAAACGTATATATTGTGAAAAATAAAATAAAAAGGAGATCAAAACGTACTTTCGGTTTGCCACTCTAAATGGTGTGATAACATGTGCACCAGTTGTTACTAATGGTCGTGCAGCAGATTGTTTTTCAAAGTCGGCGAAATCAAGACGTGAACGGGGTTGAATAAGAATTTCTCGTGAGTGATCAAATGTGCCTCGAACACGAACTGGATAGTATTCCAAATCTGGTAAAATATCTAAGCTATAATGAAACCAATTGAGTTCGTTTTGTCATATACTCAATAAACTTTATCCGACAATGAAAAAAACCAAAATACTAACTTCTCAAGTAATGATATTGGTTCAGCTTGTGTACGCGATTTCAATTTTTCAATCAAATTGATTTTCCATGTTCGACGACTAACTTGCCAACAGCCCAATGCAAATGCACTCACTGGAATTATCTAAATGTAGCAAATTGCAGATATGTCGAAAAATAGGTTCATTAAATATTTGAATACTTTCGAAAACATACGAGCAAAATAAAAGCACCACTGTCGACTTTGTCTTTTTTATTTCGTTTTGTCAATGTAAATGCTCGATTCTTCGATTGACACAATGGCTTACTGATATGAACATTTCGAAATACTGATAATTGATTTGATATATAAGGTCGAACGAAAAGAATTTGTCGCGAAATCATCTAAAAATATAATTTATTTTAGTTAGACGCTCCTAAAATAAAATCTACTAAAACTAGTGTCTATTTACTTTTCAAATAAAATATAGAAAACTATAAGTTGAACTGAACAAAAAACAACACAAAGCACATTAAGAGTTTTGATAGAAATATTTTTCTAGTGCGGGAATAATTTTCTTTTTTACGACTAAGTCTTGATCCAAGATCGGCTATTTGATTATTGACATCAGCTTTAAATGCTTATCGTACAACATTTTTCTTCCATATCACCGGGAATTAATGTTAAATTTTTCTCTTTTACTATATCAATAATTGAAAATAAAATTCCTTGTAAATCTTTTCTTTTCTTCATTCATTTCCTTGAGTAGTTCATCGTTTCGTTCGAGTATTTTATTCATACTACATGTTTCCCCTGTACCTATTCCCCATGTTTGATTATTAAAAGTATATTGTTTATAATCAAGAAGAAGAATTTGTCGTGTTGAAAATCCTGTCAAGCCACTTTTAACTTCGAACATACTATTAGCATATGATGTGATATTATCTATTTTATCAAGTGGAATAAGATATTTCAAAATATTTCGATCATCAGTTGTCGTTGCTGGTGATCTACAAAGATAATTCGGCGCATGTTTTGATCTATACTGAAGAAAATTTTTGTTTTTTTAAATTACCGAAAATGAAGCGTATCACTAAGAATAGCACTGGTTAATAGAAAAGTCATCTTTTGATCAATAGCAAAGTTGCTTTCACGATATAGTTTTGTTAACATTGTTGCAGTACATCCTACAGGTTCGAAACGTACAATAAATAGGATCATAAGTTTTTAAATCGTTTAATTTATGATGATCTATAACATGGGTAATACGCATTTTATTCAAATTTTCCATTGATTGTTGATCTAAAATTGATAACGAAAAAAAACTTAAGAATAAACAAATCAAATCGGTACTAACTTTCATTACGATCAACCAAAGCGACTTCTGTTCCATCGGGTACATCATCTGGTAACATATCTGGTGCATCAATGCCAACTGTTTTAATTATAAATTTCGTTTCATTGTTCAGATCACCAAGACGATAAGCTTTTGCATTGATATTCATTCGACAAAGGAAATCAGTAAAAACTATTGCTGTTGTTATGGATTACGATGACCCAAAACAAGGACTTGTGTTTATTGTCATTATTTACGTGATGTGTCGATGAAAAAGTTTGACTTATTACATAAGCTAAAAACGATAGATAGATTCATCATTTAAGTAAGAATGCATTGTGTTCTTTCTTGTTTACAATTAGAAATAGACTTATTCGTCAGAAAACACAACAGCTCTCTGCATTATGCATTCATACTAAAAATCACATCAAATATACCTACGTTGGAACAGAAATTTTGAGATCGATGGCAAAAAACTGTTGGTCAATAGATTCATTTTTAGAGATAATCTCAATGGTATTATCTATAAAACATAGATACACATATATAGTTTTTTTTCATGAGCTTTATATTATAACAAGTGGCAAGTTCATCTTATCTATTAACTATTCAAAATCAAAATATCATATTCGTTCACCATTCTGAAACTCTCTGTGATAGTCACAGAAGAAAAACTAAGTACAAGAACAAGAATAAATGAAATAAAAAGAAACAAAAATAAACTGTATCTAGATATAAACATATCCTATATGAGTTACTATGCTGAATTAAGGTCACAATTTGACACAAAGAAAAAAAGTCTGAAAGGTATACACTGTGTAAATGAACTGAACATATCACATGAGATTCTAGAAAAAAAAATACAATATATATCTGAACGTTCATATCTCTACGAATACTATTATTTATTTTCAACGTTGAACAAGTTGTGTAAGTAGAGCATTGGTAGTATTGATTGCTGCAATGACTTGTTCGAGTAGACGATTTTGTCGACGTTGTTCAGTAATCATGGCTGTGAAATTATCATTAGAAGTACTATCAATTGGCTTTTCTTGGAAAGAAAATGGTTTAGTCTCGGCATTCAATTTAATCGACGAATTTGAAGTAGTAATTGGTGGTGGTGCCGGTAAATACTCACTATGATTTGTTTCAACAAATCGTTTGGACTCTTGGGCCTTTGGATGCACTGGTATTGATACTGGACGGATATCTAAGCAAAAAAATAGTATGGCAAAAAAACATCGTTCTCCAAACTTACTCTCTTTAAATGTTCGTGATACATTTTCATCAACTACTGGTGTTGGCGTAGCCAATTTAGTGACAGGTTGTTGAATCGATTCAACAGACTCTTTGACTACCTTTAATTTATAAAAAAAAAGAAGTTAAACTATCTTTTATATATTATCAACAATAACAAACTTCATTGATTATTGGTGGAACTTGTGCTTGTTGCTCTTTCTTTTGACGTAATTCTACGATGCATTCTGTAAGAGATTTTCCACTGTTGATTAAGTCAACTGAATAAAGATCTTGATTTTTGCCAAGAATTTTCATATCCAGTCGAGCTGTTTCAAAATCTCGTAAAAGTATATAACGTTCTTCATTAGTTAATTTAATATTAGCTAATTTAATTTGTACACTTTGCCATGGAATATTTCGTATAACATCTGGACATTCGCTAAGACGATCCATTGAAACAACCTCCTCATTACCAAAATCAACAAAATATACATGAAATCCTTTTTCTAAAAATACAAAGATTTTTTTCCTTGAAAAAGAAAACAACATCTTGGAAAATATACCAGAAACATTTAGAATCCATGCTCGATACCAAAGATCATCACCGTCATATTGTGCACAAACAAGCATATTTGCTTCTGGTTGTTTTGTCAATGGTTGTTTATTTATATTCCAATCTTTGAGTAGATTCATTATTGTCGGAAGACAATCGCGCATTAATAGTACATGAAAACATTCAGGTTCTGTATCGACTGTTGTTAATTGTACAGAATGAATTTCTGTCGGATTCATTTCAGGTTTATTTCCTTCGAAACTCATGACTTCATTGCCTGAAGCTTTTGAAATCTTTACAAAATAAAATAAAAATTCTTTGCAAAAAGTTCTATAAAGATATTATTATCTATTACTATTTCTGCTGCTGCTGTTGGTTGTGGTAATATAGCACGTATTTCAGCATTTAAATTTCGTTTACCTAAATTGAGTTGAACATATGGAGCACCATTTTCAATACGCAGTACAGTCATTTCAAGTTTAAGATCAAGAACTAAAATATCAGATAAATTTTAAATCGTATATTTCCAATCAAATTTCTTTACCGAGTATTTCAAGTATAGCATTGGTTTGTTCATCAGATGGTTTATTTTCTGTTGGTACTTCATCCAAAATGCATTTAACACATAGAACAGGATCTTTATAATATCTAAATAATCAGAGACGAAATGATTTAGACATAATATTAAGCAGTATCAAAGAATTAATTATAGGCAATAAATACTTACTCATTTGGCAGTGGACGAATTTCAAGAATCGAATCACACCATCCAGTATTTCCCCTAATTTGAAGTTTCATATAAAACAAAATCAAAGACAGAATAAATCAATTTTTACCAATCAACGTATTGAACATGAACACGATTTTCATCAATTTCTAATATACGAGCTCGATACCAATCACCATTGAAAAGTGCAGCACAACATTGGCCAACAACTAATCTAATTAAAAAGAAAAACAATTGATTCTTCTTTTTGTAGAACTCTTTTATGAGAGGTGACTTTAATAGCAACGATAGTTGTCATACAAAAAAAATAACATTCTCAGCTTACAATCTATATTTCTTACTTTGATGTATAAGAATTAGATTGAATTTTTGTTAGTTGTTCATGTTTATTCATTTGTGTTATCAGTAATGTTGCATTCACATAATCATCTAATGTTGCTGCAAATATTATATTTGGTACTTCAAGATTTGATAAATAAACACAATAATTTTTATTTATTACAAATGAATCATGTTCGCGAATATTCATTATTGGTTCTAAATAATAATAATAATAATAATAATAGTTTGTTTTTCAATCACTTTGAAAACTATATATTATGTCTACCGTTGCATAATTGATCTTTTTCATTTTCTTGTTCAATATTTGTACTATTCCATAATGGTTTATTACTATTTACTAGTGTATCTGATTCATTCGTATTCGATGATGTACCAATCTGTTTGAATTGTATTTTATCTGTTGGAGAATGTTCACTTGCTGCTGGTCGAAAACCACTAAATCGATTTTGAAAACTAGGTGATGATGTGCGACTAATGTTTTCGTTTAAATCACCACTACTACGACTGTAAAATGTGTAAAGTTTGTAAAAACAAATTTTCAATCAAAAAGTTTTACTAACAATCCATTTTGCGGTCGCTCAGTATTGGTATTACCCGATCGTGCCTTAAAGAGAAAGAGACTTCTTTTTATTGCCTCTATTAAATATTAAACAAGTGTTATTTTACTGATGAATGATTAACACGTAAAGTAAATCGATCAATAGAAAAATTGTTCATAGTCTCAACAGCTTTAATACAACTTTCTTGTTCAGCAAAATTAACAAACCTAAAAGTAATTTTTGCAAAGAATTAATACATAAAATAAAAGCTAAAATTATAAATTTTATTTACCCACAACCACCATCAAAATTTAGATTAGTTGGTAGAACTTTACTTGATACAATACGACCAAATTTTGAAAAAAGTTCTTCAAGTTGACCCTACAAAAAATCACTAGACATGAAAACATAATTCTAAATGAAAAATTTTACTTCATCATAATTTTTTGGCAAATTTTTAACAATAATACTGTTGATGCGTCTTTAATTAAAATTTTATTTTCAATTAAATCTTAAGATATTTATCTTTTAATTTACCTAGCGTTATCGTTCATTGTTGAACTTTGATTTTATGTTATGTAAAAACTGGGGAAAAACTGATGTTAAATATACCACGATAGAGGTACATACATATGCAAGATACATAGAGAGAGGGAAAAAATTTATTGTAGAACGAGTCAATAACTGGATTGGTTAAGTCTTACCAAACCAAATGAATCATGATCAACTTAGTAAAAAAAAGAAACAAAAACGAGAAACCTACACGTTGCATAGATATTTTTCAGCTTCGTTTTTCTCAACACAACATCTGACTACACACTTTGTAGCATTTTTTTTTCAAGGCAAATCAATTAGCGACAGCTGTAGCATGTTTTTTGATGATATAAGAGAGAAAAAACCGCAGCTAACAACCAAACTTTATTTCTTTATATATTCTTGTTTATAGGCACACGAGAAAGAGAGGTACTGCTTAAAATTTTATTTATTTATGCAAAAATATTCGATACGTTATCTTTATAGATTATTCTTTTCCCTCTTTTTTTCAAATACATATTATTTTATAATGTCTTTTTTCAATCGGCTATTTAAATTTCGAATATTCGTATGTCAAATTTTTTGTTTCATTTGATTCCAATAAAGAAAAAAGAATTTAATCTTATAGAAATTTCGTTCGACTCTTTCCGAAGAACTCGAAGATCTTCACACAGTACGATTTACCTTTTATTTTGTGAATAAATTCATATATTTTAACGGATATGTTTACCCCTAGGAGTCACTCAATTTACAGCAAAGTTTAATTCACACCCGTCTACTACAACGAAAATGGACTAAATTATTTGCCATCTATGCTTTAGTGGCGTATCTAATTTTGAACATTGTTTATTTCACTTTTTTTCTTTCAAATGATAATATCATTCGCATTTATGCCGCTGGAATTTCTCTAACAGTTGGAGCTCTGTAAGTAGTTTTTTATTCGGACCTGACGGCAAATTCTCAATATTTATTACTATTTAAAATACACAAGGCTCTATGGACTGTATCGACTTATCTGCTGGTATTTTCGTACTATCATTCAAATGAAAGGTCAGTAGTTTCTGAGAATATTAGAATAGAAAATTTTTTCTTTCTACTTTTATAGAAGATCGATTAGCATTGTTCAAAGATCGGAAACAAGAATTAGTAAGAGTATCTTCCATAATAAATATCTTTTCTATGAGATAAATATTTTTAGATTGAAGAAGTGAAAAATAAAGAAACATACGCAGTAGCAAAAACTATATTAGAAAAATATGGCGAAACAATAACAGCTGACTTTCAATTACCACCACAACCGACAGAATCTATAAATAGAGGTATGTTGAGAAATAAACACTCTTTACATTTCCACTACAATATAAACCACATACAAGAATTCGATGACATTCATTTTTCTTAATTCTATATAGATCTACGCCAACGTGTAACAGTAAGACCAACAGTACCCGGTTCAGACAAACCTGTTGTCTCTGGTAGAACATTCTTGTTATCAAAATAAAACGTCAACTATAAATGTTATTTTAGTGGCACCACCTAATATTGGTAGATTAGAAAACTTTACTCCGCAAGTTTCTGAACAACAAGGACCAAATAATGTACCTGGTACGGATTTTTTTTTATCGATATTATATTTAAAAAATTCTAATTACGATTCGTATTTAGTAAAGAATATACCTGGTAGATTACCACGAGCAATTTTACCACCCAAACGAACATTTTGGGGATCAATCCTTGATTTTATAGTTGGCGATGGTCCATCAAAACGGTGAGATAGTTATGTTTTATATATTTGTTTCTAATATAAATTCACGATTGGCTGGAGTTTTGCCTATTGTAGTTTAATTTGTGACGAGCGTTTGCATGAACGATGGAAATTTCGATTTCGGTAGACAATTATTAAAATATAGGACTAGGGCTTTGTTTTTGTATCATATACATTCAATGGGTTTAAGGATTCATCATTTGCTTTGATTATTTTCTTTCCAAGAAAAATAAAATATATATGCATCTAATCAATTCTTTTCTTTCATTTAGTTATGCATTAATCTGCAAAAATTGTAATAGTCACAATGGTTTGTTATTTGCTTCAAGTACTTCGATATTTGAAATAATTTCTCTTTTCTTCTTTTTTTCGTAGGCATGGCATTGGAAGAAGAATTTGAATATTTAAGTAATATCTTCGTGGATGATTACCTATCAAATATTGACTTTCGTTTATCTTCTAGCTTTTCGCTGTGCCTATTGTAATTATTTAAATAGTGCTCATAAGCAAAAACCAGTCTTTCTCGATAATACTATTGCTCAACCGGCAACGACCAGTCAACCAGAGAATGAATCTACTGTTGAACGTATGGTATCATCTTCTTCAGAGTCATCTATAACCAACGAAGGTATTCATTTTGTTCTTTCTTCTATTGGCGTACTATTGAAATGTTGATGTGTTTATTAGACAATGATACAGGTTTGAATCCAACGCATCGATCTGTTCGTATTCCAGACCCCGACGACGATATCGATGCATCTCGATCTCGTTCACCGTCAGCTGAAAATCGACAAGAACAGCAGCCAACACCATCGCCATCAGAAGAAAATTGATCGAAAATAAATACATAAATAACAGCTCTATTTATTTCTGCCTGTGATCAAGCCTTGCCATTATTCACACTTGTGCAATAGCTCTGCGTTTTATGTTTATTTATTTTATGAATCAAAAAATATTATTAGCATACCGAACAATAAATTTCTTTTTCTTTTTTGTTTTTAATTACTGGTGGTTATTCCTCTGATTTTTATTTTTTTCTGCCTTGTGAAATAAAATGACAATTTAATCTTCCTAACGGACATGAGTCATCTGTATGATGCAATCTTATTCACATTGCATCGTCGAACAACAGGAATGCATCAATATATATAACCATATAGGAAAACTACTACTATCTTGTATAGTTTCACGAAAAAAAAATCGAAAAGTAAATTTTTTCCGTAAATTTTGTTTTCTTTAAATAATGTTGTCTTATTTCGAAGTGTCATTCCCTGCCGATGAGAATTCGGAACAGCAGCCATTGCCAATAGAAGAAACAATTAGTAAGAAGTATGTTAAATCTCATCAATTTAACTTATTAGCAAGTTAAAATTTTTCAATTAAATTATTTATTTTAGTGAATTAAAGCGACGATTAAAAGCTCAAAAGAAAACTGAAGAACTAGCAAAAAGATCCACTACTCTAGAAGCAGAAATATTAAGTACAAATAATGAAGCAACGTCTCTTGATGAGAGTAATGATCAAGAAATTAATTCTAATGTAAGTTAAGATTTTTCTATTTCAAAAGAACACTCCTATCGAAAGTTGATCAACGATTTAACAGTTAGACAAAAAAACGAATCCCATCTCTCTTTACATGTACAACATAATAATGCATAGAAATCAAGAAATTCTCAGCCCGAAAAATATTTTTCGTGATTCATAAACAAAGCTATAAACTTAAATATTTAATTTTGATGTCATTAGGAATATTACAAGATGCGATTGCATCATATACAACAACTTCAACAATCTGGTGAAATAGTCTATCCCCATAAGTATCATGTTTCAATATCATTACGTGATTTTATTGATAAATATTCTCATTTAAAAAACGATGAAATTAATAACGACATTGTTTCTGTTGCTGGTAGAGTTTGACTTTACATTTATAGAAAAATTGACAATATATAATTTTTCTTTTCGACATAGGGCGTATTTATTCAAAGCGTGCAGCAGGACACAAACTTTATTTCTATGATCTTCATAGCGATTCAGTTAAAATTCAAATTATGTCTAATCTTCGGTAAACTCTTGTTTTTTTTCTTTTGAAAATTAATCTGAAATTCCATCGATAGGTTTTATCCGGACGCAGCGGAATTCGCCTTAATAAATGATCGTATTAATCGTGGTGATATTATTGGTGCAAAGGGTAGACCTAGTAAGTAAATTTCACATCTTTTGGTTTCTTCTAGGTGAATATGTTTTATTTTAGCACGAACAAAGCATGGCGAATTAAGTCTTATTCCAAATGAATTAATTATTCTGACGCCAACACTTCATCAATTGCCTAGTTTACATTTTGGTTTAAAGGATAAGGTAGCTTTGTTGATTCAAAATAATTTATCATTAACTCTGAAACTATTCAGGAAACTCGTTTTCGTCAACGATATCTCGATTTAATGATTAATCGTACTGTTCGACAAAAGTTCATAATCAAAGCAAAGATAATTAATTATTTACGACAATTTTTAAATGCACTTGGCTTTCTTGAAGTAAATTATCTTTTTTGATATATTTCCGTAGATGATTAAAATTTCTAACATAGGTTGAAACACCCATGATGAATATGATTGCTGGCGGTGCTATGGCAAAACCATTTACAACTTATCATAATGATCTTGATATGAAATTATTTATGCGTATTGCGCCTGAACTTTATCTTAAGGCAAAAAAAGGAGAATTAATTTTGTTTATAATTTTTTTCTGATGGAAATTTTCTAGATGCTAGTGGTCGGTGGTTTAGATCGTGTTTATGAAATAGGTCGCGTTTTTCGTAATGAAAGTATTGATATGACGCATAATCCTGAATTTACTATTTGCGAATTTTATATGGCCTATGCTGATTATAACGATTTGATGGAAATGACAGAAAAATTAATTTCCGGTCTTGTTCAACATTTATTCGGAACATATAAAATACTATATCATATAAATGGACCCGATCAAGATGCAGTTGAAGTTGATTTTACACCACCATTTAAGCGTTTTAATTTAATTGAAGATCTTGAACAAGCCACAGGAGAAAAATTTCCACCGGCAACAGAATTTTCAACAACAGGTATTAGCAATCAGAAGAAACTATCTAATTTTTCTATTCTCTCTCTCTCTCTTTTGAATAGAATCGAATAAATTTTTCGATAATCTATGCAAGAAGCATGACATCGAGTGTGGCCATCCAAGAACAACCACTCGTCTTATTGATAAAGTGTGAAGAAAAATCTTCATTAAAATTATTTACAAATTTTTCTTTTATAGTTAGCTGGCCATTTCCTTGAACCTCAATGTCTTAATCCAACATTTCTATGTAATCATCCTCAAATAATGAGTCCATTAGCTAAATAGTAAAAACAAAAAGAAAGAAAATTTTCTTTTTATACTTAAATTTCGCTCTTTTGTTTATAGCCATCGTTCAATACCAGGTCTCACTGAACGCTTTGAATTGTTTATTTGCTATAAGGAAGCATGTAATGCGTATACAGAATTAAATGATCCGATTGTACAACGTCAAATGTTTGACTTGCAAACACAAGTAAACTGTTGCTTTTGGTTGGTCTACTTTTAAAGTAAAATAATTTATAGGATAGAAATTCAGGTGATGATGAAGCGCAATTAATTGATGAAAATTTCTGTACAGCACTTGAATATGGTCTTCCACCAACAGCCGGTTGGGGTATGGGTATCGATCGGTTGACTATGATACTTACTGATAGTATCAATATGAAGGTAAAAAAAAGAGGCACTTATCAATCATTTATAAAACGAAAGATTTCGTTTGTAGGAAGTATTACTATTTCCAGCTGTTAAGCCATACAAAGATAATGAAAACAACCAGAAATTGGAAGATGGTACAAATTCATCTATTCAATAATCACTAAGAACCTACTTTCTATTATAATTAATGTGTGACACGTTCATTTTTTTTTGTGAAATAAAAGTTCTCTTAAGAAATTTTCAAACAGGGACTAAACTTCTCCGAATTATATTTTTTGTAGACTACGCTGCTACTATATAATATTTGGTGGCCATCGTAAAATAAACAAAAATTAGTTTGATCTTCTATACTGAGCAATAATATTTAATCTTCAAATATTTTCCTGTTTTTTTATTATTATTCTTGTTTATCAATCAATTACTGATTCTTCGAAAAAATATTGTTTACGCTTATTTTATCTCATCATATTTCTTTTTTCAGTCTCAGTCGTATGTTTACGCACAAAAAAAACTAATCAAATCAATTGATTATTAAATCAAATAATCATCAGTAGTAGAAATAACGGGAATGAACTCCAAGAACAAGGTTATCACGACATACAATTAAATATTCTAGACATGAAATATTAATAAAAGACTTTCTTTGAAATTATTTATACGAAATTTGATAGTTTTCTGTCTACGTTTTAGATGGCAACAATTCTAACTCGACGTTTAACATCGAATATTTCATTGTCTAATCATAATCGACAAATATGGAGTTGGCTTAATTCAGTTTGGAATAAGTAAAATAGATTAATCTATTTTCAGAGTGAATTTATGCCACGCCTTGATAATATCCTAATTATATCAAAATAGAGATGCGTGCATCACATATTTAGCGTAAATTTATATTTCTTGATAAATGCTGAAATGACAAGTTAATCATAAACAGCAAATGCAAGTAACTTTTGAAAGATTGAAACAAATGCTACGTTATTATGATCTATGAAAATATGAGAAAAACATGTTCTAGGAAATAGTTAGTTATTCTCAGATTTTTATTTAATCATAGATATTAGAACGATCATGTGTTTCTTTTTAATTATCTATTGGTCAGATATCTATATAAAGCCAACAAACGTTTCTTATATCTAAATGATTTACGCGGGTAGAAGTGAAGTCGGAAATTTCTGAAGTTGGCAATTTTATTTTTGTTTCGTTTAAAAATAATAATTTTCTATAGATACGATCGACAGCGCGTTCAAGAAATCGGCCCCGATCGTGCGTGTGCTGAATGGTTATTACGATGTAGTGGTTCAGTACGATTTAAAAATAGAAATTCCATCACATCCGATTATAATGCTATACCATCTGGCACGCCTGAGCAATTAAAAGTCGAAGAAATTCGTGCTGTTAAAGCTTGTATTACGACTGATGGATTTGCTTATTTAGGTTATTTAATAGATAGAAATTTTCCGTCGCATAGAACTTATTTTTATTTTTGAATAGATGGATTAAGTGAAGTGAAGAAAATTCACTTAGAAAAATGTGATCTAATTGGTGATGGTATGTGTTTCGATTTCGAACATTGAAAAATCATGAGCTCATTTTTAGGTTCTATAATACGATTTAAAAAAATCGGTAATACATTAGAATCGATTGCATTAATTGATCTCGTTAAAATAAGTGACGATGGTCTTGGCAATTTAACTGATTTGAAGTATGAGAATTTACAATTGTATTTTATTAATATAAAAATTCATATAATTTTTTAGAAATTTAAAACAAATCGTTTTGTCTCGTTTACCCGGCATTAAAAATCGTGAGGGCATAATTAAATTATTGAAAAATGAATTACCAAAATGTACTGTTAATTATGATGATGATTATCCACCTGCTCCTGAACTCCAAGATAAATAATCGATATACTTATGATATATATATATATATATATATATATATATATATTTTTGTCTTGTTTATTTCATAGAAATAAAATTTATCATGTCCTTGTTTTAGCTAATGACACTTCCATTTTTCCTATGCGATCCTAAATAGAACAGAAGTAATGAATTCCATATACAAAAATATTTTATTTACCTCAATAATTTTTACATGAATATTAGCTTCAATTAAACGTTGCCGTAATGCATGAATTCGTTTAATATACTCTTCTATTTCACGATCACCGGGACATTGTTTATAAAGCGTAGCTAATTCTAAATTAATAATAATTAAACATAGATAATAAAAATTAATAAAAATCTATTCACCATCATTGATTGCTGTGAGACAATTTCCGACTGCATTTTGACGATGTCTGAAATAATAACAGGAAGAAAAAAAACAATAATATTTGTACTCCATGGAACAAAAAAATGGATTAAGTAACACACCGAACTTGTTCTACAGCTCCATCAAATTCTTGAATGACAGGCACAAGAAAATCGACGAAATCATTTGGAATTGTTGACATTCTTTTCAATTTATATAATTTGACACTAATAAGTACGTTCTTCTTTATATTCTTTTCTTTTACATTACGTTATGAGTTCATTTCTATTGGTTGGTCTATGAGTCGGAGGCTCATATCGATTATCAATGGCATGAACTAAACCAATAGTTGTTTTAAAGAAAACAACGACAAACTTCTAGGCAAAAAAAGACGATCTTAATCAAACTAATTGCTTTCTTAAGTTCTCAATATATATAATTATAGTTATAAATCCTTTATTTTATTAGTTCGTTTTAGATATTTATTTAAATGGCATCGATAGAAGAGACTTCTGCCGATAATTCTAATATACCACCACCATCGTCAGGTAATGATGACGATAAGAAATCATCGACAAATAACGATAAAGACTCGGGTTTTGAATGCAATGTAAGTTTTCGATCGATCGTCATTCTCACGGGACACTAAAATTCTGTATTTAGATATGTCTTGAAACAGCTCGTGATGCTGTTCTTTCACTTTGTGGTCATTTATTTTGTTGGCCATGTATTCATCAATGGCTTGAAACTCGTGCTCACAATCCAACTTGTCCCGTATGTAAGAGTGGAATATCACGTGAAAAATTAGTGCCTATCTATGGAAGAAATTCTCCACAAACTGATCCAAGGTTGATTTTTTTTCTTGAACGAGTCTCCTGTGATTTGTCATTCATATATATCTATACTTAGAAACACTACACCCCCTCGACCAGCCGGCACAAGGCAAGAACCTCGTCGAAATCGAGTAAGTGCGATACGATAGGAAATTCATTAAAAGATAAATTTCAATTTATTTAGAGTTTTGGATTTGGTGATGGTGTGAATTTTCAAATGTCGTTTGGTGTTGGTGCTTTTCCATTTGGTCTATTTCAAACAACATTTGCAACGAATAATCACGATCATCAATATACTCCACGTAGACATGCGTTTTTTTTTTAGACTAGAATTCGATTCTAAACAATTATTTTATTGATTTTAGCACCACCTGGTACGCCTGAACGGTATCACCATGATATGTTATCAAGAATATTTCTAGGAATTGCATTAGCTGTCATTTTGTTCATTATTTTTAATTGATCCTATGTTATTAAAACAAAAACAAGCATCTTAATTTATTTCTATTCTGCTCAAAATTCTTGTTTTTTTCTTTCGTCTGTATGTATTTTGATGTGCAAAGTAAAACGAAAAGAAGAATATTTATTAAAACACAGAAATAATTTTACCTCGGAATTCATATTTCCTTTTTTTTTTGGTATTTTTCATTTCTATAAACGTGTAAATATATATTAAAATAACAGTATTCATTATGAATATATTATTAACATTTCAGATAGTTTTAAAATTTTAGATTGAATTTCAATTTATGATCGAATGCAAAAACAAATTAATGAACGTAAATCTATTCAACTATTTCAGCATTTGTAATTAGTCTAGATCCATGAATCTCTATTCTCCTCTATCTTTACTCTAATAGTAATAAGTTTGATTTTCCATTATCTTAATTTGAATGCATGAAACGTAAGAGAAAATTTCGTATTTCTAAATTGAATAGTTGAATTCTAGCAGATAAGCACTTATGTAAAGAGCTTAATATTATATTTATTTTAGGACGCGAGACAATTTCTCTTCGGTAGATTTTAACAGCATGCTTATTCTTAAATGAAAAGACTACTTCGGGCGAAAAATGTATATGAATTAGATGCAAATCGAGGTCTATGGCAATGCAAAATGGAACTATCAGTATTTGATAGTTTTATGAGTGAGTTCTTATGAAACAAGATAGCTAGGTTATTTTTATGTTTTCTTCTACATGTTATTCTATCTACATTTTTTTTTCTTGGTTGCAGCTATCAAAATCTGCATCATAATCAGCAACGACGACATGCATTGGTATCATTTTCCCGGGCGTGTCATTTTTGTTTTGGATAGAATGATATTTTCGGCTCAAATGTTAAATTAAAAAAATAGTAGCTAACGTATCATAAACACACAGACTAAAAAGAAATGTATGTGACAATAATTAGATTGAGTAAGACTCTTAATATAAGTCTATTTAAAATAAAAAGAAATGATGCTGTTAGATTATAATTAATAACAAGTTAATAAGACGAGTCGACAGTTGAAATAGTATATAGTCAAACAAAATAAAGTTCTATATTGATCATTTAATCTCATGGTGAAACAACAAATACATAGTTAAAGTAATACAATCTGATTTGTTTCGAGACTAATTAGAATATTTGCTATTTTATAATATTATTAATAGCACTCTTAAATATTTCATCAGTAATAAGTCATCTTCAAATTGATTACATTATTTTTTGTAAAAGTTGACTGCAGCATATACATTTCAGCGTAATTTATCTTTGTAAAAGAAACCTCCCAAAGGGAAAACCTGAATGTTGAAAATTATGTATGCCATCATTGAAAATCCAAACAGCAAACATTAATATTTCTGTATGCCATAGAAGTATAATGTTTTTAATCTTTTGTTAGTTTTCATTCGATTACACATTTATAATTAATGTGGAAAAGAAACCTATTTTTGTTTTAGTTACGGCTATTTATTAAACTGAAAAGAGAGAACTCCGGTTCGAATATAACCAATGAGAATTTTCTCGCAACAAATTTCTTCATATACGCGTAGGTTTACGCATTGATTTTGTTTCTATGTTCTTATGTATTTAAAAATAAGTAATTCCAAGCGACTTGTGCTAAACGAGTCCGCTTATTCGATTGTAAATGGATGATTTCATTTTGATAAATATTGTACGCATGAAAATTGTTTTTTAGAAGGATTATTTCTTGTTTTGAGAGTCTACCATTTAATGTCAATGTTTTTTATTTATATGAATGTGTAAACTAATTTTTATTGCGGAAATGAAGAAGCGCGTGAGACAACGATTCTTTTTCTTTGCGTTCACAATAAACAGACATAAAAATAGAATAGCATCTAGTTCATTGCCGATATCTATTGTCCTATGATAAACTAAAATAGGCAAAGAATGTCTTGTTTATTTTCTTTTTTTAAATTAGTCGAATCTGAGCAGTTTGACTAGTCATGTCATGTCATGCTATGAACTATTGGTCTCTTTCATTTAAAACTAGATCATTGTTCGCTATTATTACGTTTCCGTTTCTATTCGAGACGACGGAAGTTAAACTGCGTGAGAAACCACCGGTGGCAAAAACCTATATTTTCTTTTATGCGGCACATAATAAATACAAATATAATTATATTCTAATAAGGGTCGCTATTCAAGAGACAATCATCGGTTGTAGAGATTAAAATTGTTAGATTTTCTACATGAGTAAAAAAAGTAGAAAATTGCTGAGATGCTAGCCGAAAAATAAGTATCGATCTATTTCCGTCTTCCTGAATCCTGAGCATTTGCGCATGTTTCTCGATTTTCCGTAACAAGCAAAAATAACGATGATATTGATCAAATATTAAAAGTATCAGGCGTCGGTTCCGTCCCACTATCGGATGTTGAAAGTTTTGTTCTACATTCATGATTGTTAATCTTTTCTCTCTACCTATATTTATTTCACCTCATATCGGTTCTTATTAAGAGTGACACCAGGATTTTATTCTAATAATTTTATTGATAATCAACTGGAATAGATTTGTTTCTATTTTATTCATTTTAAGATCTATGAAAGCAAAAGAAAAACATTCTGATGAACTTTTCGAACTGCTTCTTTTTTTTAATAATTTCTATACTTTTATAAAAGAAAAAGAAAAAGTATAGAACAATTTCCGTTTCTTTTTTTTCTTGAAAAAAACTTTTGCTTTTTATTATTTAAAAAGTAATAGAAACTGCAAAAATATATGCATGATTAATTTTTTCCTACGCATCATCATCATTCTAAGTAACACGCATTCGTAGGCAAAGTTAGTTCATTGCCAAAAGGCGCAATGGCTATTCTGTTTCATCCTTCAATTAGCATGCATCACTTTTTTACTTTTATATTTGTATCAACTATGGAAAACAAAACAAAGAAAAAAGTTTAGCTTCTGCGTGTGACAAATATCTATGCGTGTGAGACAAAATCTGCTCGATCTATTTATTAGATGACGTGAGAAAAGCCGAATAGTATTTTTGAATGCAATCGTGCATCGAAGTATGCCATGACATGCGGAAAAAAATAGGAAACAAATCATCATGTTGCCTATTTTCATCATCACTTTTTTTCTTTCTCTTTTTTTTTAGTTCTCATCCTAGTTGATTCAGTCATTCGAGTTGCTAGAAAGCGAACGAGAAATGGAAAGAGAACAGAAAATAGAGATGAAGGAAGAAGAAGAAGAAGAAGAAGAAGAAGTAGAAGTAGAAGTAGTAGTAGTAGAAGGAGGAACGTCTGGTAATACTTCTCTAGTGATTTTAGATGATCCACACATAAAGTATCTACAGTGACAGGCGACAACCGCCACGACAATACAATAGATGTCTATTTTTTATTTTCAAACGTCGCAACACCTCATCTATTTATAAATATATCATTTTACATAAAAGTAATAATAACAATAATAAGTCAAGCAAAATGCTTATTAAAGAATACCGCATTCCAGTGCCGATGAGCGTCGATGAATATCGGATTGCTCAATTGTATATGATTGTGGTAGGTATTGATTAATTAATAAATTAATTAAAAGCGTTAAACTTTTCATTCGTAGTAGACTTTATTTTCTAACGAAGTTCTCTTTTTTAGACACGCCAAATAAGCAGGAGAGGTAAAGGAAATTAAAAGAAAAAAAAAGAACTCAATATTGAGAGTTCATTGCTGCATGAGTTCATTATTTTGCTACGAAAATTTCTTCTTTAAGCTAACCAAAAGAAAACAAAAAATTATACGTTTTTTTTTCTTATTACACTAATCAATAATCATTAACATATTAGCGTGGGCTCGATTAGGTGCTTATGATAAGAAGAATAGTGTACTGTTTTTTTGCTACATTTAGAAAAAAAGCCGTGAAGAAACCAATGCTCCTGGTAGTGGAGTTGAAATTATCAAAAATGAGCCTTACACAAACGGACCTGGTGGTAATGGGCAATATACGTTTAAGATTTATCATATTGAACGTCATCTACCAGCATGGTTCAAAGCAATATTGCCGGCAAATGCAATGAAAATAGAGGAAGAAGCATGGAATGCATATCCATACACAAAAACACGTTACCGTTGTCCATTCATAGAACGATTTGTACTTGAAGTTGAAACATGTTATCAAGCTGATTTTGGTACACAAGAAAATATATTTAATTTAAAACCACAAGAACTCGAACAACGTGTTATTGGTTTGTACTTTAGCAATCTCGAAAAACAAGAAATTCTAATATATTTTATTTATTTAGAGTTTCTCGATATTGTTCATAGTCAACCATTAGCTGATATAGCTGCAGAAAATCCCGGTTTATTCCATTCGGACAAAACAGGTTCGTAGAAAAAAAAAGAAAAATCCCAAGATGATCATTGAGTTTTATCTAGAACAATTGAATATCGAATTCTAGCCGATCAGATAAAACTAATAGATGACAGTCGACTCGATAGGAAGACTTCGTTTGAGAAAAACTCTACTTTACATTCAATTCGTTTATCCGTAAAATAATGATTAAATCGTCGCTTCGTATATGTTGAATCGCTAGTTCGTTAGTTTAATGTTATTTTCAATTTAGGACGTGGCCCATTACTTCCGGATTGGTTCGAACAAATGAAAATCAACGCTCGGAAAGAGTCAATTATGTGTGCTTATAAATTATGTCGAGTTGAATTTCGCTATTGGGGAATGCAAAGTAAATGCGAACGGTTCATACATGAAATAGGTAATAATTTACGGGAAACATCGAATCGATTGTAGTGTTTTCGTTAAATAGCTTTACGCAAAACAATCTTACGTGCTCATCGTCAAGCCTGGTGTTGGCAAGATGAATATCAAGGTTTAACGCTAGCTGATATACGGCATTTAGAAGACGAAACTCAGCGTGAATTAAATAAACGCATGGCAAATTTTCAAAGTCAAAATATAAGCTTATCAATAACAAATCCCAATGCAGATGATGAGAATACAGGAACAACTGTAAATAACGAATTAAATCAACCATTATCATCAATGCGAAATCGGCAACTATCTATCGATAATATAAATGCGAATCGATCAAGAATTAATACATTTCCTATTCCACCATTGCCAAGAGATGAAACTGGCGACGATGAATATTTTGATGCTGAATGTAAACTAACAACATCATTTTATTTGAGTGAAAATTTTCATATCTAATTTTAGCTCATATTGATGCCGTAATGCCTTCTCGGTCTTTTCGAAATCTCAAATTATCATCCACCAATGAACGACTAATAAGAAGTGTTGATGATGACGAGCGAACCTATATTAGTCTATCGTCCGATGATGGTGATAACATATGTTCAATTGCTTATCTTATATTAATTTTCTATGGCGGTACGTAAAAATATTTCAGTTGTTTTAGTTAAGGAACCTTCTATTCTTCTTCTAATTAGGTAATGTGTTTTCAACAGAAGATTCATTTGAAAGTGCAAAACAAACTGATTTTCTTAGTATTCGTACGACATTTGATACTGTCATACGAAATCACTATTCACACATCGAAGGCAAACTAGCGATACGTTTTGTTGAATGCCCTTCAATATGCATAGAAACGATTAATCTACTTAATAGTTTATCACCCTATGGAATAACAAGCCTATCCTACGATATAGCACATAGTGAAACAATGCCAATAAATGCGATACCACTGTTTGCTATAGCAAATCCAAATTATCAAACTACATTAAACTATGTTATTGAATCGGCCAATAAGGTTTATCAAGAATTTTTAATATCTAAAGAAGGAAAATATTTTTCTGGACAAGTAAAAGCATAATAATAGAAATATATATTTTTTGAAAATAATTTCATCGTTGCTTTTTCTCAAAAGATTATTGTTGTTGGCGATGCTAATGGAGCTATTCTAGCTTATGATGCTTTATGCTTGAATCATAGTTTTGATGATGCAATTTCATTATATGGTGAAGGTAATTTATCGTAGGCTTTTTGTTTTCGAACATTCTATAAATAATTCAACACATAATTACGAAATTATGTGGAACTAGCCGTTGTAATTAGATGACATATTCTCAAGAGATGCATGCAGAGTTTTCAACATTTTTTCAAGAAGACACTCGATATATGATAGAGCTTAAGTTAATGAGAGTGTAGACATACAAAAGTAAAGCTCTCGTATTTAATAATGAAAAGTGAGCTTTAAGTTTATTTTTTTTTAATAAAATTACTTTGTACGCGACATGAAGGTAATTAAAAATATTCAAGTGAATGAACGTAATTCGAGTTATTCTACTGTTTTCATAGGGTTGAATGCAGCCATCAGAGCCATATAATTATTGATAATGATAATAATAATAATAATAAGTTCCGGGTCTATGTCAGTCAAAAATAAAACAAAGGATAACATTTTGACATTCATTTTCAAAAGCAACTATAACTAACTGTCGTTCAAATTCTACATTGTTCGATCTATAAATAGTTTTTACAAACCTTTTTCAGACAACAGACTGATCCATTAGAATTATTTTCATGATTACTAGTCTATAATTCAGTCATGGAATCTATACTATTCGATATAATTAATATTAGAGAGTAAATCCTAAAATAGCTTCAAGGCATTTGATCAGCAACATTAATTATATTTTTTTCAGTTTTCTATTAAATCCTAATGATTACGTTTAATAATAATATTTTTATTTTCGATTAATCATTTCCTTGATAATGTCTTTTCTTTTTCGAATGAAGAATGAATATCATTTTGTATGAAAACAGATTCAAACGTTTTGTTTTGTTTTGTTTAATTTGAAAAGATGCTTCAACTCCTCGCACTCCTGCGTTATCTAAACGAACGATTACAACTCTTCCACATGACAACAGTGATACAACAGCAGTTCAATCAGCCAATCGGCCAGTGCCAAGACGTACCATGACAATTGACAATACTGATCTTAGTGATAGCATGTAATAGAAAAAAAAAGATTTCTCTTGTATTGTATTCTCATAGAAAAATAATGATGCTCTGTTCAGATCACGCACAGGTGATAATAATCGTCAAAAACAAGACAACTACCGTTTGATGTTAACGTTTGATGCTAATGAATTTTTTTCATTTGGTTCGCCACTTTCACTTATACTTGCCTACAGAAGATTACTAACTGATAATGGTAATAGATTCTAAAGAAATCATTTTTTTGTTTCTAATCGACATTCTATTTTCTACTAGTTGTGCGTCCTTATTGCGGACAATTATATAATTTATTTCATGCATGTGATCCAAATGCATCTCGCATTGAACCCTTAATTCAATCTCAATTTAGCCAGATACCACCTTGTTGCATTCCTCGTTATTCACAATACCCATTAGGCGATGGAGAATCGACGTTACTTGGTAAGATAAACATCGAATCATTTCTAGATGATGGTTTTTTCTTCTTCGGATATTTCACAGTTGAATATGTACATCAATATTCAAGATTATTTTTACAAAATGAAACGAAAAATTCAACACTAGTAAATGCGGCTCGACCAACGAATGACAATAATTCCATTAATGCTGATACAATTTTTTCTAACAGTAATCTACATAGAATTTGTTTTTTTTTGTTGTTGTCAAAAACAAAAAGAATGATTTTCATTGTGATTTTAGTTCGAGAAATTTGGTGGGGTTCAAGACGTGTAGATTATGTTGTTTATTGCCCGGAATCTTTAATGAGTCAGCCAGCACATGTTCTGCCCATTGTCTTCCATTCAAGTTACTGGGAATCTCGTGATGTTGCATCTTTTATTTTACGAAAAGTAGATATTCATCAATTCATTGATTAGTTTACCGTGACTTTTTCGTTCTTTCTTAGATTTCACGAAGACAAGAAAACTATTATTTTTATAATAATCAAACGAGTATAAATCATACGTCTTTTGCTCCCGAACAACCAACAGAACGTTGGTTACATCGTACAACAGCTGTAAAAATTCGAGTAATTTATTTTCGATATTTCTTTCTTTACCAAAAATATTTGTTTTTCTAGAATTTAGCACCGAATCATCGTGGTAATGATACAATGATTGTGGATACAAAACCGCAAACCATCTATGCGAAATTTCACTATGGGCCTATCGATATGGTTTGTTTGGCGAATGAAAAAGTTAATATTTATGTTATGAGATCGGCTCCATATGGCGAATGGATATTATTGGACACGATTGAAACAGATACACACGGCCGCATACGATACACAATATCAGCAGATAAAAGATTACCATTAGGTTTACATCCTGTCAAACTTGTTGTTCGGTAAAGAATGGATTTAGATAAATTTTTTCTGTTACCAAACAGATATATTGTTCTGAATTAGAACTGTTATAAGTACGCTTTTAAACCAGAAAGTTAATTCTTTGAAGTAACTACTAAACTTTCTTTGTGCTCCTATTTGCACTAGATAGCCTAGAGCCGTGAGATTACTGAAAAGACAGGCCCGTTTTAATCTAAAACCTTTCTAAACTAAACTAATCATCATGCATTTTCCAAAGAGGATATTTTCATTCGTCGTGCAACTATTTAATTTGATAATATGAACGTGTCAAACTGAATTGAATTTAGCTGTCATTGAAAGATTCGAGCATTCACAGAAGACAATAAGTGAGATTGAAAGAGAAAACGAACTACGTCAGTAATAAATTTCCACTTGAAATACTCATGAAGTGAAAAAGTCCGATGAAACTAGATACAAAATTCTTTTTTTAAACATCAAACAACTGACTTTCTTATTTTTAATGGTAATTAAATTGAATTTCATCGGGTTATTTAAGTTAATTTGTAATTGTGTTGTTTTTACGTAGAAAAAAAAAACGCGATGCCTGGAATTGTGGAAATTTATTGTAATTCAATTAATGTTAATAGTATTCTTACCGCTTGATCTACTATTTTTACATTAGACAGTCATGAAGATATTTACTATTCGTTACAGAATGTCACGACTGTTTTTTCATCTACTAACATAAGTTTTCTTTTGGGAATACATTTCAAATGTACATATATTACTCAGCAGCAAACACTAAATAGAATTAATCCTGTTGTAAATTTACTATAGAAATATTTTTGTTTTCTTCCATCTAGTGGTGATCATACAACAGTTGATCTTTATTTAACTGTACTGCCGCCGAAAAGTGAAGCAGTACTATTTAGTATCGATGGTTCATTTACATCGAGTTTTTCTGTTAGCCACAATGATCCTAAAGTACGTCCAGGTGCTGTGGACGTTGTCAGGTAAATCAAATCAAATCATAATGTATTCCGAAAAATAATATTCATTCGTTAAAAAGATTTTGGCAAGAACTTGGTTATATTATTATATATGTAACTGCACGTCCTGATATACAACAACGACGAGTTGTTCATTGGCTTGCTCAGCATAATTTTCCTCATGGTTTGAAGACGATTAAAAAGAAAAGCTCGTTCAAAATTTTATTTATTTAGGCTTAACATTATTTAATGATGGAATTTCTCGTGAACCAATCAAACATAAATCGGAAATGATACGAAATCTTGTTGAAAATGCTGATTTGACTATTGTTGCTGCCTACGGTTCATGTAAAGATTTACCGTGCTATCAAGCAATTCATGTACTCGCCGAACGAATGTTTATTGTTGGAAAGGCAAAAAATCGCTTTCAAGGACAAGCGTCATTTATTGTCGATGGTTATGCTATGCATTTAGGTAAATTATTAAAACAAATGTTTCTGGAATCGAAGTTTCTCTATTCGCGTTTGACAAGAATAGATCGAAGCAAATTAATTTTATCATAGAAAATAGTTTCTACATCTGGAAACCGAATGAACACTTTTATGCATCTTGTCTGTTAAATATATCTATTGAGAGAAATATCATTTTAGACGTTTTCCAGACGCAAAAATTATTTATTAGGATAACTGACTGTGTAGTTTATAGACAGCTGCTAAAAATTGGAAACCGAATTGTCCGACATTCTTGTCTGTTTCACTATTTAATAATTTATGAAGTTAATTGAGATATAAAAAACATGTTTTGCTGTTCTACTTTTGTTATTTCGAGATAGAAATAACTTGGTAAGTTGTTAACTGCTCGATATTTTAAATTAACAATTATTCAAAATGTACTTTTAAGAAAAAAATTTCTATCATTTTATTTTGGTTTAAATTTTTCTTTAACCGAATGGTTTGACAAGGTTGCGAGAAAAATGAAAAGTTTACAGGGCTCATAGGTTTTGAAGTGAGATTTTCAAAAGTCTGAACATAAAGTTACTCAAATAATCCTGAGATGAATTATATAATCATATTAAATCGCCTATATGTTTCGCTCATAACCTAAGAATGAGCCAAACTTCTCACTCTAACTGAATGCTGTATTGTCCTCTGAGTATTTTTTTTTAAATTGAATTTTCTAAGAAAATCATATATCAACTGTTAAGTTTGATTTTAACAAAAAAACAAACAATTTCGTCTATTTTTATATTTTATTCTTAGCTGAAATTGCCAAACCTGGTATAATACGTGCATCGAAATCAAATTCTCGTCATTTAATACGTCGTGCATGTTTTAATATACCAAAATTATCTACATCATCAGCAGTAACATCGACGACTCAATCATTATCATCGGCAAATTCTTCGAATCAATCAAATTCACCAACATCCCAATCTTATACATTCTCAACTTACAATGCAACGACCGATCCATTGCCATCAACACATCGAAGAACAAGTTTACACGATCATTTAGTGGCTAGTGCATTTCAATCGAAAGAAGCACCTGCGAGAGGCATATCTCCTCGCATTCTTCGCAACACAGCCACAGCTAATATTTACAATCCCGCATCAATAGAAAAACTATAAACCTTACTATCAAATGACACTTAACATGATGTTGAATTTTCTTGCTTTTGTTTCTTATCTTTATTTATCTAGTCTATCTGTTTTTTAGTTAAGTGTGTCGATTTTTCTCATTTTGTATTTTTTGATGTGATAAATAGCAGCTGTATTGATTATCTTTTTCCCTCCTTCTTCTTCTTCTTTTGGTGTACATGTTTTGTTGGCATGCGACCATATATAAAGAGATTTCTGTTTTCTGGCGATTGTATATATCGGTAAATAGATATATTTTACTCGGTTATTCGTGTTCACTCAAAAATATAAATGGATAAACAAATTGTCAATGGTTTCTCATCTAATGAACTGCAAGGTAGTACATCATTCAATTTCATCAATAGTTAGTTATAGCATTTATTCGAAGCATTACTCACCGAGTTGATTTGATTCAATGATTGATTTGAATACATTCGGGGATAGTACGTTGATCATATAGGCCGTTTTTTTATTTAGAACGCTGTACTGAGGTACTTTATATTTTTAAAAACTACTAAATAGGTAAGAGAGCACAGGCCAAGAAATGTATTTTCTAATGAAGCGGGCTAGTAAAAATTACTGCATTGCAGATCATGAAAAAGATATCTAGATTTGAGCGGGATGATAATTTTAGTTTTTTGGGATTACTGAGAAAGATAAACTAAATTTAACGCTGGGGTCCTACTAGGAAGATCTTTCATATTAAAGGAGCGTCCGATTTCTTTATCACATTATATTCGAATTTATATTCTTGATTTTTACCGCATTGTATTGTCTGAGAATATTTTATTGGTTCGTTTAATACTCAATAGAATCAAATGAAAAACACTTTAAAAAAGTGTTCGGTTTCTTAGAGACATAACATTTAAAAAATAGAACATCTCGTTAACTAAAAATGATGTATTATTATTGTGAAAATTTTTAGAATTATTTCATAAAGCTCATTTGGCTAAGCATAGAGCTCATTGTCCCTACTCACAATTTCGGTATGATTTGAAAATCGCTCTATGCAGTGTATCTTTTTTTATTGTGAACGTTTTCATTGAAAAGAGTAGGAGCTGCTTTATTGACAACAACAGGCAAAATTTATACCGGATGTAACGTTGAAAATGCGGCATATCCATTATCGACTTGTGCTGAACGAACAGCAGTTGTAAAAGCTGTATCTGATGGTGAAAAATCTTTTAAAAAAATTGCCATTACATCGTAAGTCTATCTTCAGAAAAAGAGAAAAACAAAAGATCATCTATACGTATATATGTACGTTTATTTCCTCTTAGTGATGTTGAAATTGGTTTTACTGGTCCATGTGGTTCGTGTCGGCAAACATTAGCTGAATTCGGTCTGGACATGGATATTTATCTTATAAGTCCAAACAATGAAGCAAAGATGTATACACTTCGGGATTTATTACCCATCGCTTTTACACCTCAAGACCTTCAAAAACCTCGTGCAAGCCATGATATAATACTTTGATTGCTTTTGTTTTCAATAAAATGAATAGATATTTGATTGGAAATCACTGTTTTTTATATATCTGTATTTCCTGTTTATCTTTACATTTTCAGACATGTTGGATTCAGAATCAGAAACAGGATTGCAAAAAGATGAAACACTTCACTATTTTTCATCGACGCCGACTCCACATGGACATAGTAAAAATTCCCTAAAGGTTACTTTTTAATCATTTTTCTTTCATGTTCCTCTAGCTATGTGTCCTCTTGGCCATATAATTGATCATACGAAACCAGATATAACTGTATTATGTGAATTGTGTAAATCTTTTCTACATGTTAGCGAATTAAACACACACACAATATATCATAATGCGCTGAAATTATATAAATTCAAAGTAAAGAAAAATAATTTTTCAATTTCCAAAAAGTATCAATCATTTATATGAAAGGAAGTTCCAAATAAAATGGATGTCATACTTCGACGAAGAGATCTACTTATTCAACGGATGCAACGTTTAAATATATCTGCAGAATCTTATTTCAAGTATGTTAAAACAATTAATGATGGATTTCAAATTTTAAAACGAACTATTGAACCATACATGTATGGAGAGAATGGATGCATATATGATAATCGCGAAGCATCCTGTGTACAAGGTGACTTTTATTTCGTGAATATTACGGATAATAACTATTACTATAGGTTTCAGTTTTGTACCACGTAACCGACTATTTCTCAGTATTGGTATGTGCACTAGTCAAAATAAACAACATAAAGCCGACATGGAAGATAGTATGAGATTTATTGATTGTTTCGGTATGTGAAGAAAAAAAATAACATAAATAGACATTTTGGTATTTATTTTATCTAACTCGTAGATCCAATATTTTATTAATATTAACTCACATGCTATCTTCTTATAGAAACCTGGTGCACCCGCGTGTTCTATACACCAAAATATATGTAAAAATAAGTATGCACCACTTGCTGTCTTCGTCTTATGCTTTATGCTTAAATGTTGAAAACAAATTGCACATTGTGTTTGCATCAGCAGATCGAAAGTCGAAAGAATTTCTTTGGGAAAACAAAAAATTTAGATGAGGAAAAAACAAACTTTAAATCGATTCTGAATAGCGCATTAGAAAAAGACAAGGACATTCTGCACATAATTTCATTGGGACACCTGAATTTCAATACTTCATTTTACACGATGAAGCATCTATTTTGTTTTCACCCTTGATCGTACAATTTTAGGTGGTAAAGAAAAATTTGCATACGTTGGCTTATTCGATGGTTACAATGGAAAAGCGTCTAGTTCATTATGTCGTGAACATTTTCATGATGCAATTCTATTTGAAATGTCTAAATTAATAAACGAGATGAATGGCACGGAAGCTGAAGAAACTCTTATAAATCGTCTCTATGCGCGTATGGTTGATCCCTCTAGTGAGTTCAGTAGTGTAAAAAATATTGGTGATGTATATCGTTTGGCTTATTTAAAAATGGATCATCTTCTATCTCGTGGTGTGAATGAAACATCAAGCGTTCGTTGGAGTGGTACATCAGCATGTACAGCTGTAATAGTTACTAATGATAACATTGACGAGTTATTAGCTGATTTAGAAAACGATGATAATCCCGACAATGAAAAAAAGGGCCGTATTGCTCTTGGACATATTCATGTTGCTAATTGTGGTACGATTTGTTTGGGAGAGAAAATTGTTTGAATTTTGTTTTTGTTTCTAAAGGAAATGTTGAAGCATTAGGTATTCGCGGTCGCGAAGCTTTTCTATTGACACAAAAGCATACACCAGCTAATAAACACGAACGTGAAAGAATATTAGGAGCAGGTAAATTTTTTTGCGTCGCTCGAAATTAAATTGTCAGTCAATGCAAATTTCAATAATTTAGGTGTTAAAATAAATGATAATGATTTAGTCGCTGGTATACTTGAAACAAGTCGTGGATTAGGTAATCATGGTGATAAAGTTATTAAGAAGAGTGTCATTAATTCACCTTATGTTTGGACATATGAAATTGACCCATCATTAGAATGTATTATATTAGCTACGGAAGGTCTTTGGCAAGTGCTTCAAAATGATGTTGTTGTTGATATAGTTACACAAGTAATTAAAAGCAAATTTTTATTTTTTATTTTACTATAGAATCTATTGTTTTACTCAATAGGCTTTACCATCTCACCATCTGCCAATACCTAGTCGTGTTGAAACAGCACTTCGATCTGTACTTGAAAAATACGGGAAAACAACACATACGCCTTATTTTACACATGAAGATGAAGTTCTCAATTGTATGAATGAACTTTTATATCTCATTGAAGAAAATACAGATGGTGATAATCAAAATGATAAAATGAACTTTTTATCTACGTGTAATCGTGCAGTACAGTGTTCTGAAGATGAAATTCATCAAGAAATTTGGAATTCTCTTTCTGCTGAATGTCGTCTTCGTCTTGAACTAGCGCAAACCATAGCCGAGCGGCTCGTTTCCGCTGCGTTATTAGCACAATCAAAAACAAATGTCAGTGTCATATGTCTTTTATTACCCGGTGCAGCTGTTTAAATTTTCTTGTTTTTTCAAAATAAAAAAACAAAACATTTCACAATAGTTTTTTTAGAGTTAATAAAAAATAAGGTTTTTCATTATAATAAGGCACAAAAAAACTATAGTCAAAAAGATAAATAAACGTCCCTGTGGTTTTTTTTCCCGTTATGTTAACCAATTCAATGTAGGCACGTTATGTCGTAAGGCAAAAAATGTTTCATATTTGACATTATAGTCCGGTGATCGTTTTTGAGGTTCTTTATAACGCACTGTTGTTTTTTGAGCTAAATAACTAATTAATTCACATTGTTCTTCGAATATATATAATTTTCTTCGAAATTTTCTTCGTAGATAATCCGAACTTTTGGTGTTATATGCTTTAAGATGGTAAGCCATGTAAGTTAATGCTGATGCTTGTACAGATAGAAATGGAAATTTCGGTTTAAAACAACCTGTAGCTGTTAAACTCTTAATAATTGCTGTTGCTACTGTTTGTTCTAAATAGCCAAGGCACGGTAAATTCAATAGATCAATTGGATTCTTTGGTGGAGGAAGTTTATTTGGTAATCGAATATTCCAATATTTTTCTGGTTGTCTATCGAAGAGAAAGAGCGATTAGAAAAAATAGAAAAAATAATTATTATAAACCTCATAAATTTTTCTCGTGCTTCTTCATTTAATAGAAAATATAATTTATCACGATATTCAACAGCAAATTCTTGCTGGCCAAGAACCAAACATTCGTATCTAAAATGAATTGAAGAAAGTTCATTGTGATACAATAGTTTAGATAATTTACTTTTTTCCACCATCAAGATATGTAACTGGACAATAGCCAGCAAATTCAATAGGTTTTGGAAACATAGCTTTTGCTTCTGCTTCAGTTCGACGATGTGGTCGACGATTTGGTGGCGGAAGTAATTTTCGAGGTTCAAGTGGTGCATAACGTTCGGGATCATCCAGAAACAGTTCAAGTTCTTTCGGTCCAGTCATACGATAATATCGTCCTATGGAAATTAAACGTATAGTTATTAGAAACATTTTAAAACTAGAAAGTACGAAGAATATTTTTTACTTCAAAATATACTGTTAAAAATTTACTTGTAATATGAGCTATTAATTAGTTAGACGTATTGGACCAGAATATATATGAATAAAATATGCATCTCAATGTGAGTAGTTCATCGAAATTTAAATCGTTTCAACAGTATCTATATTTACCTCGATATTCCGCAATATAATCAGTTTTTGTATCAGCTGAACAATCAACAAGTTCATCTCTTAGTGTTAATGATACTGGACAATAATGTACATATTCTCCCAAACGATTCGATAATTCTTGTGGTGAAATACATAAATCAGCAATACTAGCTGCCTTATTGAATGATTTTCTTTCAAGGTAAGTTTGAATTTTTTTCGTTACGGCCGCTGTTTCGTTTAGTATTCTATCCCAAATAAGCCATTTATTACTTTTAGCATTAAGAGCCATCCAATTTTTATGTACTTCTGTATACCATTGACGTACAGGCATGATTTCATGTTGATAAGTAGCATTTTTATATGCAATAGCTTCTGGACTATCAGGTAATGGATATGGACGCCTATGAAGAAAACACAAATGAAACCATTCGTAACAAGTAAAAATCTAAGGTTACTTTAAATCACTACGATCTTTCATAGCTCGTATTGTGCATTCAGTTACATCACATTCTAATTCAAATAATTTAAATGGAATAATTCCTTTTTCAACAAGTAATTCAACATGTTTCTTTGTTAAAGGAAAACCATCCAGAATAAAACTGAAATACAAACAAAGAGTTGCCGAAATGAATTCATTTAATAAAACAAATTTTTTTACCCTCTCGTTTGACATTTTGCATTCATGAGTGCAACTTCCAAGCAGCGGACAGCTGTTTCCGGTAGTATTTCTTTGCCTTTGATAAGTACTTCTTGCATTTCTTTACCAAGAATTGTATGACGTTGTTTCTCCAAAATATATCGAATAGCGTCACCCTAAAAAAAAAGATAACTATTAAGCATTTAAACTACTTGGATTGAACTTACCAGTGAGATACGAACACATCCCATTTCTTGAACAATACGGTTAGCAGCTATCGAAAAAACAAGAAAATCAAAATTTATTTACAAAATAATTGTCAACACGGTTGATACTGTCATTGTATTTAACGCAAGTCTTACACTGAATCGTTCAGAATACAACAAGATGCTCATATTCGATATCTAACACAAGACTACGGTAAGCATCTAGACGAATATTAGGACGTATTCTTTATAGTGTGCTCAACGTGAGGAATGCACTCGCATGATTCCGCAAAAAGCACTCCTTCATCTATACAAACTACAGAATGTGGGTGTTTCAGAGCTGAGTTCACGTGTTTTTTTTGATATTTTAGATAATGCTTCTAGAGTCTCAATGCTGCTCGCTTCCGCACTTGAGAAACTACTTTGAATTTGTAGGTATCAAAAAGAACGAAAACAAACCGGTCGTTTTGCCAGATTTCGGTGGACCAACGATAGCAATTTTAGCTGGTATGAGCGATTTCGGTGGTGATTGGTGAGCGTAAAACATCGGATTTTTAATGAACTCATTTCGTGCTTCTTCATCAGCTAAGTAATAAATATATTTTCGATAGATAACTGTACAAGGAGATTTATCAGGCCCAAATGGTGGTGGAAAACAATCACCGTTATGCAACTAAATAATGAAAAAACCAGCTGAAAACAAGATAAGAATATATTTGCAGTACATACAGATACAGGACAGAATTTTCCGAATTTAGAATAATGTAAATAACCAGCATCGATTAATTTTTGTGCTAATTGAGCTTTTATTGGATAAACACGTTCGAATAAATTCTTTCTTAATGTTGTAAACCGTTCGATTTTTTTCATAATACGATTTCGAACAAAACGCGGTTTATCTGATGCATTGACGTGTGCAAATGGAATATATTCTTGTTGAATAACTTTCTAATAAAAATAAAGAAATCGACCGATTAAAGTATGTTTTTTGGTCATTCGGATTAGACTCGATTGAACGTACTTTAACACCTTCGATTTTGTCTTTGGCATCATTGGCTTGTTGTTCAATCATTTCACCAATGCGACCCTTTGCTGTTTCAGCATCTTCTGCGTCTTGTGCTACATCACCTTCTTCTTCATCGCCCTAAATAATGAAGAATTATGATTTTTGAATAACAGTATGACGGTTTCTAGACGCCTGAGCCTAGATTAACTAGTATTTAATCAAAAATATTCTTTCATAGCTAGTTTACCATTACGAAAAAAGTTAACAATAGAACTCAGTAGTTATAAAACCACTTTTCAAGAAAAGTTCGACATTCATCGCGAGTCTCGAATATTAGTTCCTTCGAAGATATATTTTAATCATACAAGCTAAAGGTCACTTAATTGTCCCCAATAGTCATATTTGCTCTCCTACTATGCAAATAGTGCATTTGAAATTCTTTTTGTAAATATTTGACACTGTTTTTATCGAGAGGAGTAGACATTCTTGTAGTTTCTTGTACTGTGTTTCAATTTTTTAATAAATACTTTAAGCTATGTTATTGCCGGAAAAAACAACCTTAACACTTATTTATGTCGAATCGCATCAATTCATAATTTAATGACTTGAATATTCATATTTGTAATTATCTCCGCTGTATTCCTACTAGATAAGTCTACATTCTACAATAGATTTCATTTACCTGAAATTCACTGGCTAGTATCTGTTCGATTTCATCATCTTCAACTGTTTCACCCTACAGATAAAAAACAGCAATATGAATTTTTCTGTTGTATTTAACGAGCAATATCCTACCGCTTCAATACGTTTTTGACGTTCAAGAACCAATTCAACTCGTCGTTCATCCATTGCTTTTTTCTATAAAACAATAAAAATAAAATTTTCCTAAATTCTAGCCGACAAATATTCGCTCTTTCCCAACCTTATCACGATCTTTTTTCGCTTTATTTTTCAGTCGTTTTTCTTTTCGTAGTTGCATTTTTGTTCGCCATTGTTCCATACGTCTTGGCAATATTCGTTTTAATATATCTTTACCTTCAGCATTCAATTGAATAACAACATCGGGTATTAATTGATTATCAATCATATAAACAGTTTCGTCTTCTGACGATGGAAAACCTTCGAGAACAATGCCACGCGAACGATACGGCTCTTCAGTCCACCATGGTTTAACAATTTTATCAAGAATTTCCGGTGCTAACGGTTCACCATCTTGTAAATATGCCTTGATATTTTCTTCTTCGGATGTTAACTCTTCACTCTAGAGAACAAAAAACAATCGATTAAAAGCAAAAATTCAATGGCATTTTTATTTACTTCATCGGCTGGTTTTTCAGCTTTTTGATCTTCTTCTTCTTCTCTATTAATTTTTTAAATAAAAGACAGTAAAAATTGTAAAAATTTAGTTTATTTTATTCTTACGGATCACCATCATCTCGTGCTTCATTGTATTCTGGTCCAATTCTCACTTTCGTTTTACCAATAAGTAATTCTTGTAGACGATCGCGAAATTTGATGTGAAATGTATTGTATTTAATAGCTAATTCACGTCCATGTAAACTTTTACCAACACCTTCAGGTCCAATAAAAACGATACGCGTAGAAGGTAGCTATCAAAACAAGAAAAAAAAACACATTTATTATTACAATTACAAGCTAACCTATTATCTAATAGGTTCGAGCAATTTTAAGGTAAAAGAACCTGTATGATCTACTCTTGTGAACATGATTTACGATTGCATGGAGCCTTCCTTTCGCCTGAGACGACGATCTTACTGGACACAGAATACTTATTAGTTCTATTCTTAGGAAAAGTACTTTCAATGACGAATAATCTACATTTTGCGTTTACTATCAAAGAAACTCTATGGACAGTTATTTCATCTATGTAATCAAAATTTTAAGATGATAGTTGAGTTTTCAATAAAATAAATAATTACCGTTGGTGGTTTGTTGGTCGGTAGATATTTCAGTGGTGCTTGTAAAAACAGACTTCGATTATCTTCATTGGCGAATCGATATGTTTTCGCTTTATATGAAAGAGTAAAATCGGGTTTGCCGGGTATGAGCATATTTTTATCGTATAATGCGACTGGATCATAGATATTTGTATCGCCAAGATGTTTTTTTCGATCACGTTTAAATAAATCAACTATTTCTTCTTCTTCTTCGTTGTCATCCTCGCCGCTTTCCTCTTCGACACCAGCTTCTTCTTCTTCTTCATCAACTTCTTCTTCATTACTTTCATTTTCAATTACAGTATATTTATATTGTTCTAAAAAAAACTTTAAATAGAAAAACCAAAAAACGTTATTGTAAGAAAACATACTTTCTAGTGCATCATAGGCTTCTTGAAATATTTCTTCATTGGTTTTCAATTTTTCTGCATCTTCTTTCAGTAATTCAATAATAATTGGTTCAATATTATAAATACTTGATACTGTTTTCATTAAATCACTTATACGAGTTATATCAGTACGAGCCTGCTGAACAAAAGCCTCCTGTTCAATACCAGCTGGTGGTAAAGTGTCTTGTTCGAAAAGAATAGGCGATGTTGATGGCGGTAGACGAGTAAGATCGATGCCCGAAGCAACTATATACATTCGATAGTTTTGTTTAGAAAGAAACCGTTCATTATGCGATACATACTACTCGATTTGTCTTTGTCAGGTTCTTTGCTCATCGTTTCGTCCTCTTAAAAGAAATATCTGTTAGAAAAACTTGCCATTTATTTTAAAAATATCACACATGAACAACAATGGTCCTGATGAAAATCAAAAATTTTAATACTGTTAGCGAATTTCATCATTGCGTTTGATTTATTCTTAGACCTGTACGTTACCGAACATTGTTTATAGACTTCAATAAGTGATAAAGTCAAAAAAAGTGAAAGACTATTCATCCCTTTTCGGCTTAAGTATGTATAGATGAGTTGATGAGAATAGATGAACAAATCTGTTTTATTTAGTTACAAAAACTGATTTTTACTGATCAGGGAAACAATATTCTTAATGATTTTCTATATCTCGGTAGTGTAATAATTTCCTTCAAATGTTTGAAGTTACTTTCGTATTTGAACTAGCCTTTTCGATGAGGGTCACGAATGCTCAGCTAATAATGATAATAGCTCTTCTTGATAATGCAAAGAAACAAAAAATCCTTCTGTATTTTGAATCAAAAAATATCCAAATTTTGATACAGTTTTTAGCAGCGTACCTTCTGGTATTGTTTCTGGAATTTTATCGATAAAATCTTCTTTTTTTGGTTCATAATTTCGATCGTCAAGTATAGCTTGTTCCATTTCTATACAAAAGCAGACTTAATAAATTAGTAAAAAAATATAAAAATTAGTCATTGAACCTTTTTCAGCCGCGTCATCTTCATCGTCAACTGGCTCGCCTGCTTCAACTTTTCTTTGTCGTTCAGCTAATCGTTCGTTTCGTTCTTGTTCAGCAATCATTTTCATTTCTTCCATTCGTCGCCTTCAAAAAACAAACAATTTAAAAATGTTTATCTATGTAATTTAAATCATTTTTATTCTACTTTTGTTCTTCATCTTTAATTCGTCTTTCATTAGCTTCACGATCTTCACGTTCACGAATTTCTCTATCGATTTCAGTTCGATTTGCTTGATACCAGCGTTTTTGTAATGCTTCTAATTGTGCATGACTATCTTGTACAACAACAACATCATCTGGATGAATATTTTTTTCATTCAATATTGCCCAAACTTCATTATCATATGGAAAATTAACAAATATCCAATTGCCAAATCTAGAATTCAAATAGAAAATGAATGCGAAGAACAAGTTCAAAAATTATTTACAAAGGTCCATTGGGATTTTTCTCTCGTTGTTCTAGTTCAATATTTTGAATAGCTTTATGCATTAATTCAGCATAAACATCTGCTGGAATATTAACTGCTGCATTGCCGGCTTCTTCCATTGCTTGCTCGACAGCTTTTTTCACTTCAGGATGATCAGCTGTTACTTTTCCTACGGGTTCCACTTGTGTCGGAGCATCTTCAGGGCCTAAACCATGCAGATCTTCTTTAGGCACTCCAGTAGGCGGCACTGGTGAACGTCCAGTTGGTGGCGACCGGCCTGCTGGTGATGATGTTGATTCACCTGGTCTTGGTGAAGATGCTGATTCAGTTGGCGGTGGAGATGATGCTGATTCAGCTGGTGGTGGTGGTGATGATGAGGATTCAGCTGGCGGTGGTGGCGATGATGAGGATTCAGCTGGCGGTGGTGATGAACGTTCGGTTGCTGCTGGCGGTTGTTCTTCAGACTCTTCATCATCAGGAGTTTGAACTTTTTCTGCTGTTTCAAGACTGTTTGGATCGATCGCTGCTTCATTATCGTCCCTATTCAATGCGTCCTGTTCTTCATCTACTCTACCTTCTGCTTTCGATGATGATGATTCTCGATTTAATCTTTCTAGAAAAGAACAAAATTGCTAAACTAATATCTGTGATTTTACTATGTGAAAAAAGAATACAACTACTATTGTTAATCGCAGAATTTCAGAGCACATGTCATTATCATTTTTGTACTTAATTTTTTTTTCTTTTTTTTTATAGATTCGAACAATATTTGTCATTGTGTATCTACAACGCCTGTTATACGCAGGGCAGGAAAGTGTTGTTTCGATGAAAGTCTTAGTACTCGGTATTCTAGTTCTATTTAAAACGAACAATCTACTTATCTAAAGATTTCATGTGAGATACAGTGACCTCAACAGCAAACTAGAATAGGAAGTTCTGGGAATTTTGTCTACAAGAAAAACCTATACTCCAAAGTCAATCCCTATTATTAGGAGAAAAGCTTGTCGATATTCATCCGTCTACTTCAGCACTCTTTTTACTTAGTCTTGAAAAAATACATATGAAGATATCATTTTTTTCATCGAACCTGCAGCATCAGCATCAAGTTGTTGTTGTACTTTTTCGATTGTAGTTCGTTCGATTTCACTCTTTATATTTTCAATATATTGCTGACGAAGTTCATCCATTTTTGGTTTAGCATATGTTACCATATCAATAACCTTAAGAGCAACGAATAGATTGTTATCTTAATTGTTTATTATCAAACTTACTGTTGCATTATATTTTTTTGCAATTTCTTGTGCTAACTGTTCAACACCCGAAGCTCGAGGACCATAGAGAAACAGTTTACATGGTGCTCGAGGTTGCAATATATATCGTCGAGGATTTTTTTGAAATTCTTTTAATGATTCTTTACTTGAAAGAACGAATATTTTATCCATAAAACTAAATAAATCAAGTATTTTAAACTTTTTCTTCTCGCTCCTGTAGATTCAAATCAATTAGCTTACTGCACAGCTAGATCTTGTCGACCAGGTACACGATTTCCTTGTTTCAAAGCAACTGGATCAAGACGTAACCATCGACTTCTTTGCCATTTATATTTATTTGATAGTACATTTGAACTAGTTAATGAATTCATCAGCTCTTCTGTTTCCATTTCATCAGCTGGCGCCGCTTCTTCAGCAGGCGCTGGATCGTTACGAATGGCTTTTTCACCTTCTTCTTCTTCGTTTTCTATAAAAAAAATAAAATAAAGAACAATATTCATCTCAAATGGGCCTTTCTTGTCCGTCTAAATGGAGATGCATACCCATTTCACCTGATTCATGTGAAATTTCTTCTTCGTCTATTTCAGGTGGAAAGAATCGTTGTACTAGTGCTGCTCGTCGGATTGCATATGCATTAAGACGTTCAAGTAATTGTTCAAATAAAATTGTCGGTGACATATTTCCATCGAGTTCAACTAAATACGATTGTGGTAAACTAGCCATGTATTCTTCTAGCATTCGTAACAATTGATCTTTAAAAAATTGAATACTTTCGTCCACATCAGGTATCATATCTTCAGGTCGAGTTACTAATCGTTCGACAATTTCGGTCGGAACCGGTGCGAAAAATTCATCCTAGAAGAAAGCAGCGTTTAATCATCTTTTGAGAGTTGTTTTCCTTCACTTATTTAATACATACAGTTACTTGATCGTCTTCTTCTCCTTCTTCCTCACCATTATCAGGATCTTCATCAATATCACTGACATCATCATCGTCGCCTGTTTGCTGTTTGCCAGTCTAAATTAGTGATTCTTTTTTATTCTTTCACTTTGAAATATATTGCAATACATGAAAACGCTCCCATCAATTTTTATTGATGAATTCTATATGACTTACTGTTTTTTGAACGGGTGCTGGCGCATATTGTTCTTTAATATACATAATACCAGTCATAGGATCAATTTTTTCTTCTTTTCGTCTATTGATTAAATCATTATCAGGTATACGAATATTAATAACATAATCAGGAGGTAATGGCCAATTTTTCATAGTATCTATTTGATCACGTAGTTTCATTGTATTTTCATCGATTAATGGAAATCCGTCCAGAATATAGCCTATAAAAAATAAAATAACATTCGAACGAAATCATTTATTTTTCTACCAACCATGATGAGCTACTTCTGGCGAACGCATTTTAATATCTAACATTCGCGCAATCATTTGATCAGGGACAGCTTCGCCATGTACAAGTAATTCACGTGCATGCATACCGATTTCAGTTTTTTGTTTCATATTTGATGTAATAAGATCAGGAACTATCAAACACAAAGAACGCTATTGGAACGAATATTGAAACAGCCGAAAAATAATCTTACGATTGATAAGTTCAGCATGCCAATCGTCAGCTAATTTTCTTGCTAAGGCTGTTTTACCGACGCCAGGTTTACCAACAAGAAGAAAACATGTTGGTTTAGCTTCAAGATATTTTTTATCGGCCTAAATTTCAATCAGTCATATTAATGCATATCGATTTTGCTTCTTCATACATTTTAAATTTTCAAGAGTTTGAGAGTGACTATTTTTCGGTTTCTATCATTACTATCAAATATTCTCTAAGCAACTCAATAGTTTTACAATTTGCAATGAATGATATACTAATCTTTGGATAGGTTTCCATAAAGATCATAGGTCAATAATCAAATTTTATTTCTTATCGAAAAAAATGAATTTGTACTAAAAACAGTTTTTTTTTTACAATTCGAATTAATTATGTTTCATATTCGAAAAAGATGATTAAATTAGTCATAGCAATTTTTTCGATCGCGTATCATTTCGCTAATTGAACTAGTCAATAAAGAAGTGACGAGCCTCGAAATATGTACATCAAAATTAATCTTGGTAATTGGCTGAAAATTTTAACGCAAAACTCTATTTCTTATCGATCATTCTAGATCCATAACTAAATGGTATTATTATATAAGAATCGAGATCGATTATCTCATTCTGATAAAAAAAAGACTTACTTCTTCCACATCATAAGAATCAACGTCAAACAGTTGGGTCAGCTCAATTTTGTCTGCACTGTCAGCTTTTAATTTTGACACATTCTATAATAAAAGCAGAAAGAAGAAAACAAGCAAGATTTCAATTGAAGAGGTTTCTTTCGTTATCTATTTACATTAATTTCAGATTTCGGCGGATCACCATATTGAAACGAAGAATCTTGACGATTAGAGTAATTCTTTAAACTAGCACGGGGGTCAGCGATGGCCGATTCTTGTTGCTCGATCATCACTATCAATAAGGCACTTCACTAAAATGAAATAAATTAAAAGCCAAACATCAGTTGCCATCTGCTGTGTTGGTTGCTTAGACACAACCTTCACTTTCCGATAGATGTCGCTTTAACCGTACGAGAAAGAAAAAAAAATCAAATACGAAAAAAACTTAACTTATTTGTAATAAAATCATTGTTTTTCTTTTATTTAATTTATTTTAGAATAAAATATTCGAAAAAAATTCTTCAGTCAAAATTCCATAAAGCGTTCTTTGTCATTTGATTATGGCTATTTAATCAACAACAACAACAATAAATAGTATTGAAAAAAAGGAAAAAAATAGAATCATATTCAAAATGTTTTTTTATTCAATTGTTTTGTTTTATTTGTTTGTATATGTTCATTAAGTCTAATCAAAGTTCGTTTCTCGAACTGAATCTATTCATTCTAAAATGACAACAACTGAAAGTTATCATTCAACATTTACAAATTCATTAATTGATAATTCAATTTCATTAATCAAAGATGAAGACCCGTCATTACTTGTTGCCAATGTAACAATCGATGAATTAGTTGAATCATGTTGTAATGAAGTATTACCGCCTTCTTCATCTAGTCAATTAAATAGCAGTAGTGTTTCCCCAACACATCTTGTTCGATTTGTTCATTCACAATCGTCGTTTGTCAGTCAGATAGATGATCCTAATATTCAACCAACACCTTCAAATATCACAATTTCTAGTCATGAAATGCCACCTATGAAACAAACGCCATTTATAAATGTTACCCGTTTACCATCGCCATTTTCAACAATTAAACCTAAGACAATTATTGAATCAACAAATTCAATGTATAACACAACTAATTTAAGTAACATAACTGCTAATAATATTAGTGTCAATAATTATAATGTTAATATTCATACAACCAATGTTCAACAGCCAACACAACCAATAGTCAATAATAATAATAATAATAATAATAATAATAATGATCATACGAAAAAAAATTGTAATCCTTTAGATGAAAAACAAACAACTGAAATAGTCACACAAATTTTAAAAAATATTAAAGAAGTTGATAATAATAACGAACAAACAACAACAAATTACAACATCCATATTGATTCATTTAATTTTTCATCATCAAACGAACAACAAACAATTTTAAATAAAAAATCACGAATTAGAAAAGAAGCAAAAGCATTAACAAAAATTATTGTTAAAGACGATATGACACCTGTCATGTCACCGAATTTCTCACGAAATAAAAAATTAGTCAAAAATACATCAAATTCAATGGATAATATTCAAACATCAACAGAATATATTCCAGTACCATATGGGTGGCAAAGAAGAATATTAGCTTCAGATCTTGTTGTTTATATAAGGTAAGGATATCGATAATCGTTACCTTGAGAATGGCGGATCGTATGTGTTTCTACTCCTATATTTCGAGTACGACATACTTGAGAAACATATCTAGAGCGAAAACAGTTCTATGTCGAGTACGTGAAATAGAAATCATTCATGCACGATATTCTTTTGTTCTTCGATTAATTCACAAGAGAGTATAATATATTTCTCTTTTCACTGTGTGCTTATTTAGTCCAACTAACATACTACTTGATTCATTGGATGCGATACGTCAATATATTGAATCACCAACATCATGCAAATGTGGTCTTCAATGTCCATTGATTATTGAAAAGGTTGGTTTCGATATATCGAATTGAGAATGTCTTTATTTTGTATTAAAAATTTCATTGTAATTTTAGGTATTCAATTTTGATCCAAGTAAAAAATCGAAATCTTGGGAAGTAGTACAAGTTCTCGAAGGAACACATTGCCGACAAAAATCAAATATTTTAGAAATGGCTACGTTAACAAACTGTATTGATTCATTTAGTGAAACCGAACAAAAAGCAGGTTGGATTAAGATTGCTTTTTTTGTCTTGTTTTTTAAAATCAGTTTTTATCATAGCTAAACGTCGGAAGCGTGTACATAACGAAACAACAAATGGAAATGTTTTTGTATGTGCTTCAAATATAATGGGAAATAGTAATAATGAATCAGTTGTTTTTGTTAATAATACTGAACACATATCAGGTACAGATCGATTTATTTATTCTGTGGTTTTTAGTCTAGTTTTTTAAAATTTTGTTTTCAGAAAGTGGTCAATCGATGACATGGACTCCTGTAAAACAAACGAATATAACTCCATCATCGAAACGGCCACGTGGTCGCCCACGTAAAACTGCAGCTACATCGCCTATCGTAACTCAATTAGCGTCTAAACCAGCCAATGATCTCTATCAAACTCAACCTGTTCCATCATCCATTCTTTCTCCACCAGCATCCGTCTCATCAATGTCACAAACAAATTTCGTTCATAGAAATTCAACATCGCCACATCATCAAAATGCTAATATGCGTCATATAAATGATAATATATTAACTCCTCCGATTTTATCAACGGCAGCAACGGACACAAATGTTATTTCTCGTGTTCCGTCGATATTCGATCAAGTGAAAACAACAACAAATGAATCATCATTTGCAGTTCTATCGGGTGTGCAAAATGTTTTATTATCACCAAATCGCGATTCAAATAATAATGAGAAACGTGTGCATGTTGAATCGAATTCGTCGGTTTTATCAACAACAGGAAAGCATGTACGTAAAATCTTCGTCTTTTGTTTATTTAAAATTGAAGATAAAACAAGGCATTGTTCATTGAGATTAAAAGAGATTTTCTATAAAGCTGTTTGTTTCCTCAAAAAAATTAGATTAATTTTAATCTAGACGAGGAATTGAATCAATAACTGATTTCTTTTTCACAAGAAACAAAGTAATTGTGCATCAAAACAATTAATGAGCATTAGAAGTTAATGGGTTTATCACTTTATAATCATCGTTCCGAGTCATTTTTTGGATATATTGATGAAATTTTTTTCAGGATTACATGTAAATCTAAATATTTTCTTCCTCAATTCAAGTAAAGTGATACAAGAAAAGCATGAAATTTTGTTCTGAATTTTCGGAGAGCATAGAGTACTTCATGTTGGTGCGCATAGTCGTGACATACGAGATTTCTAGGTTGAAAGAAGATATAATTAAACATCTGATTCTAAGTCTGAAGAGTTATTTTCGATGTGTTACGTTAATGACAGACCGTCAACCTTTGAAATAAAACGGGATAAACATAAACATAATTTATATTTAATATGATGCTTTTAGGTCACATTAAATGTCAATGCTTTAAAACCAGATTTTGTTCGTTCAACATCTACTGCCATGAAATCGTGCGTATCATCGTCATCGTCATCAGCATCAAATCAAATCGATGTTATCTCGTTAATGGGCACGACAAATCAAAATTCAATGAGCCTGTCAAAAACATCGAATGTTGTTTCGGTATCATCAAACAATCATGATGATTTCTTATCAATAAAGTCTTCAAACGAACAAGTGAATGACTCATCACAACCATTAATGATCGATTTTAATGACCCATCAACAACAAATTTTCTTTTATCAGCTCTTGCATCGGGTGCATCGTCTGATTCAAATGCAATTGTTAATCATCTTTTTCAAAAAGCTCAAACACAACAACAACGATCGAATACATCGTCACCGCCAACAGCAACAACAACAATATCGAATTCAATAAATCATCCGACAATATCGATTCGAAAAAATCTACCAATTATTTCAACGGGATTAAAAAATTGTACAGAAACAACGAATTTATTACCATCGACAACATCGATACGTCCATCCGTTGTACTTCATGTACCATCAAACAATGATTATAATCAACAAACACAATCACAACAAATTATTTTGAATCACAATGAAGATAAAAAACATCAACATCAACAAATATTTTTCATTAATAATAAACCATATATTATTCAACAGAAAATAACTCATGATCAATCATCACAACAACGATTGATTCTTACACCATCAATTCAACAATCAAATGGTTCGTACCGAATTTACGTATCTAGGGAAATTCTCTTGACGTGAATTGGATTGAAACTTAGTCGATAGCTGTTGAGTTTCGAGTAAATAGGAGTCGCCTAAAAAGATATTTTCCTCTTGATGTATGAAGTATTCAAAATAATATCACAAGCTCGAATTCTTTTACTTCAACGTGTGCATAGATAACTTGAAGAAAAGTACAATATATGGAGACGTTAATCATTATAGACTTCTAGTAAGAGTACTCTCGATGAATTTACTCGGTTATTTTTTGAGACTCTCATTACTATTTTATCGAAAATAAAATAAATATATATGTGTGTTGATTTTACTCTTTTCTAGAAATATCTCATTCCAATCGAAATGTTGCAACTATCATGAATAATAACAATACTACCACTACTACTACTACTACTACTCACAATAATAATAATAATAATAATAATAATAATAATAATAATAATAGCAATTCAACGAATAATAGTAATACATGCGCTCAATCAACACTTGATGACGGTGGTCATTGCCTATTATTGAATGGACCTGTCGAACCTAAAACTCTCCGTACACTACTAAAAGGTTTGAATTCATCATCATTTTCTGGTGTTGACAATCTTATTGATACGATAAATCGTTTCGAACATACAACACCGATTATCGAACAAAATGATAATCTATTAATAAAATCAATTCGAGCAACAAAAGCCACTCCAACAAAACGGACAGCAGCAAATCCAGATAAACCGCCACCAAAACGTCGAGCAGCTAAAAAACTCAAACAAGACGAACCACTAACTCCTCTTCTCCCACAACACCAACAGCCAATTCAAATATCGATGCCATTACCGTCTCAACCAATTATCGTTGAACAACAACATCAATGGCAAACAGATTTTAACACATTTGATTTCTCAACGTCATGGGGAAGTGATACGAATCTTAATTCACTTTTACTTAATAACGATTTCGACACAGCTGCTTCATTCGATGATGTTAGTTTTGGCGATTTTGAACCGTATATGAATGGCAATAATAATATTGGTTGTAATGATTTAGCGTTACCTTCGTTATTTGTTAAACCATTGCCACCGGATGGTTTACCCAATGTCGATCATTTATTACCATAGAAAATAAGAACAAATTTTCGTTTATTTTTTTCGTTTTATTGCATATTGTGATATTAGTATCTATCGTCGTAAACTAACGGACATATAAATTCTCATTTTTAATTTTATTCGTCATCTCAGGATGTCTTTAGTTTATATGTATAAAACGATGTGCGATTTTCTTTTCTTTTCTGTAGTTATGTAGCTAAAAGTTTAACAAAAAAGTTACCTGTCGATTCGAAAATATTTGTATGTGCGTGTGTAAGGAATTCATTTCAATCCTAACGTTATTGCTGCTTTTCTTTTCTTGGCTCTAGTCTCTCTTGCCTTCTTTATTTATATATTTTTTGCTGTTGTCTTGTACAGTGTTTTTCTTGCCTTTTCTTGTCTGTTTCGTTTTGCTCTCTTTGCAATATCATGCACATCGAATATATACATAAATATCGATTTGTGCCTTCGTCTCCACTAGAATGATATTTTCTGTATCGAATTTGTATAATGCTCATTTATTAATTGTTTCGTGTGCCGTGTTGTTAAATTTTTGTTTTTCTCTCTTTCAATATGCGATGATCTGGTTTTTTGTTTTGTTTTCTATTTACACAGACAAATGATTGACTCATTTTTGATTTGTGTGTATTTCAATTTAAAAAAAAATGAATTGACTTTTGAAAATTTGTTTTTGAAGGCGTTCTTGATTAGTTTCCTTTTTTGTTTTTGCTTTTCTACAGTCGTTTTGGATTAGACTACGACACAAAAAAATTAGAGAATCTTTTTTGTTTGAAAACAAAGAAAAATTGATGTTGTTGTTGTTGTTGTTTGTTTGTTTGTTTATCTTTGAGAATTTTATTCGAAATGATTCTTGTAAGATATGTGTTGAGAAAGAAGATTTTATCTTGATTTATTTGCATTTTTATTTTATCGTTTATAATTCTAGATGGGTAACGGAATAACAGTCAATAAAAAACAATTGCCCGGTGTACCCCAACCACCCGGTGCCCGAAAGATTGTTGTTATTCCATATCAAAATTGGATTTCTCATGATGCACGTCGTTTTGGTCATTTTAATCAATTTAGTACCGATCCTAGTTGTGAAGTATCTTCCAATAATAATACTAATGCAATGTCATCTGCTCTCCCATCGGTATCATCAAATTCATTTTCTTCTCCGTCGTCGTTTGTCTCAAATTCATTATCATTAACAAATGACTTTATTGTTCAAACAAAAACGCAATTTTCATCAACATCCGTTCCTTCATCATTAACATTTTCGAATAATAAATCAAATATACGCAATAATAATAATAATAGTAATAGTAATAATCCATCAGCATCGACATTAGTCGGTTCATCAATGACCTTATCAAATTCATCATCCACAGTAGCATGCTCATCAACTGTCCCATCGAATGATCTTGATTCACGTCGTTTGCATCCGAAACCAATTTATTATGTAAATGGACGATTTTTTAAAAGTTTAACACGTCTTGGCGATGCGCAATTTATATTAAGTGAATACGGCGAAGATGATATTATATTAACTGTACCATCGAATATCGAACGTTATCGGACAAATGATAATGCTGTGCGCGATCGTATACATCGTTTAAATCGTGTTATTGGTTGCTGTGACGAATTTATGGTCTTTCAATTATGGAAAGGAAATAATGAAGTAAGTTTCTGTTTTTTAAATAACATCTTTGATTTTTTTTCAAATCTAATGAATAAACTACTTAGGTGGAAATATTTCTATTTGATCGACCTGTACCCACCGAATCATCAAAACCGAAATCATGTAAAAAATGTACATGTTTTCGTCGGCAATCACGACAACCAAAATCAACACTAATTTCACAAGAAGAAGAACAACAACAACAACAACAACCGAGCCCAAAATCATTACCATCTTCATTGATCATTGAATCAACAACACGTACAAATCGACACAGCTCATTGATGCAACAAGCTGCATTAAGCGCCTATGATACTGGCGAAACGCAACGTTCACCAATAAAATCATGTTCATTATTAAATAATACGGAAAATCGTTTAGATATGCAAAATGATGCATATGAATTTGTTGACAATGCAAAAAAAGCATCGTATCTAATTGGCTCAGCTCGATGTGCGTTGGTAACGACGTCAGCTGTTGCTGTTGTTGCCACTAATAGTACTGCTATTGCTAATACTAACAGTAATGCTATGACATCGACTACGTCGAAAACCCGATTTGGGAAATCGGCGAGTCGGTGAGTAATTTGCTTTATTCAATTTCGTGATATGGATTCATTTAACTCTCTACTCTGCATTTCCTATTGGCAGAAATAGCTAAGTTGAATCGTGTACACAGAGTTTATGCATGCAACTCTTAAATATCAAATTTTGATTGCTATGATCAACGTTCAAAGCAATTCTAATATTCCGCCTATAAGATACACCTAATACACTTACAACAAATAGCCACTTATAACGAGCATTATAAAAGGAATTCAGTTTCGCTATAAACTCAAATTTTAGAGTAGCTTTCGAGTTCCCGAGATGCAAACTCTTCTTTAATTTTTACCACAATTTTCTAACTATATTCTCTGCTAATATTTAAATGCTACGTAAAATAAATCTTTGTTCTGCTAATTATTAAAAAAAATGATTTATTTAGTTCAACTATGGCAAATGCACGTTCGTACTCGATTTCAAATGCCAATGACTTGGCTAACAATAAAAACCAACAGAATCATTTCCTCGATGATTCTAAGCATCGTTCAACACCTTATTTGTCTTCATTGAAATCTTCATCATGCACTTGTATGAATGATAGTGATTCGATTTTATTACCAGCATCATCTGCACCCACATTTTCTCTATCATCATCATCGTCGACATGGAATAGTCGTATTGTTCGAAAACTGAATTCAGTTGCGCATCGCTTTAATGCGCGTTCATATACGTGTTTGATATCACCGGATCGAACTAAACTATTAATAACACCGGATTATGAAGATAAACATTCATATAGCCATCAAACTCATGAAGTTACTGTTATTTTTGATATAAAAACCTATGTGATACTTCGCATAACACCAGCTCGTAAGTTTTCAAGAGAAAATAGATTAAAAAAGAAACATTTTGTTTTTCTATTTACTAACTATTTAGGTTATGATCAACGATTTTCATTTGATCCTCGTTATGGTCATTCACGTTTAGCAGAATTTGATACAGTCCGCGGTCAAATAACCGATATTAAAAAAGATCGTGTTCTGGTGTGTTCAAATCATACATTAAAAACAAAAGTTTACCGCGTTGAATATACAAATGATGGTCATCTTATTATTGTTTTATGCACACGTAAGAAAGTTTTCAATTAGATCATATCTAGTTGCTCGATAGAAACTTACTATTAGAGAGATAAAACAATGCTATATGGAACTGTAGAGAAAAAAGACAATCTCTTACAGGAAGAATCAATCGCTTTCCTACCAAAAAAAGATTCGAATTTTTACTTAAACCATAAGTAGATGCACTCAGTAGGCACTAGAGATGTGCAAAACCAACTCTGATATCAATACTAAATAAAGTGATCTCACTGAGAGGAAAAAACAAGACACCCGTGCTCCGGAATACAGTAAAGGAGATCTGAATTACAGTTGTAGTAAAGAAATGCAGAATACGAGCATTGAAGAAGCATGTTAACTGGAAGATGGAGACATTCTGTAATATTTTTCTCCAAATACGACCAGACAATAGAATAGCTAGAATCACAGAGAACGGGACCGAAAAAAATACATTGCCGTGCATCTCTAGTAGGAACAGATTAGTTCGTATCTAATTATCGGCAGGCTGACTCGAAACGATCTTCAAGTAGATCGGACAATTTCGAAATCTAATGTGTCAGTTCTATGCGCTATCCTAAACAAATCTTCATGCTGCTTCATTTCAATCATAGAACTAAAATCGTTACCGTCCAGTGATAGATATTTATTCAATATCGTACTTACTTTTAAAATAATTCCTTGTTTTTTAGTTCCAATATTTCAACGTGTAAAACGAAATTATTTTTTATATATTTTAAATTCGTCCACACTATTACATACACGTAGTATAATCGATTATCGCGGCCCATTTTTTTCGCCATTTGTATTTACAAATGAATTTTCACTTTTATTTAATATCTATCCGTCATTATCGAACTGTTGTTCAACATTAGCGATTCTAAAAAATATTGAACCATCATCTCATGTACGTCTCATTGAAGTTTATTCATTACCAAACACCTGCACAACATTAAAAGCAATAGCACGACGAAATATTCTACGTTATGTTGATCGTAAGAAAATCAAACAGTTACGTTTACCGGACAATTTAAAAGCTTATTTAGCTTATAAGCCACAGTTTGTTTAAATGCACACGCATATATTTATATATACATATACGTAAAATTTTATTCTTTTGCTTGTATGTCAAAATTAATTAATGTAAATATTTTCGCTTGCAATATTTTTTTTTTGTCTTTTCTTGTAGTTCTTTTGTCTTTTGTTTTTATATATTTTTCTCCTTGTCGTCAATTATGTGCTGATGCTTACTTTTCTTGCATGAGTCATTAAAATCAATCAATAAAATTAATTTTAAAGAAAGTCACTTTTGAACAAAAATTAGACACCTATTCGTATATCGAGAGATTAAAAGAAAAAAACCCGATGCTTGTAGAATAATGTCAATATCAACAGCACTTGAAGATCATCATAAACAGTTAATACAATATTTTCTTCATGATGGCGCTTATAATCAAAAGGAACTGATTGATCTTATAAGTGCTCTACGTGATCGATATGAATTAAGAATAAAAGTTAAAGATGAAATTCGTGCATTTACGGAAGGCTTATTACCATTAATTAATAAACATATTAATCAATATGGCATTGAAATAAAACAAGTCACAAGTGAAGAACATGAAAATGACATTTACTATGTATGTACACAAAATTTTAAACCACAATTTGTTAAAATGGATACATCATATACAGAAAAAGAAGCTGCAATTTTTGAAAAATTATTGGAATTGGCTATAACCAATGATGAAAAGTTAGTTGAACGTTTTTCGCAATTTCTATTTCCATAACGAAGTGACACGAGGCTTTTAGGAATTCCACGTTTAATAATACTTTTGAAGTACACTTCTCGATAGATTTTCTTCTTGAGTCGAAGTTCATGACACAACGTACTTAATTGCTTAGTTTTTCCAATAAAACTATTATTACATTAGTAAGCACGCCTAAAAATTGATTATCTATATTTTGGAGAAGTCGGACGTATAATCTTTTGTTCTTCATATAAAGAGTTTTTACAAGTATTGCCATCAGGGGAAACCGTTTTGTATAAAAAAATAAATATGTATAGAATGAAGGCTCGGAGAGACTTATCTAATATTAAATAAATGATTTTAATACCTCGCTTGAAGAATATCTATCTGATGGACACAGCATAGTACTGATGTGACCGAAGAATTTCCCATTGAAACTTACATTTAGTTCGAAAATTTTATGTTAATCGTATGTATTTAATTCGACGATGAAGAGTAAATTTTTTCACCGAGTCGTGCCTTTAATCTTTTAACTTAATATTAACATCAATATCATTCGTGAAGATATTCGGTTGTAAAACGATTACAGTCAAGGAAATTTTCTCTAAAAAATAAGCATTTGGATAAAGAGAAAAAACTTCGATGATATCCCTTGTAACTTATTATCTACTTCATTTTAATTTGATTCATCTTTTAAACTTTATCTTAGATGTGTAGCACCACGTGATGTATTCGAATCGATTCTTGCAAATGACTTAAAAATGACACAAAAAGAATTCGGTGAAACAATGACACGTTTTCATCGTGACAAATGGATTGAAAGTGGTCCAAACAATAGCGTTATACTTCATGCTCGAGCTTTATTAGAAATGCAATCATTTATTACGGATACCTATCGAGATTATATTTACAATTGTCAAATATGTACTCGCCTTCTTGTTCGAGGATTAAATTGCTCAAATAGGTACGCTATGATATATAAAGATTTATAGTATTAGGAAAACTATCGGTTCACCATGAAGTACTACTATTCTTTATTCATGACACGTCGGGAGTCCGCATGTAAAAAGAGAAACTTGACTAGTTCAGATATAATTCAATTGTGAATATATATATATATATCCCATTTTCCTATTGAAAGCATGTCGTTAGTGAATTTGAATACAAAGCTTCTACTAGAAAATGAGTCTAGCCGAAGAGCTTTCGAGCGGCAGCATTTCATTTATTTTAATTAGTGCTAGCCTATACATTGCCAATCTCAGTTATGGTTTTGACTGTATACCCTTGACTCTCGTAATAATATAGTAGGCATATAAATTGCTTTTAGCATTACAATGGAAAATGGTAATTGCATCGTTTCGCCGAGTACTTTTTTGACAGGACAAAAACTAATAGCAAACATTTTTCTGGTTCTCAAGGTTAGAGTTACTTATGACACATATACGCACATACAAGTTACTTTAGGCTAAGAAATTTTTAAAATTAAAATTTTAGCTCGTGTGATATACATATGCATCGTTCATGTGCCGCTCAATATTTTCTTCGTTTATCGAATGTAACTAATAATGCTGCAACTAGAAAAACTACTTATCCGTGTCCAGTGTGTAAACAAGAATGGAGCAAAGATGATGTTACTAGCGTATTAAAAGTGAATCATGCCAATGATGAGAACAATGATTCTCGGCCATCAACTGGTATGACTCATAAAAAACAACGAACAACGACAACAGCCGATAATAATGATAGTACAAACAATCGATCTGTTCGATCGAAACCACGTCGAATTGTCAACGAAAGTGATGACGATGATGATGATAATTAGTAGACTAATCGCTCTTATTTCATGTCAGATGCATAGCTATGTAGAATATTGTTGTTTTCTTATAAAAATTAAACATATTAAATAATTGAACATCCACAGTTGCCCTTATTTTTCGTTATATTCTAGAAATAATTATGTCAAAACCTGTAAAATTTGTACGAGGTTTTCGTGAGCCAAAACAAAAAGATATTGATGAGGCACTTGGTAATGATGCTTCGTTTTCGAATGAGTTCAAAGCATCATTCAATTCATTACCAAAGCCCACCAATGATTTAGATTGGTTAGCAAATTATAGAGAAAAAGGTCAAACTTATGCAAAATTTCTTGATCAATGCCCATTTCTTGACGATCGTAGTTCATTACAAAAATATATTTATTTAACATTACTTGATAATGATGATCGTCTATCAATATTGAATATCGATCGTCTAGTTGATTATACGAAATGTTTTTTTCAAATGGAAGTTAAACTGCTTCCATTATTTACTAACGTCAATTGGAATGACAAAAAACGAACCCTCGCATGTAAGTTTTTTTTGCTTGTCATTTGTTTATTTCATATTTTGAGTTCTATCAGGCACAGTTAAAGGTAGGAATAATTCAACGAGCGAGACAACGCTTCGTGCACGTTATGATTCAACAACTGGACATTCACAGATTTGTGTCAATCATGTGCTTAATCTACTGAAACGTGCAGTACCTAGTGATGCGCGTTGTCTTGTTGCTATAACATTGCATGATTTGTATTCAGATTCATCTGATTTGTTCATTGCTGGCTTGGCTCAAGGGAATTGTCGCATAGCCGCTTTTTCCTTCTTTCGTTATGATCCTCGTTTAGAAATAAGCGAAGAGTTTTGGTACGATTGGAAAATTAAAAAAACTAAATCAAAGCTTATGTCAACGATCATATTGCTCCGATCGTGTCGTCTTCTTACACATGAAATAGGACATTTACTTGGTATTGATCATTGTATTTATTATGATTGTTTAATGAATGGTAGTGGTCATTTGGAAGAAGATTTTTCTCAATCGTTATTTTTATGTCCCGTTGATTTGAGAAAATTATCGGAACTGGTCGAGTTTGATTTTATTCAACGGTATGAACAAATGTTAGATTTTTGTACAGAAAATAAATTTACCGATGAAACTGATATTCTCAAAAAACGTTTGGAAATATTAAAGAATGAAAAACCAGCAATAGAAACAAAAAAGAGAAGCAATAATGGTGATGAAGTCAAACGAAGTTCTAAACGTTTGAAAAAAACAGTGATACCGAATCCGGTTGAATAGCAATTCTTATTTTAATAAATAAATATATTTTTGAGAATGATAAATTCAATATTCTAGATACAGAAATTGTTTACATGTTCGCTCGAATCATTCCATCATCTTCTATTTCAACGATTCGTCGATCAAGTAATTTTGTTCGAATATTTGAAGTTGGTCCTCGTGATGGTTTGCAAAACGAAAAAGTTCAAGTACCGACGCCGATCAAAGTTGAATTTATCAATCGTTTAAGTCGAACCGGTCTGAAGCTTATCGAAGTTACTAGTTTTGTTTCACCTAAATGGGTACCACAAATGGGTGATCATGTTGAAGTACTTGCTGCGATTGATCGAATACCTGGTATTCGCTATTCAGCATTGACACCAAATGTGCAAGGCATAAATAAAGTTCTTTCGTTGGGAAACAAAGGTGCTGATGAAATAGCAATTTTCTCGGCTGCATCGGAATCATTCTCAAAGAAAAATATCAACTGTTCAATTGAAACATCTTTACAACGCTTCAATGAAGTTACACAGATTGCAAATCAGAAAAATCTACCTGTTCGTGGATATGTATCTTGTGTAGTTGGCTGTCCGTATGAAGGCAAAATTAAGCCATCACAAGTCATACCGGTTGTACAGAAATTACTTGATATGGGATGTGTAAGTGGTCTACTGATTTCGTTTTTTTTGTGAATGAAATAATTTCATTTTTATAGTATGAAATCTCTTTGGGCGATACGATTGGTGTTGGTACACCGAAATCTATTAAAGAATTGCTTCAAGCAATACAGTCAAGTGGCATTTCAGCCAGTAAATTAGCTATTCATTGTCATGATACATATGGACAAGCTATTGCTAATATAGCTCAAGCATTGGATATGGGTATACGTTGTGTAGACTCAAGTGTAGCAGGTCTTGGTGGTTGTCCGTATGCTAAAGGTGCATCAGGGAACGTAGCAACAGAAGATGTTCTATATCTGTTAGAAGGACTTGGATATGAAACAGGTGTCGATCTTAATCGATTGATTGATGCCGGTCAATTCATCATGAATATATTAAAGCGCGAGAATATGTCGAAAGTTACACGTGCTATTTTGTCTAAAAGGCAAAATTGAATGTTTTTTTTTTGTTGCGAATAGAAAACAGATTCGAAGTTTTTATTTATCACGATTATTCTAGATAGATCAAAAAGATGACTTCGAATATAGTTGAATTTCCTTTACTTAATCCATGGCAACATTTTACTATATATGGTACACATAATGTGAGCGTTGAATAACATTTAAAAATAAATATGCTGGAAATTTTTTTGTATAGAGATATATTGTTGTCGCCATGAACAAAAATCGATCGAAATGTCGTATTCTAAAAATTGATCGTATGGATCAAAAAGAACTCAGCATAACTGAAGATCAAGTATACAGTTTTTTATTCGTAATCGAACTATACTTCTATTGTTGTACTTATTTATTCTAGCATGAATATTCACATGGTGAACTACGTCAACTTCTTGGTACCATTGAAGTAAGCAATAGTCGGGTTGGCGGATTTAGCAAAACGATTCATTGCCATGGTATTATCGGTAAACATACGATAACAATAACTAAACGAAAATAAAATATTGGTCAATTTATTAGGTTTTATTAAATTTCTCGAAGGCTACTATATGATTGTAATTACACGACGCAGTCAAGTAGCACGTATAGGTTATCATAGAATATATAAAATCGAAGAGACAGCAATGCTAAGTATTACAAATGAAGATATAAAAAAAGTTCATCCAGATGAAACTAAGTAGGAAAGATAAATTCGTTTTTATTACTTTTATTATGCAAATTTTTGTTTTCGCTGCAGATATCTCCGTGCATTGCAAAACCTTGATTTAACCAATGGATTTTATTTTAGTTATACATATGATTTAACGCATACATTACAGTATAATTTTATGGAACAAAATAATGTAAATAGTGATAGTTTGAATGAAAATTTTTGTTGGGGTACACGTTATCAACCAACATCGAAGTATGTTTGGAATGAATATCTTCAAGAGTCAATACGATCACAAGTTCATCCACGATGGCTACTGTTTATTGTGCACGGTAATGAGTATATTGTATTGTAGATGTTTATTGTGCTAAACTTTAATTTAGGTGTCATACTGCAATATAATTTAAATGTTTTCTGTCGTTCAATCTATTTAACATTAATTTGTCGGCGATCACAAAAATTTTCTGGAACGAGATTTCTTAAACGTGGTGGAAATTGTAAAGTAATGAAAATGCAAAAATTCAGAGAGAACGATACACATAAAAACAATTGCTAAGTAGGGTTTTGTAGCGAATGAAGTTGAAACAGAACAAATTCTTCACGATGCTTCACTTTCATCACTTGGTAAAAGTCATTTTACGTCATATGTGCAATTACGTGGCAGTGTACCAGCTTTTTGGAGCCAGGATCCAAAACAAGTACCTAAACCACCTATCGCTAGTAAGTAAATTTGACCTATGTGATTATCAATAGGCATTATCTGCGCTCTAAAGGAAGAAAGTGTAGACATATAATCAGTACTATTGTTTTACATATAAGATACAAGAGTATTTGTTGGTTTGACATTACTTTTATCGTCTCACCATTCCATATATGAGAGATTTCTGGGTGCACACTAGAATTCAACATTGATTCTAACATATTGCAGTACTGTTTTCAATATGTAGAGTTGCAGTTTTCGACCAAATGTAATTTATCTACTAAGAATTAAGATATATACAGTACTCTCGTCTACGGTGAGTTTTGATCGCCGCTCTAGATCGAACTTCTTTTTTGGTGTTGTTCTTCATTGATTCCATAATCTAGAAAAATATCTTGATTTTTATACTAATTTAATTTTATAGTTGATTTCAATGATCCAACATACGTAGTAGCATCACAACATTTTCGACAATTATTCTATCGATATGGTTCGCCGAGTGAGTTGAATATTGTGACATTTCTGTAATTTTCGTCTTTTTTTTCATTTCTAGTTCTTATTCTCAATCTTGTTAAAGTAATTAAAAATTGGGTTTAGCTATTTGTTTTTTAAATGTTTCTTATTGAAATATGATTTTTAGAAGCGTGAAAAGAAAAAACAAGAACATATTTTATCCGAAGAATTTTGTAATGCTCTTGATTATATAAAACAATTTATACCGGACGAAAATGGAATACAGTATTTAGCATTTGACATGGCTCGTGCAAATCGTTCGTAAGTTACGGAAAATAACCAAACGATCAATAGATTTCTTCTTTTTTTATTTTCAAAAAGAAAACATCGACGTGTTATGCCAAAGCTAGATGAAATAGCACGCCGATATTTACAACAAACGGGATTTTTTCAAAATTTTCCATCATTAGTCAATGACAAACAATATTTTTATGACAAGTAGGTTGCCGTTTCTTCAACAAAGTAACCTATTTGACTTAATTTTATAGGGAAAATGCAGTTAAATTAACACCATACAAAACATATTTCGTGCAAACAGGTGTCGTACGAGTCAATTGTGTTGATTGTCTTGATAGAACTAACACAGCTATGTATGCCGTAGCGAAATATGCACTTGGATATCAGGTAGGTTATAAATGTCTAAGTTTAAAACAATAGATATTAGATCGCCCCAAATAGAAATAACAGTACAGAATGATCTATTTAACTATCGACGTCAAATTTATATGTTATTGTGAGAAGCTTCTCGGTCAATATTCATAAAATAGAAATGCAACGATGTCAATAGTTGTCAGTGCTCTAAGATTTATATTGATTCTTTTCATCTGAGAAAAGTCTATATCAAACGAAAAAATTCGGACAAACACTTTCAGATCACACTGCTGCACCTCGAATGTCTTTATTCTATTTTCAAAATAAAACTACTGTAATCGTCTCATACAGTCTGCATGATTTACAATCTGTTGATTGAATACAATAGACGAATTATTCTCGTGATTTTTCTGTCTATTTTAGTTATTCGCTATGGGTCTAACAGATTCACCGCATTTACAAGAAGATTCTGCAGTTGAATCGTGAGTTATATTACCTTTATTAAATCTATTCTTATTCAATAGTTTCTATTTTTAGAGTAATAAAACAATTATTTGAACATTCTGGTGATATTTTAGCACAACAATATGCGGGCAGTCAATTAGTTCATCGTATCGATACATATAAAAAAGTAACACCAGCATGGTCATCACAATCTCGTGAATATGTGGCAACACTTTCACGTTATTATTCCAATACCTTTTCAGGTATGCATATATATATATGCGCCTAGATAATATTTATTTAATATGTTTAAATAGATGCGGAAAAGCAACATGCAATGAATTTATTTTTGGGTGTTTTTCAGCCAAAAATAGGTCGACCACATTTTTGGGAATTAGCAAATGATTATCATTTGCACGATCCACGCATAAAATTTGGTTATATACCGCCACAGTAAATTAATAAAAGATTTCTAAGAAAATGAAAAACGTTTTTCCTTCTGTCTTTAGCTGTACGAATATTCTGGGTGATGATATATGGTTTTCATTACCATTTTCAGCTGAACAAGGTGTGATTTCAATTGAAGAAAAATAGTCATCATTTTCAAAAAATTTCTCCTTTCTTTAGTGTTAAAATCGAATAAGGATTGTCTTGAAATCATTTCAGTTCAAAAAGGTGATCCACTAATAGATGGTTTCAATGAATACTATCGTCCTAATGAATTAACAGTATTTGAAGAAAAATTTGAGTGGAATATGGATTCAACGAATAAGTAAACATACATCACCCAATTGACTTTAAATATCGAAATCATTGTTTATTTTTAGAGATTTAGCGTATAACTATACGAATATTCGTGAATTTACACCATTTTCCATTCGAGAAAATAAGCAAAGAAAAACTCTTGCAAGTTTTAGGTGAGTTCCGTTTTGTTCGTAATTCAAGTACGTCAAGCGATATGTTGTGTTCTATACAACGAGAAGATCGCTATCACTGGCATGATTGAATAAGTTTAAAAGTCCTGAATGATGAATGTTTACTGGAGCAGACACCCGACAAACTTGATAAGGATTTAATATCTGGAAATTCTATGACTGTAAAACGAAAGAAGCTCATTCGGTAAAAAGCTGCAATTCTTATATGATTTATTTGTCGACTCATAAGTGTCTCTATCCTCTTCTTACGTTAATAAGCTCGCAGAATGGAAAAATTTTAGCCAATAGCTTTACATTCCATCGATTTGACGCGTTCTCTTTTACTGAGAAAGAAAAGTGATCCGACGAATAGTAGAACATTGAAAATGGGAATTCTTTTTCGTCTGTTAATTTTGTACTTAAAATTCAATCGCGAAGAATTCACTTCTTCTGCTAATTCCATTTCATGAATTTTTGAAGTTATGCGACAACAATCGTATGTTCTAGTCTTTCTGCTGATGTTCAACAACGTGCACTTCTTCCTCCGTCAGCATCATTATCTAATCAAACTCAAAACTCAAATCAAGATCTATCATCTGATGAAGATATACTAGACGATACAGATACAGATGAAGAAAATTTGAAAAAACAACTGCCAATAACAAATAAGAAGTCTCTAAAATCAAAATCGATAAATAAAGCAATGAATGATGATCTAAGCAATAGTACGTTACAAGTAAAACGTCTTTTCAACAAAATATTCCCAACAACTAATGATGTATATGGCTTTCATTTGGACGATCCATCGACGGAATCATTAAATTCTTATGAACAATATGCTAAAATAGCATTTGATGCATGTGCATTACAAACAACACCAATAACAAATAGTCTGCATGCCTATGAATTATCTTTGTCAACCAATCGATCTATGTCGTCAAGTTCAAGTTTTGAAATGTAAATTCTCTTTAGTTCTGAAAAATTGACATTTGGTTCGCTTTACTTGATTTTAGTTTGCCATCTGCAGTAAATGATCGATCAAAATTAGCTCAACAACAACAACAACAACAACAACAACAACAGCAGCAGCAGCACACAGAAGTAGAATCCTTACAAAAATCATTATTATCAATGTTTGATGAACCTATCGTGAGCGATGCAGCTATTCGAATTTATGAACGATGTGTAGCTGCAGGCCATCAAGGCGCTTTTGAACCGTCAGATGCTGATCGTAAATTCTATGAAGCACACGTAGCTTCTTTATCGATTACTGTTCAGTCATGAAAACAAAGCATAGAAAAATTAATTCAATTTGTTCATATTTTAAAATAAATTTATTGATATTTTTGTTTTTCGCTGTAAAGTTAATAAATCAATATTTGCTTTAATTTAAGACATATCATGTCGCCAAAAACGATCTTCCGTCGCATAATTCAATATAATATTATGAATCGAAGACATAATTCTTCGTCATCGAAAAATAATTTTGTTCGAATATTTGAAGTTGGTCCTCGTGATGGTTTGCAAAACGAAAAAGTTCAAGTACCGACGCCGATCAAAGTTGAATTTATCAATCGTTTAAGTCGAACCGGTCTGAAGCTTATCGAAGTTACTAGTTTTGTTTCACCTAAATGGGTACCACAAATGGGTGATCATGTTGAAGTACTTGCTGCGATTGATCGAATACCTGGTATTCGCTATTCAGCATTGACACCAAATGTGCAAGGCATAAATAAAGTTCTTTCGTTGGGAAACAAAGGTGCTGATGAAATAGCAATTTTCTCGGCTGCATCGGAATCATTCTCAAAGAAAAATATCAACTGTTCAATTGAAACATCTTTACAACGCTTCAATGAAGTTACACAGATTGCAAATCAGAAAAATCTACCTGTTCGTGGATATGTATCTTGTGTAGTTGGCTGTCCGTATGAAGGCAAAATTAAGCCATCACAAGTCATACCGGTTGTACAGAAATTACTTGATATGGGATGTGTAAGTGGTCTACTGATTTCGTTTTTTTTGTGAATGAAATAATTTCATTTTTATAGTATGAAATCTCTTTGGGCGATACGATTGGTGTTGGTACACCGAAATCTATTAAAGAATTGCTTCAAGCAATACAGTCAAGTGGCATTTCAGCCAGTAAATTAGCTATTCATTGTCATGATACATATGGACAAGCTATTGCTAATATAGCTCAAGCATTGGATATGGGTATACGTTGTGTAGACTCNCGTTTTTTTTGTGAATGAAATAATTTCATTTTTATAGTATGAAATCTCTTTGGGCGATACGATTGGTGTTGGTACACCGAAATCTATTAAAGAATTGCTTCAAGCAATACAGTCAAGTGGCATTTCAGCCAGTAAATTAGCTATTCATTGTCATGATACATATGGACAAGCTATTGCTAATATAGCTCAAGCATTGGATATGGGTATACGTTGTGTAGATTCAAGTGTAGCAGGTCTTGGTGGTTGTCCGTATGCTAAAGGTGCATCAGGGAATGTAGCAACAGAAGATGTTCTATATCTGTTAGAAGGACTTGGATATGAAACAGGTGTCGATCTTAATCGATTGATTGATGCTGGTCAATTTATTACAGATGTATTGAACCGAGAGAATACATCTAAAGTTGCTCGAGCCATTTTATGTAAACGACAAGATGACACAAAAACAACACCAAAGAATAGTACCACAAAATAATAATGCTATCGACCAATCTCATGATATATAAATGTGTGTGCGTGTGTATATTTATTGATCAAAAATAAAAAGAAGATTAGTATAATGAAGTGTGCTGATTCAGCTTATATATCAAATTCTTTATAATTTAACCGCAACAAAAGAAATACTATTGCTGAAAACTACAGATATGTTGAGTAATCAGAAGTACTTGAAGAGGATTATATTTTGGTTGAACTAGCAGATATTTTTGTCCTACTTACTCATGTAAAATCTATCATAAATTGTTTTTAAAGATTGATATTTACAAAAGAATTGAAACTAAATCAACAAGAAACGCAAATGTAGTAAAATAAATTTTGTTTATCCAAATGATCTTCTCGAAAAATTCTAAATCAAAGAAACTCTAAGGTAAGTTTTGCTTCTTAAAATAAATTCGTAGATTTTTGTAAAAATTGTTTATCAATAATTTCTGAGGTTTCTATTCTCAAATGATAGACTATTCTCATAAATTTTATTTGCCATGATTTTTACAGTCGGATTAATTTTTCGTTTTGTACGCATCAATGCCATTCAGTTTATTTTTTCGAATAGAAAAATCCATGCCGTTTAAAGAAAATCGTTCTCGAGTTATTTTTGAAAAGCGTAAGTAATTTTCAACGAAATACATGAATCGGTAATTTTCGTCCTAATGAGAAATGCCTTTTGTGTTCGTTCATACTCTCGTAAAATATAAAAAAATGTTCTGCTTCTTTTATTTTTTGTGTTTTGCTGTTGTTGTCACTAAACTGCGCACATGTATTTTTTTGTTCTCTTCTTGACATTGGGGTGGTTTGTAGAACAGACAAAGTAAGGATGAAATATTTTACTTTAACAAGGGGAATGTTGAATATTTTGTTTTCGCTTTACTTTAGAATAGACTTTTAGTTATAATTTTTCTTACTAAACGCACAAGTTTTTAGAATCGACGTGCAACTATAAAAAAGCAAAGGTTCGTAAGAATAAATTTAGCTACTAAAAATACTTCTCAGTTTTAGACTTGAATTTCAAAATGAATTGTTCATCAACTGTTCAGACTATTCAATCGAAAATAAATGCATTTTATCATTTAACTATGACTGATGACGATTCTAAAATAAAAAATGCTATTCACGAAGTGCTCAATCTATGGCCAGAGATACTGACTGCAGCCAATGAAGCCACAGATGATGAATTATTTACTTTAAATGTTAATCGAGCTGTTTTAACTCAAGTATTTACAATTGTTTTGTCGAAAGAGTTTTTTAATAAAGATCATTTATTAGTTCGTGAGATATTTTTTGGCTGTTTCAATTTACTTGTTGATCATTTGTATATTTTTAAAAATACTGATTTAACACCTATAACAATATTTATCGATTCTAATGTACGTCTTATAATGAAAATGATCACAAGTATAACTTCATTGGTAAATTTTACGAATGAAGATTTTTCGAAAATTAAAGATTATCAATTATTAATCGCCATGCGTGAACATATCGATCAAGATAATGAACAGGATAATCTAACGGATGGTATTATTTCATTTATTTGGAATCTATCAGATCGAACTATATTAATACCATTATTGATAAACACCGGTTATCCTGAAAGTGTTGTTCAATGGATTAAAATTCGCGAACGTAAATTTCGAAATGATAAATTAGATGCGCCAATACATATTTTACATAATCTATCACGGCATGACGATGGTATTAAAGCACTAAATAGCCATGGAGCACTAGGCGTTATTGAAGAAATGAAAATTGAACCGAAAATATACGATGATCCTGATGATATAACGATACATATTGCGATGATACGTGTTCTTCTTACTGATATATATCAAATAAGATTCGATTCAATAAAATATTCGAATAAAATTATAAATATGATAATAAAATTATCTATAGATTCAGTAAAAAATGATAGAAGCCGTTATAATGGTTCTCATGTATCGGAGCCATTGACAGTAATTGTAAAATTATTTCACAATGATGAAATATTACATAGTACGTTTACTAATAATGAAACTAAAACAACGATTGAATCACTAATAGAACTTTTACCATCATATCTTATTAAATTTTATCCAAGAATAGATATTGACGATGATATATTAGAAAACTATACATGTGCTGTCATATTGAATCTGTTGTGGCTTGTTTCCAATCATAAAAAATATCGTCAGATTGTTGGAAATAATCAAGCATTGATGGATATTATAAAGCAGGCTGCAAGTGATGAACTAAATTTCGTAGATAAATTTATGCCACGAACAATGAAAAGCATAAAGCAATCGGCTAATGAAATTTTGAAAAATATTAATAGTTGATAGAATCGATTTGTAAAGTTTAATAGAAAAAAGTAGTTTTAATGTTTTAGATATTTTATGCATTGTGAAAATTTAATACGAAGTAAACTAAATGTTTTATTAGATGAATTAATATTTTAATTCGATTAAATATATTTTATGAATTAAGTTGATTCTAATATTTCTAGCCGTATAAGTGATATTTTTCTTGTGAAAATATATTCGTTATTATTTCGTAAAACAGAAAGATACGAAGATGACTTATATATGTCTTGCTCAATAGGTAGTAGCTGTTGTGAGATATAGGTATTTATTGTAAATCCATGATTAGTTTCTACCTTTAGAATATATTCTACAGAAAATGAAAACATATCAGTAATGAATAGCGAACATCGAATATAATTTTCTCTCTATTATACATTATGGTTTCCTCATTTATTATTCGTCCTAATATCTGACGATCTCAACATTTCTTAGATTACCTGATTTCTTCTGCGACGGATACCATGGGTTTTATCAAGGGAAAAAAACTCAATCACGCATTCCCAGCCATTCGAATGGCTCGGAATGATCTCCCCCCCTCCTCCTGAAAAATAGCGCACTTATTTTCTCTTTTTACATAACAAAAAAGAAGAAATAAAGAATCAAACAACAACAACAACAACAACAATATCTTTGATAATTTTTAATAAAAACTTCAACAAATGTAAACGTAACGAGTACAGTACAAACATCAAGGAGGAAAAGGCGGACTTCGTACTCCTGGGATTTTTGGGATTTTCTTCGGATCTCGGGATTTTCATGGGATTTTCGGGATCCCATCTTACTCAAAATCCCAATTTTTTTTTCTAGATTACCTATATCTTTGAAGATACGTATCGTATCTCCAAGTTCTCTTCCTCTTATTTCATGAAGCTATGATGATATTCACTCTTTTACAAGTAGAAAACTTTTTAGCGATTATAATATAAGCCTTAAAAAATCGCTTATAGAGATAACTACTGAAATAACAAACATAGAATAGGCTCTATATTTCTTTTTGCTGTATCGATGAAAGATAAATGAGAAGCAAGAACACTGATATCAACTGGCATAATCTGTAGCGTCGCCTCAGCGATAAGATTCGTTTTATTAAACAAACTGATTGGTGAATTCGTCTCAGTTAATCAGATTATGAATGAGCTATTTCATGTGCCAAGTGCAAGAAAACTATTTATTCACATATTATCTCTTTAGGTCTATTAAAGTTTGAAGAAAATTGCTGATAAATAGCAAGACAATACAGTTGCACATGAAATTAATTTCTCAAACTCTTGAGAAAAACGGCACCCCCGAACTTTCATATGTAGATGAAGTGCTTTGCTTTGCCTATGTCAACATATTTTACATTGCATTTAACGTTGTAGTGTTCTTTGCCACCATATGGATAATCTTAAGTTCTATTTCATGAATCCTTCATAGATTTCTTTCTATTCATAATTATACTTTAAGTCATACTTCATAGAAATATTTTCCGTCGTTTCAGAAGAGAATAGCGAAGTATATAACTAGAAACGAGCAGTTATCATTATCGCAAAACCTCATCATTAAATAATAATCACCGAGAATACTTATACACAAAAAGTGTTAATGAAATCGTTGATAACACCGATGGATCAATCGCGATGTACAGGTACCGTCATCTTCTTTCATGGAAAACAGTAGTTTTTTTTTCCACCAGCAGCCAGTGTTAAACGTTTCGACATCTGGGTTACTGAGTGATGCAATAAACAGCAATTTCATCTAACTGTGAGTTTTCAGTTCTTGTGAAAAACTTGGAGGGCTATATGAATGCACAAAACGTGTGAAACATTATTCACCTTGTTTTCAAATCTTCCTATCTACTAAATAAATTATTATTTTATGCGAAGCTCTTGTGTTTCTGATATCCATTCCATTATCTGAATTCGATAAAATTATTAGTCAGTGTTTTTTTATCAACAAACGAGCATAAAGAATATATTAGTGGACACACCCGATCTTGTCACTTCGATAAGTATCTGTATGTAGCTTTGAAGTAATTGATATTCTCAACGGAAGAGCCCACATTGATAGTTCAAGATTTCATTAGAGAAAAGAATGCTCAACAAGTCTAGTGTAGTTTTTCCTCACAGCATCTATTTTAAAGAAATAGAATAAAATCAGTAGCAATTTAATTAAAGGAATAAAAATAGACGAAAAATTGAGATTTAATCAATTATTATCGAAATTAATCTTAATGATCGATGAAACTTTGATTTTTTTCGGTTTTCTATCATTAAAATGGATTAGTAATCGAGTTTTATCTTTTTTATTTTATCTCGCAGCATTTGATTTTTATCCTGATTAGAAATATTTCTTTAGTATTATAGTTGATTCACCGTTGAACTGACACGAAGCGATAAATATAGAGGATAAACCTGACTGTTTTGGTTTTATGTACTTCATATAAGGAAGGAAAATATATGAATCCTGCCCGTTTTACATTCATTGAACATACATATACTGCCCATTTAACTGTCTTATCATTTTGTTTGCGATTTGAAATCTTTACCATTGCTGATAGAATCGAAAATCTGAGTAATTTATGACGCTTATAAAAAAGTTGCTCTTTTTTTTTAATCTCCGCGATGCATTTAGTGACCCTGCCTCTATGTTAGATTTTCAAGAATACAACTCATTTTGTACATATCGATACCCTATTCATAATGAAATGATTTTTCAAAGCTTCGAACACATTAAATAATATTTTTTATGCATGAGAACGACTCTTAATTTCATTGTGCTTCATAAAACCACATAACGCACTTCCAAAATAGCTGTACTATTTTGGGATCCCCGGTGGATTTCTGGGATTTTGATCGGATCCCTAGGATCCCCATGGGATTTTCGGATTCCCGTGGGATCCCCGGGATTTTTATTGTATCCATTGGATCCCCATGAGATTTCTTGAAATTGGGGATCCGCTTTCCCCCTTGACAAACATCAACAGATCGTATACAATTATCTGCAACAATATTTACTACATTCAATTCCAATGAATCTACTTTAAAAACGCATTATAATACATCTGGTTAGCTAGAAAAACAGACTGAAAATTAAATACGTAGAACATTTTTTTGAATAGAACTAGATGATTTATCAACAGAAGCAAATGGTGATTTATGCCTTTCACAAATAACATAAAGAATTAATCAGCATCATCGACGATTGAGCAGGTAAAACAAAGAAAAATAATTATAAATTCATTTTTTCTCATTGTTTCTTTTTATGATTTTATTTACTTCAAGTTTATCCGAAACTACACGTCGACGATCAAAGTAAAATTAAAGTTTTCCTTTCTTTTTGTTCGTTTTCAAAAGTTGATTTTTTTGTAGATCATAAGAACATGATATTACTAATAAACGAACAAAGTGTCATTCGCTCATTGAAATTACAACAAGACCAGCAGCAACCGTTACAGCTTTTAACAATTTATATCGGCATGCAAATAATTGTACTTGAAAAATTATTTCAAATCAACAACTAATTAATCATATAGTAGATTATTGAGAAATTTATTCTTGAATATTCATATTTTTCAATGAAATATAAATATAATATCAAATAAACCTCCATAGAGAATTATCGAGAAGATGAGAAAAAAATAAAAATCGTCTGATCTCACATTCACACTTGATTTTGAAAGCACATCTTTTCTGACGAAAGCTTCAATTTGACAGTCGAAACCTAAATGTTGGTAGTTTATGAAACATTGGGAAAATGACACTTTGTCTCGCCTCTTTTTTACGATCTCCTGGCATGAAAAAAAGACATGGTGTTTGGAACGGAGTTCGTAAATGAATTACAACAGAAATACAGGGTGTTCGAAATGAAACCTGTGCAGGAGTCCGGAATCTCCATGTAAATTTTTCTTTTTACGAACATCAAAATTTGGCTGAAGATTGTAATCAGAATGTCCGGATGTTCGTCATGATAAAGGCATGACAACCGTAATAAAAAAAAACGACACGATTTTCGCAAGTATGTTCAGGTTTTGTTTTCCTGTGAAAAAGTATGAAGTGATACGCTATAGTCGCAACCGAAAATCACGTATAGTCAACGTTTCGTCGGATTCAAGCAACTACGATTGCACTTCTGTTTACTATAGTGACTCTAATTAGTATTAGTTATTATTCTCCTTATCCCTTCAATACTTTCTGTTTCAAGATACTGGCTTTATTGAAAGAAAATAAATACATGTATATTCATCACTCTAGTATTAATGTACATCATCATTCTATTTATTCTTCGATGAATGTACATGTTTTTTGAACCTGACTATTTGTTTATTTTTCGGTGTTGAAACAATGAGATCAGATTGAGATGATGATGTGCAAGATGAAGACGCAGCAGCAGTACTATGATCGCTGGGTCTAACTCGAAGACGATTCAATATTGGAGTTGAACGTAAATAAGATTTAGGAGCAGCTTGCTCAGTTGTTGCTTTCGACAACTGTTGGTTTTTAATCAACTTATACCCTTAGAAACAACTTCTGAGACTATAGCTCAAGGAGTATAGGTAAAGAAAGAATAATCGTCTACTTATGTGAACATGGATGTAATCAAAAATGCAATCTATTATTGTTTATAAGAGCAGAAAATCTTTATATCAATTACAATATTCTTATAAATTCTTTTACGGACTCTAAGCTAAAGTACCCTTAGAATTTTCTTCCGAGCTACCGACGGTGTTTATTACGATCTTCAGATGTTACATTAAATATAGCAAAAATACTCTATTCCGAACAGCCGGTAAACACACTACGATCTTCCTGCTGTCTATTACGATTTCCAGTACATAGGTGTTTACGGACTCGCGTCATACATTTTTACGAATAAAATTCATTTTCGAACACCCGGTAACATTTACCGGTGTTCGGAAGAGGCGAGACGAAACGTAAGCCACCGAAAGCATTCATGAAATAAATTAAAGCAATGCTGAGAATTAGAAGAAATAAAACTATTTGTTTTTGATAGAATCCTATTTGATTATTTTCATAGGACTTCTTAAACTTCCTCTCGAGACATTATATCAGAAAACATTACCTATTACAGCTATTCATTTAGCTGTATCGAACAATACTGATTTCAAGATAGAGAATTTCATTTTGTTTAGATTTTCTGTTCTCTTCGTAATTTTAATCATAACTTAATTCTAATACATTTATTATATTGATTGATTTCTGTTGTGAAGTTCATCGACTACAAATCCTGCTAGTAATAATTTCTATTACAACAACAGAAAAATCTTATTCATCATTTTTCGTTGACCAAGCATCGCCAATAAGCATGTTTTCTGTACCAACATTAAATGATCTCTCAAGTCATAATTATGAATAATCTTGTTCGTCACTTTCTCATTCATCTCAACTAACAAAAAACATTGCCTTCTTTCAAATAGCATCATCATCAACATATGAACATTTTTCTTCATTGATTTTATACAATTACTCATTCAGCTAATCCTCATAAAATAATTCCATAAAAAATTTCTTTCTTCAGATTCAATTCGTTCTCCAACAGAGCGTGATGGTCAATTTTTCGATTTGAATGATCTCAATCTCAAAACTGAAATTATACTCGGTCTCGTATAATCCAAAAACCGAATCTTATATAAAAACACTTATCGTTCTCTGTCTTTTATAATCTAGTTATTTCTAATCTATGCTGCACATTATTGCGAAAACAAAAATATATTTTTAAAACATGTATTCTCTTGATTATATCAAATTTAAATAGAAGATTCATTGATACAGCCAAGGATGAACCACAACGACCTTGAATATTGGTAACTGCACTGTAAAAAGAATAAGTACTTTCCTGGACCCTCCAAAAAGGCAGCATAGGTGTCTAAAAGCTTCGAAATGAGCCCAAGCGCCTAAAAAAGCGACTTTTAAAATCTACGAAACCTTAAAAGGATCTAATCGCGGGCAGACGGTCGGAACCATCCGCTACGAAACCTTTATAGTTTCCTGGTAAACCATATGGTTTTGCACTATGGTTTTATACGAAACCATAAGGTTTAGCAGGACACTATAAAGGTTTCGTAGATTTTAAGAGTCGCTTTTTAAGCGTTTGGGCTCATTTGGAAGCTTTTAGACACCTACGCAACCATTTTGGAGGGTTCAGGAAAGTACTTATTCTTTTTACAGTGGTCTAAATTATCCAGAAAATTCACAACGAGCCATATTAGAGAGAGTCTTGAATTGAATAGTTGTTTGTTTTCGTTTACCTATCATGATCGACATATGAAAACACGTGAGAAATGCTTAGGGTTAATGATACTTCTAAAAAAAAACTTTTCTTGCGTTCTCCGTGTTTTGTGGCTCATCATATATATATAATTCACTGCAAATAGAGAACGAAATGTAACTCAGTTCTCTTATCCTCGAGACTTCTTGTAAAAACAGATCTTTTTTTGCTTGACTACGCTAAAATAATTTTTCTTTGAATTACTGTAAATATATTTCGCCGTTGTTGCGCTTCTATAGTTTTGCATCCTGAGAACCATTATACATTTTTTTAATTCTCTTGGACTTCTTGTCATAATGAAGAATATGAAGCGCGAGTGAAAAGAAAAAGAAGTTTTCTTTTTTTCTTTTTTTTGGAATGCACAGCAAGTGACAATATTTCTTTTGCATAAATTTATCTAGTATGGGAAGAAAAAGAAGTTGTATAGCAATTTACTGTTTCAAGCGTTGTTTCCCACCAAATAAATCCTTTTCATCTGTGTTTCAAGTTATTGCGATCGTTTTATTTATTTCATTTAGTTATCTAATAGGTAAGGGAAAAGAAGTTTGATTAATTGAGATTAAATTTATTCTATTTTTAAAATAGCTCATCAAACATCTTCTACGGTGCAATCATCATTTTCTACTAATGTAAAAAGTATTCATCAATCATCAAACATATCATTCGCAGCCAAAGATCGTAATAATTGTACAGATGATGGTGAATCATCGCTTCGAATTCTTTCAAGTGTAATTTCTCGTAGTGAAACAATAAATTATCTTGGCTTTGTTCTTCGATCTCATGCATTATTTTATTGTTCAGTTCCAAAAGTTGCTACACGAACTTTTCTTACATTTATTACTTATCTTAATATACGTGATGAGTTAATACCTTTGCTGACAAATAAATCAACAATAAGTAATTTGAATTCTCAAGGAAAAGCAAATCCTTTTGATTTTAATAGTATCAATCAAATCCTGCCGTTTCCAGTGAAGGTAAAAATAATAATCCGCAGCTTTTATCATCCTTTTGAAACACTCATAGTCGTTCACATTTTTTTAATTGGCATATACTTTATTGCAAAATGTTGAAAAGAAAAAAAGAAAGAAACCGACAGACAAATAACCAAATAACTTATTCTGTTTTCTTTGACCATTTTTATTTATTTAGATATTTTCTTTCAGTGCAAAATATTAGCAAATTTTTTTATAGAAAAAATAGTAACAAAAAAATAAATTAAAATGAACACTTTTGCATTTTTTCTATTCCTATGAAAGTTTCAATTGAAATACATAAATTTATTTCAAACAACACGTTCTATTTGAAAAAATATGAAGAAATTTTAACTTTATTGAAAAACACCCAGGAGAATGAATCCTAGCTTAGGATCCGATGGGTTCCGATCGGTTCCTATTGGAATCCGACGGAGCTCTTCGGAAGGCGCAAGGAAACTATCGGATTATCGTTGGATTCCTGGTCCGGAATCGATACCGGATTCTAATATCTGAAACTAATAAAATGCAACAGTAACCGTCAATCGGAACTGGAATGCTTCGGATTTCATTGGTTCCGATAATCGGATATCATTGGAAATATGACTGTCGAATTCGACATTGATTCCTCAACCAGGAATCCAACGGGATTTCGTCGGATGGTGCGACCCCATAGAATCCGATGGGATTCGGTATCGGATTGATTCACCTGGGCAGGTGTCAGAATAGATATTGAATTTTCTTATTTTTCATTTTAAAATGATAGGCTATATTGAATTGGACTGATAAATAAATCCATTGAGATAATTTTCTTATTCTTAAGGGGTGAGAAGGTTATTGTTACTTTTTACTGTTATAATAACAAAAAAAGTAACAATAACTTTCTCACCCCTAGTTCAATAATAAAAATAGCAGGATCGACTTCTATTCAATCTACAAAATTTTAGAATGACTCTCAACCATCCCTGCTCAGTTCAATTTCAATTCTTAAATCGTTTTTATCACTCCTCATGGATTTCAATAAAAAAAAGGTCACCGATTTTGATATCTGGTCAATATATCAACGGAAAAGTTTTCCGCTTATTCGTCCTCAAACTTTATCCAATGTATCGCAACTTTTTTCATCGAATTTTACTCGTGTTATTTTTGTCCGTCATCCGTTAGAGCGTTTAGCATCAGCGTATGTTGATAAAATAGCTCCGCTTACGAATAAGCCATTTTCATTATATGATTCAATACGCCGAGCAATTTGTCGAAAATATTCTTCATTATATTTGGCACGTGTTCAACGTAAATTTTATTATGTTCGTAGACGAATATCGAAAAAAATCGAAGAACCATGTCACAAAGTAGTTCCTAAATTTGAGCATTTTATTGATTATATTATGTCCGATGCAGTGATTAGCGATGTTCATTGGTATCCTTATTCAAAACTTTGTTACACATGTTTATTTAAATATAATTTTATCGGAAAATATGAAACAATTGAAGAAGATCTTGAAAGATTATTAAAATATCTTGGGTTAGAATCAAAAGATTGGAATAATGCCAACTACTTCAGGACTGGAAAAACAAGAGAATTTTATAAATCAATGTATTCAAATTTAAACAATCAATTACTTTGTACCTTAAAATATGTCTACAGAGATGATTTTAAATTATTTAATTATAGATTGGAAGATTATTTAACAGATAAAAAAACTATTGCATGTTCTCCAGCAGTCGAAAAACAACTAAGAAAAACACATCAGAAACTGAATTTGTTTTAATCAATTTTTTTCTTCATTCTAGTGTTTGTTTGTAAACTCATTCATAATATAAGAATTTCTGTAATTTTAACCTAGAATAATCGATTTCCGCGTGGATGATAAAGATTGAATATCTTAAATTAGAACTTTGTTTTTGAGAAGTAATTAACTGTATGAAATATATAGGACACTAATTTCTCCTATAAAAAAATATGTAAACCCCTTAAAAACACTCCTATATCATTGTAGATGATAGTGCTTTTTAACATATAAAGACTGATATATACAAATATCATTGAAGTTTAAAAGAAATTGGATAGCACTAGTTTTTACAGGAATAATAAAAAAATTTGTTCGATCTATTTTCAATTATTTTACATATATTTGTCATATAAATGATACAAAATTAAATTGAATAAAGATCATTAAAACAACCGCTTGTAGTTTAAAGAAAACAAAAGATATTTTTATCAATACTGTATGCTATTACTGCCCAGGTCGTTCATTCCTACAATCGAATCTGAAAATGAGTTGCATCGGATCTTACATGAAAACCGACAAGAACCAACAGATTCCGTCGGATTCCGGGTTTCGGGCCGAGATTCGGATCCGTAGGATCGGAATCCGATATTATCCGATTGTATCCTACTCTGGGATCCGATGCGCCAAAAAAGTCTGCTATACTCAACTTCTAAAAACCTCTTTTGCACTAAATATAATTTTGATACTTTTTAAAATTCTTCCGTCGGATTCGTCAATAGTTCCGAAACCCAGAATCCAACTGAATTTCCTCGATTATTAGGATGTTTTAGGATCCGATAGAATCCGTTATCGGATTGGTCGACCTGGGTGTTTCATATAAAGTGAATTTAAACATTGATACCCTATCTCCTGGCTTTACCCATTTATTTATATTAATATCTTCAGCATCTATTTCGCTCAACCAGTTTTTATTGAGCTTAGTATATTTGGCATTAATATATAAAGATTACCAATTAAATCAGTGAAATCCAGAATGATAAAGAAGAAATGACGACAGATGAAGGATGTAATCGTTGGATATGTTTTTCAAAAGTAGATTCACACATCTACCTTATGAGATTGCCTTTCAAAATATATAGAAAGACAATAAATACAGTGTATATGCAACATCTCGATTTACTAAGAAAAAGTAAGCATCAACGCATCTATACTGTCGCACACATCTGTGTAATGTTATGAACGCTATACTGGTAATATAAAAACAACATAATAAGCTCTTATTTGAAGAATGTGTCGCAAGAAAAATTAGAACTTACAAAAAATAAAAATATTAGTGTTAAAATTTCAAGTTTTTGTGACGTTTTACGAAAATTATAATGACGTGCCTAATAACTGCAAGACTCTTTTCACAAGAATCTGCAATTTTCCAAAAAATATCATGAACCCTACTTTGGCCGAAAGTAAAAATGTCGAAAGTAGATATATCGAAAGGTAGAAATGTCAAAAAGTAAAAATTTCGACTGATAAATATCAAAAAATTTCTTACTTTAGTTCTGTGCGTTAAGAAAGATTAATAAATGTGGAAACTTCGGATTTCATCCGAAAGTTATGTGTACTGCAAAAAGCGCATGGAATGTATGCGTCACTCTAGAATGCCTGAACACCAAAATTATCATGAGAAACTAGCAATTTGATTTCTGGATGCAGTTTTTGTGCATTCTGAGACGTTTTTCAGGCGATGTTTCGCTAGAAAGCTATGATTTAGTTTCAAAACTAATATCAGATTCGGAATCAGCGTTAAAAGCTGAGTCGATTTATATATGTTGTGAATAATTCTGAGAAAAATTTGTTTTTTGGAAAAAAATCCCTGTATCCTTCTTCAGGGATAGTTTGGTCAAAAATGACAATTTTTTCGATAACTCAACCATTTCTTGAGGGATCCTTCTCACCTTCGAACTCGACCGAGATATTCATAAGATTGAACTGTGTGGAAAATTTCATCATGATCTGACTCTTCTTTCGAAAGTTATCGTGCCTACGGCCGGACACACTGACCGATTTTAGAGTGTACTCACTTTTTGAGTACACAAAAAGAAACTCTTTTCAGCATTATGTATGCACTATGCTTAAGTATCTATCTGTAGCTGTTACTTGTGTTTTTAAGTTTCTAAAAGAAACAACAGTTCAAGCGATTGTAATAGTGTCAATAATTGATGTCGTTTGTACCCGACTTTGTATTGTGTGATAATGTTCAAAATTATCAAGTTTTGATGTGTTCTGTTACGATATTGTTTCATTGCAGTGTTTTTTTTTATATTGTAAAGGCGCTCAGGAGCGCGTCTGATCTGAGTTGGAGGGTGTGCTGATATTGATGGCACGCGTCGATGATTCTCCTTCTTTGTGTTTCTGTTCTCTTTCCATTGTTCTAATATATCTCTCCTGTTTCTCTTCTATCTCTCTCCTATATATGCGTGTGTTATGTATGAAGTTGGGACACTCTGGAGATGTCAGATGACACAATACACCATCATGCCGACGGGCATAGGCGACACTCTCTAGTTTTATCGTTACACTCTGGATACTTGAAGTAGCCTAATAAACATCTTTGTCGAGAGTAGCACAAGTTACTCTAATCTAGTTGATCGTTGCATTGTCCAAGGGCGAAAAGCCTGATTTCGAACTATTCGAATGACTAGAAATGACTGGAAATGCCCGGGTGAGTTTTCCCCCTTGTTTTTCACCGTAATGAGCATATATACTGGTTTTTATATTCAGTAGTGACATATTTAGCTATCCAAGCTTCTTTTCAATAGGATTCCTTTAATAAGTTCAAGTGCTACTATTACCCTTTTGTTTTTAAGTAAAATATTAAAAAATTAGTTGGTACTTTATCAATACAAGTTACACTTCCAACCATTATGGTGCAAATGGTAGCATTATACATATTTTCTTAAATTTTATTGCCGTGTGAATTAGCTTGAACCGGTTCATGAATGAGCATGTTAACAATAGAATTTGTTTCTTCACAGTTTATATAACTTAGATAAACGTAGATGAGTCACCAGCGCAACTATACTTCGATGACAATAAATCGGATAATCATCATCAAATGACTACTTGCTGAGTTCCGTAAGGACATTATTGAAAAATGTCCATATAAACTACGAAGGCACTAATCCCATTTCAGATTCAACCCCAATGTAGTGGTCTACTATTCAATCAACATTAAGTTATAACTCAAATAGTCAGAAATCATAATTTTCACGATATGCAAATGAGTCGATTATTAGGTAAATGTATAACAGTGGCCCAGGTGAATGAATCCTATCGGATCCCATGGGGCCCAACTAGCCGACAAAATCCGGTCGGATTTCTGACCTATGACCTACTAACGGATCCGCCGAAAAACAGCATTTTCTTATTCACCAATGAATAAGTACATGGTGTCAACAAAACACATGGATCGAATGCTTATGTTGATTTCCGTTAAATCCCGACACTGGAACCTATCGGATTCCAATGCTAGAGTTCCAATTGTAGGCCCCACGCCCGGATCCCGATAGGATTTCGGCGGTTTAATGAAATTCACATTATATCCTATCAGATTCTGACACGAATCTGATAGAATCCTACTATCAGGATCATTCTCCTTGGGAGATTAAAAACGATCATTTTCTCACTCCGTAGCAATCAAGATTAAGTGCTTTTATTTTGAAGCAAGCATTATAGTACAAAAAGAATTGGATGTTCAAATGTTTCTATTTGAAAAAATTTGGAAATGAAAATCTACTTTTTTTCTTATTTTTGTTGTCAGAATTAGTAGCGGATTGTTCTTTGGCATATCTTTGCCAATAGGGGTCTTCATATGCAGCTGCATCGATCCAAACTGTCATAGTAGAATCCTTGATGTTGAAGAAAAATTTTAGTTCTCGTTTTAGATTGTATTCCCACATTTGTTTGCGGTAATTATCACCAAACCACTGATCCTTTTGCTGCATTTCAAAAGTGAGACTATGCAGACGTTTAACATATGTTTTCAACAATGGAACATTAAATAAGTCTGATGTTTTGATTTTTAAATGTTCCACATATGGAAAACACTGGCCAAGGAGAATAATATCTTGTTCATTAAATGGATGTTGATTAATAGATGTGTCAAGATGTTTCACACAAATATTTGTTGTCATGAAGATTTCGGAATTGGCAATAATCAAATCGAATGATATTGAGAGCGAAAGCACTGTTGTGACACATGCTAACAGGGAACTTAATATGTTCGTTCTATTATCTGTACTTGTAATAGAGAGGTGCTTGATTTGAGAACAATTAACATACGTTGTCAACCATGATAATATGGATAAATTAACATTAGCAACTACAAGGTATTTTACGTTATCATAATAGAAAGGACAAGATGAAATACAGTTTTTGTCGCCAATCGCCAAATTGATACTTTTATCTATTGTCACCATACTATTATCAATAGTACGATTTGGTGCCATCCAACATCCAGTAACAGGCTGATCATATTTATACCGAGCAGGGGGTTTGATCTGGTCTACCTCTAAGTAATCATAAGCCAAAGCTTCATGATCGGCTATGATAATATTAAAATTCTTTTTCTCTATCCAATAAGAGTTTTGAAATGAGCGGAGTACACTTTCTACATTAGTTGTGTTTGCAAAGGATGTAGTTGTTCGAAGAGAAAAACAAGTAAGTGACGGTAACGATGTTTCAAAACACATTTTCCATGCATCAGCGTCCAATAATTCAGCATCTGTCTTAATTTCAAGATGATGCAAATCAGGCATGTAATTAAAATATGTTGTCAACATATCCAACGTCAAAGAGCTGTTTTCTGGAAGTGACAGAATTAACGTTCGAAGTCTATATTTTAGTTTATCTTTCGTTTTCGAACTCTTCTTCCCTATCTCACGAAAATGACGAGTATAAGATGTGTTGGTTATTTCACAGTCAAAATATTTAAGATGAGGAATGAACTGTAAAATATATTCGAAATCTTGCAATCGGAAACCTATTCCAGAAATCGCCAAATATTCAATATTTGACTCGGCATACTCCAAATTATCCCAGTTCATACGAGTCCAACTGCCCTTAATAGTTAAACATTTGAGTGACTGTAACTGAAATAAACGGGTAATCTCATATTCAAATTCAGAGTTATCTTTTATGTTCATTGCTTTGATTGATAAAGTGTGAATATTTAATTGCGATAATGATTCTAGAGCTGTGTGAATATAATCTACATCCAGAGTATTATAATCGAAATGAAAATAAAGTGTTCGAAGTCGTGTAAATAATTCAAACGTTGGATGACGTGAAAGAAAAGCATATATTTGGCCAGGTGCGTTTTCTTCTGATATGGCTAATTCTTCTATTCGATCGATATATGCCGGTAAAAGACCGAAACAAAAACGAAAATCATCTTTGTGACATTGAATAAAATTGAAACGAAGCCGTTGACATCGCCTGATAAGTTCATCAAAACGTCGATTTTGTTGAAAGTTAACGCATATTAGCAGATCCAGTCCATTAATATATTTCTCGAAAATATCAGTCAATATTTCATTAGGAAGTGATTCAAGTTTTGAGACCGACATTTATCTAAAAAGAAAATAATACCGAACTTTCAAAAACAAAAACGATGAAATATTTTTAAATCAGTGCAACGTTGTTTTTATGTGTTTTTTTCCTCATCGTAAAACGACCCGAATATTTGTTTATCGTGGTGTCGATCCTTTAACTCAACGAATTTTTTCATCGGTTTTACAATATATTGTGCACATAAGCTCTTTTTTTTATTTCAATACTCACAGAAATATCGCGCATATGTAGCAGACCTCATAAACATGTGACATTAGATATTTCAATAGGTATTCATTGGTGTGTTGTGTTCATGATGAAATTACAGAAAATTTAAGTGAATCATGCTCGCATACAGGAGCGAGTAGTAAATGTGAAGCCATTTTACCAGTGGTGAGGGCGCAACATGTCTAGAGCTTTTTTTTCTCAAACAGTTCTGATCTTCAACTAATGTGTATTGTGCTGTAACCTGACATGTTTTTGTTACAACCGTGCCATTCGCGAGTCCTATTACAAGTTTATAGTCTATTATTGTTCAGCATTCATAAGTTTGGTGGAGAGAACTTTTTGTCAAATATACTAATAAAATTGCGAGCACGTGAGACTTGACGGATAATGAATGAAAATGTAGTAAAAATATTCCTCTTGAGGATGTGGGATTATGTGTTAAAAAACATTCACACCCTCTACCGTAAAAACGTTTTACGCTCACGTTTCTAGTAAAAATTTGATTATGGTTTAGGTAATGTAGTTCCTACAAACGGTTGAGAAATATAAAAATTAGCGCACTGAAGTGAACCCGACTAGATTGCATCAGGCTCAACATATTTAGTAAATAACCACCATTCTATTTAGTATATGCTATTACATCACATTTCAGCCCTATCTAAATAATACTACATTTTACAGTAGAGAAAAAACTTGTCTGAAGTCATCTGAATAACTAACAATGATATTTCTCCTCTTAGTTTTTACTCAAAATAAATTTAATAATCTTTTTCACAAAACATTTTCTCTTCACATCCATATTGTTAATCTCTAAAAATCTCTAAAAACTATATAAATCAATTGTTTTCGATCTATCAATTCTTTATATTTTTAAGTGAGTGTATATTTTTCTAATAAATGTCACAAAAAATACTAATCAAAGACGCAACACGATAAGATAAGACCACCATAAGATTTCTATAAAAACTAGGGTTTGATATAACGAACATTTATTTATTGAGAATCACGATTGCCATCATGCATCTATATTGGATCGTATTTTTCATTGCACCAATACTCGTCGATGGTCAAAGTAGCTGCAAAAATATTTTTGAATGAAAAAAATATCTTTTAATAACCATTTTCAGGTAAAATTTCAACAACACCGCTCTTCATGCGAGGATTATGGTGTGTAGCACAATGGTCACAATCATCGCAAGCATATACACAAACTGGTCAAGCATTTTTCTATAATAATGACACATTTACATTCAATTTTCTTGATAATTCATCATTTACTTGGGTAGAATAGTTTGTGTTTATTGTTAATCGATATTTATATTTTAGTTTTAGATCAATCATTTTGTTGCAATCAATAATACAGATGGAAGCGGAGGTACTTATCAAATATTGACAGTGGCAACACAAGGTACAAACTATATATATATATATATTAGTATGAGGCAAGAAAAATCATAATGATTCTTGTAGGTCCTTCACAATATTTAAACAAAACTTTATGTTTTTGGCGACGACTAATAGCAAATGGTGATATTGTGTCTGGCCGTCAATCAAATGGCACGTGTACTCCAACATTTGAAAATGATACAGCATCTGAAACTATTCGGTATACAAGAAATCCAACAACATGTCGTCTTATTGATGATGAAGATACTAAAATTGTTCTTTCAAGTACACCGTTCGAAGTAGAAACACTTCTTCCTTTCGATAGAAATTTACCATCAGCTAAACGCCACGGTCTTGTCTTCTTCGGAAGTTCATCTATTGTAAAGTGGAGCACATTAGCACAAGATTTTCCAGATTATACAACATTAAATCGAGGTTTTGGTGGTTCGACACTTGTTCAATGTTATCAACAATTTAAACGAATTATCTATCCGTTAGAGCCAAGTATATTAATTATTTATGCCGGTGAAAATGATATTGCTGATGGACAACCACCCATTATTGTTCAATCAATATTTCGACAATTGATTCCAACGATTCGGCGTTTCTATCCAAATATACCTATTGCTTATATTTCATTAAAGCCAAGTCCATCTCGTGTTAGTAAAATGGCACAAATGAATGATACAAATAATCGTATTCGGAATGATATTGCCTTATTCTTTCGTGAGGTGACTTTTATTGATATTTGGCCTGATATGCTTCTACCCAATGGACAACCAAATCCAGATTTATTCCTATCGGATAATTTACATATGAATAGCAAAGGCTATGCAATTTGGACAAAAGCAGTGACAATATATCTTGAATCAGTTTTTACCAAACGTGCAATGCACACAAACTAATGAATAATTTCAGAAGCAAAAAATTCAATTTATTCTAGTTTAAATAGCAATAGATAGATTTCATTTTATTCATGAATAAATCTTGTAAAACTATCTACCTTCAATAGTCGATTAATGCCCTTTATAGTCGTAAAACTTCATGATTTACTACACTTGTTTTTCATTTACAATCAAAACCTTATACAGATATCAGTTATTTCATCATAGATAAATGTGCAGGTAGTTCGAAATAGATCTTCAAACTTGAGTTTATGTATTGACTCCAACAAGGACCCGTAAAGTAGTGTGTAATTTCGCTAAAAAACTATCATACACCATAGGCGAAAAATAACGGAATTCAAAACACAATATTAAATGCTTAGCTGAATACGATGCATAATAAAATGTTGAGTAGCACTACGGGTCTTGCAGTTCTAAGAACTAAGAACTTCTTAAATATTTCACACACAAGCCAATTCACAGCTTATTTATTTTATTTCAGTCAATGACTGAATTTTGATTTAACTCTTGTAAGAGCGAGATTAAGAATGATATATTAGAAATTACATTTTGACTTTGATTGATTAATTAATTAATAAAAAATTACACGCAGAGAGATGATAAAAATGAATGTAAATTGCACTAGATTATTACTAGCAGAATATCGTATTTTTTCGTTTTTATCAATAAAATCCATTTCTTCGTGAAAAAATATTGAATCTTTACTGTTCGAAAGATCTATTTGAGCAATTAGCATTCGATAGAATGCTGTTGCTTCACCAGTGTTAGAAAGTTGTGCATTAGCTCGAGCCATGCCAAGTATATTAATGGCTCGATTAGATGTTGATAGTATTGCCATTTCATAAACATGCAAAGCACGCTGTGGAAATTCATTTAAAGGTACTTGTATGCTATCTATCATTAATGAAGACACAGCCACTGGTCCCTTAATAGAAATAGATTTCTTGTAATGAGGTTTTACAAAAATATAGATTTAGATTTATCGATTGTTTTTGATATTTTCGATAGGTAAGTGATAGATGCATCGCGAATAGCTCAGATGAACGTGCAAATATTAAAATAGGACTATTATTATCGATCAGAAGGTTCACTTCAAGTTGAGTTGCTGCATTTACTATATTTAAACATTCTTGAAATGAATTATTCTGGGAGAAAATTGTTCCTTGAATTTGAGGTATCATCATTGGTTGAAATATATTTATTTAATCAAACAGTTCGATTTGAAAGTAAATCAAAACGAGCTAAATGTTGAGCTATTATTGATTGTGTCGATGGTTGATTGAAATTTGTATTGTTGACTAATAATAATCGAAGGCAATCACCTAAAAAAGAACTCTAATGCTTTTCTTTTATCGGTTGGACTTATTTTAACTTACGGAATCGATACCCGGCGCCACTCCATGCTAGATTCTACATTTGTGCCATTATCACTGAGTACAACAAATGGAAGAACTGCGCCTATTTTCTGTAGTTCTAGTAGTTTACTAACGAATTGAATATTGTACGGTAACCAATATAAGAGATTGCCAGTAGTGCGTGCAAGAGATCGATATGCAGATGTTAAATAATCATTTGATGCTTCCATCGACCGATTATAAGCAATGTACAGATCATTTATGAGAGACAATGTGCCTGGCCAATCGCCTGTTTGTAAGCGAGCAAACGAGAGCCATTCGATTGTATCAACTCGATTATTATTATCACATAGTACAAATGGAGAAACTTGATCTGCCGTGTCAAGTTGAGCTAAAACACGTTCAAATTGAGTTGAAGATACATTTACAATTCGACCCGTTACTTTAAGAAAACATAATGTTAAACTAACTTGAAGAGATTTTTCATCAGACAATTCGGACTTCAGTAATGAATCTATTGAGAAAAATAAAATAAGATTTACTGTATGTGAAAGGAGGAAATTATGATGTAATTCATTTTGTTTTAATACGTTAAGTGCCACAAAAAACAAAAGGCAGTTTTGCTGCACGCATCCAAATATGGCTCAGTAAATGTTGCGGATATGATAATGTACCGACTAACTTGTCATAATTCGATACGTAATCTAATGCTTTGATAGATATGTTATATTGGGCAACATCATAAGCTTGTATAAGATAATGAAGAGCGCCTGGATACGTTCGGTTCAGCAATGAGAGCTTCTTGTGATATTTGCCTTGTTTATATCATAGGTGGAGGCTCCAGTTCACCTTGAAATTGCTGTTCAAAAGCTACATTGAGAAGTGAAAGACACCATAGTACACGAATATCAGTTTCGTTTGGATATACGGTAGCTAAATTAGCTATCGAAGATAAGAAAAAAGGTTGTTCTCCAGCACGAACCGATGACTCATTCGCATACCATTGTTAAACTGTTGAAGGTAACGATGATTGTAACGGTGAACGAACCACATTTGATGTTGCGATCACTGATTTAGTTGCGTTATATGTCTCTAAACCACATTTGCAATTCGTTTGCCAGCACAATACACGTTTACATCTAAGAAAAAAATAAAATTTTATTGCCAACAAAACCAAAGAAACTCACGCCAGCATTTTTCCAATATGCGCTTCAGTTAGAGTAGGTTTTGTGTTGATTGCAAGAGTGAAAGCATCTTGTACTTCATCATACATAAATGAATGAAGACAAAACACCCAACAGCAAAATGATGATGTGCGAGTGGTGATCGATTCATTGTATATCATTTAAATCTATGTAGGATTCCCACGGAAAAATTCCATCGGATTTGTTCCATGATTGTGTAGTCAAATTGTTGATAATTGGTCACAAGAGTTATCAAGATATAGATTAGCATTTTTTTCTCAGCTGATAGATAGAAAACTAAAATGTAACGAGATAAATAATACATAAATACAGTACATGCATCACACGATAACAATAAAAATATATGAAAATATTTGTGACACTGAATGCATCCAACCTGAGTTATTGATCGCACCATGATGATTGCTAAAAAAAAGTTTGTTTTTTGTAATATCGAGGTTTCAGACAGCAGGACATGAATTTCCAACTAGAAATTAATATTCGGTAGGGATAAAAACTTTGAAGGACTCTTTTTCCATAGAAAGATCACGATTCAAATATGAATTTATCAGAAGTGCCGAAGTATCGTTTGCTACAGAAATAAATTCACCGGCAATATTTAGTATTATCCCTTAGGCAAATATTGTATCTTTATTGAAGTTCTATTTTAGTCTGCAACAGACCTACCTTGAGATCAACTTCAACGTATGTAGTTTTGATAAAATAGATATTTGAAAGTATACTATCCCTGGATAATCATCATTGTAACAGAAAGAAAATAATAGTAATTGTAAATTTAAGCCGAGGGCGGATATAATAGTTACTAGTATTTGTTATGATAACAACAGGAGAAAGAGTAAAAGCGATAGATTTTCATAGCAACAAAAAATCACACTATAGAAAACAACGTGTAAGGAGATTTATATGTGTTTGAATCGTAACATTTCAGTGTTTGCACATTAAATTTTGTGAGAAAATGTATATAATGAATATTAATATTTAGCCATTGATTTATACTGTACTACACAACTCTATCGATTGAATTAACAAATCACTTCCTACAGACTATGATTATTACACAGGACGTTCAGTTCCATATTTTAGCTTTTCGCAAGGGAGTGCATTCGACGTTGTTTTAAAGCTTCATTTAATCTATCCTATTTTCGATAATCAACATTAAAATAATTTTTCAAAAGATTTTATTCAAAAATAAAGTAAACAACTGAGAAAACAAAAGATTAAATTAAAACAAATATCAACACGAATCGCTGAACTATGACGAGCTAGATAATCATTAGCTTCTTTTAGAAAATTATCATCATGAGTATGCGTTGATGTCATTTGAAAAGAAAGTTGTTGATATAAACCAACTGCTATACTATGCCGATTAAGATATGCATTAGATCGAGCCATGCCAAGTGTACTTATAGCTCGATTAGGAGCCAGCTGATCAGATGTTTTGTATAATTTCAATGCTATCGATGGAAATTTATCAGCAGACGTTTTTGTACCATTTAATACATACATAAAAGCATTGGTCTCATTCTAGAAATTATTAAAATCGAATATGATTCTCACCTATTAACATATTATTAATATTTACCGATTGATTTTGATGCTGTTCATAAATAATCAATAGATGCATAGCAAGTAATTCAGACGAACGTGCAAACATCAGCGCAGGACTATTAATATCCGCTATAAGTGTCGATTCGATTTGATTCGCTGTATTCAATTCATCTAAACTTTCTTGCCATAGCCCATTAATATAATGGCGTATGCCAAGTATTTGAGGTATCATAATTAAAATACTATTTGATATATATTTACTCATTGCATTCGTTCGATTAGAAAGTATGACCAAACGAGATAGATGATTATCTATACTTAATGAGATACTAGATGTATTTCTGTCCATATAGAAATTCACTAGTAATTGAAGACAATCAGCTAAACAATGAGGACTACATTTCTACCGGAATATAACAAACAAATCTTACCAAAACGATATCCTGCTTCACTCCATATAGGATACCATCGTGTAGCATTATCACTTAATGACATCATTGATTGTTCGTCATCAAATGATGAAAGTAATTGTGTTTTGTTCAAAAATGCATCGCTATAGGAAAACCAAAAGAAAAGATCAATAATAGTACGCGCTTGCGTTCGATAGGCAAATGGTAAATAATAATTGGGTATTAGAAATGATTGATTATTTGCAGCCATTAGATCTTTGATTAAATTTATACTGCCTGACCAATCGCCGGTTTGTAAACGAGAGTATGAAAGACATTCCATTGCGTGAGCTCGATTTTCTGCATCGCATAAAAGAAAAGATGATATTTGTTCTGTTGTATTAAATTGAGTCAAGACATTTTCGAGTTCAATAGATGAAATTGATGTCGAACGATTTAATAATTTAGTTGCGCATAATCCAAAACTTGCTCGAATAGCTGATGTATCGGCTGATATAGCAAGAAGCCATGCACCTAATTGAAAACAAATATACAATAAAATAATGTGAAAAGAAGACTGTCTTGCCTGTACGGATCCAAATATGTGCCGTCATATGTTGTGCATACGACAATGTAAATGCAGTTTTATTGTATGCTGATGCATAATCTGTAGCTTTTTCGGCCATGTCAACTTGATTAGTATCAAATATACGTATTATATAGTTGAGAGCACCTGGATGATTTGGTTCAGTGATGAGGACTGTTTTCAATATTTCTCTTGCTTCTATCACAGGTGTAGATTCTATTTGATCTTGAAATTCTTTTTGACAAGCTATATTGAGAAGTGAAAGGCTCCATAGTACGCGAATATCAGTTTCATTTGGGTAGGTTTCGGATAGATCAGCTATCAGAGATAAAAACACTTGTTCTCCAGCACGAATCAACGATTCGTTTGTGTACCATTGATAAACAGTTGACAGCAACGATGATTGTAACGGTGAAAGTGTTATATTTGTTGCTCTTAACATTAGCTTAGCTCCATAGTATGCTTCTAAACCACATTTGATATCAGTATGTGACCACAATACACGTTTACATCTAATAAAAAATTAAAATTTTATTGTCAACATAACCAAAGAAACTTACGCAAGCATTTTTCCAATATGAGCTTCAATCAGAGTAGGTTTTGTGTTGATTGCAAGAGTGAAAGCATCTTGTGCTTCATCATACATAAATGAATGAAGACAAAAATATCCAATAGCAAAATGATGATGTGCGAGTGATGACCGATTTAATGTAAGACCCAGCGGTCGTTGTATATCATTTAAATCTATGTACGATTCCCATGGAAGAATCCCGTCGGATTTGTTCCATGATTGGCAATCAATAACTTTGTTGATCGTGGCAAATGTCAAGAAAATAACGGATAACATGTGTTCGGTTTTGTTACAATAGTAAAATGAAATCGGCAAGTAGAGAATCCTTTGCGAATTTTGATTGAGTTACATCCGTCGAAATCGACGACGACAATATATACGTATGCTTCTATAAAAGTCAATCTAATTTGTATACAAATATTTACCGTTATGTAATGGTAGTAGAAAGTGTATTGTGAGAATGACTAATGACGATGAAAAATGTTTGTATGATTGAATCAATAGAACGTTGTCTAAATAATCGCTCATCGGTAATCAATGAATTTGAACATGACTTAAATAATAACTACAAATGTAAACCACACAAGTCTATTCTTTCTAGTTTGAATCGGACGAAGATGCATGTCAAGAATTTCCTTTTGTTATTAAGAAATTAGCAACGAATGTTCGTAAAAAAAAAGACAGATAGAGGAATTATTGTTCGAATTAATCTGAATCTATAAGTTTGTTTCTTAAAAACAATTGTATGAATAAGATGCTGAGTTTTACAATGCTCTTATGATTACAGTAAGACACATACAGATGATGATGCGTACTTATTTTTCTTGTATGCAATCACTTTCAATGAACTAAACAAATCATCTTTGCAAAAGAAATTTTATTTCTACGCTTTCAATAAATTCGAGAATAAAATTCAAAAAAAATATCGTACTCAAAAATAAATAGATGAGCAAAAACATGCCATTTCTGTTTATTTGTATGCCTATCGGTTTAGGATACCACTTCGTTAAATTAACTGCATTTGTTCCAGACATTGAAGTAATTTTGTATCAAACCATTTTTTGAATGGCATTGCTCGTAACCATGGATAAGGAAGTGCTTTATAGCCATGTCTTGCTCCGTACATGGTTCCACATACTGCACCATTAGTATCGGCATCGCCACCATATCGAATAAGATCATGCAATGTATCTTCAAATGAACGTGTAGATCTTAATCCATAAAAGCCCGATCCTAAGCATTTATATGTATAGCCAATACTTCTTGGTTCGTCAAGATCCAAATCCTCGAGAGTGCGTTCTTTATCTGTATGCCATAAGAACAGGTCACGATGTTCTTGAGAAAGACTAGCACCAAGTATGTCGATAGTTTCTTTTAGAACGCGGTTGATCAATGACTCAATATCGTTTTGATCAAAGTTTTCATTTAACAAATCAGTTATAGCCAAGCAAACAGCAAGACACGAAGCAATGCATCGAGGATCAAAATGAGTCGTTTTACACAACAGCATAGTTGTTGATATGACCTTTTCAAATTAAATCAGATAATAAGAATATTTTTAATTTAGATAAATATGAATCCGGAAAATAAAAATACTTTTATGACATATGTATCGAAATTGATTAATCGTATTTGATAATTAAAACTTTTTTTTTGCAAATGTCGATATCTGACTTAGACTATTTTGGACTGAACATTTTGAAATTGTTCAAGAATAAGTGAATTAAAAGCTTGATACCTCGAACAAGTGTATAACATCTAATGATATCCTTTTATATTTCAAGATCATCAACGTACGAGCTGCAATTCGCTTCATCACTGCAGATTTTACTTGGCATAGTTTTTAGAAAACAAACAAAAATGCGGGGATGCATCTAGTCGGAGAAATATTTATAAACTTCGTACCTTTGCTCGATCTCTATAGTGAACAAAAGCCGATGCTGAACAACGCATAACAGCTCCATTGGGTGCTGCTTGGCGATTGCCACGCTCCCATACTGTTTCACTTGCTCGGAGCGGATCGAGAAGATATCCTCCAGAATGCACTACCTATTCAACAATATAAATACAAATGTTATAGATTCGAGATCAGTCATTGAAATTGTTGTAACATCTCATTGAAGAATTTCAAAAAAGAATATATTTACTTGTGATACGTTGGCACCTAATCCCATTCCACCATGATCACCTAACATTGGATATCCGTTTCGAATCCAATTTTCTAATTTTTTAGCAAAAACCACTTCATCAGGTTCACCATTATTCGTCTCCGTTAATGTTTCCAGAATTAATATCCATTGATCTGTATCATCAGTCCAATCGCCTCGTCTCCATCGCTGAGAATGTCTAGTTAAGACATATTTAGGAAAGGGAATCAGTTTTGAACGATCCGGATAATTGTAATCGACACTTTGACGTGTTTCAAATTCAGTGGATAGACCATAAGCATCGCCCAATGCTTGTCCATACGTACAGCCAAGAAGACGATTGAATAATTTTTTCTTGGCTGTTTCTTCCCATAGAAATTCAAGTAAATCAGGTTCATCCTCACTATACACTATGGGTGAAACGCCTGATTCATGATGCTTAGAAGCGGATGCACCACCTTTCTTAACATCTTTCTTGGCATTATTATGTTTCGAAGTTGCATTGTCATCTTCTACTCTTTCCTGTTCATGAGATGGAGTCGAGTCGTCGCGTGTGTCGACTTGAGAGTTTATTGTAGACGTATTCGCATCATTTGGTTCAGCAAGTTTGCTATCAGTAACAGATTCATGTGTTTTGTCGGTTCGTGTATCGTCATTGTTTTTCGATACATTAGATCCATCAGATTCACTATAAAATGAACAACTAATTGTCGTGTAGTGCACACGGAAACAATATTGATATAAAAAAATGGTCTGCATCGGATGACTGCAGTAATTATCTTGTTTTCTAAATGATCCTTAGAAAAATGCAAAATCAGTAGCTAGATAGTCATCTTTTTTTTTAATATTTTTCTGTTTCTTCTAAGAGTTATCTGTTGAAAATTTACATAATTCTAGAAATTCTGAGGTCTGAGGGTGCTCGTTAATGTTTATGCCATTCGAAAAATGAATAAAAAGTCATTCTATACCTTAATTCTACATCAACTGCTGTACTTTTTCGACACAAACTAATATTTCCCATACTCAACTGTTACAATCCTAGAAACAGTTACGTTTGATAATAGATTGCAAGATATGTAAAACCTTTTTCGTCATCAAACGAGACACCTGATCATTATTATCTTGTCTACTTGAGTTACTTATCGTCTAAAGTATAGAATAATACCGAAAGCAAATTATGTATTTCAATACTAATCTGCAGGATAAATGGGTCACCACGATATAACACTTAACATAAGATAAATACTTCGTAATATTTAAAATTTTTTACACACCAAGGTATTTGATACTGATTATTACCATCGTTTTTGCTGCTATCGCTTGTGTCAGTCATTGCCGCAAACAAGTAGAAAGAAAAGGTATGGTTAAATGCTGTTGGTTAAGTGCAGAGAAAAACACAAAAGGAAGAAGAAGAAAGAAAAGGAATACCAACATAATGTGAGTTGTTGTTGTTGTAAATTTTAGCGAAAATGCTTAAAGTATATAAAAAATTCTAAAGTTTATTTGTATGATGCATTTCAAACAGACACTATTTCTCGTGAAGTAAAAATGATAAACTTTTCAAAATCACCAATCAGGTCATCTTAGAAGTACAAAAAAATGTGTCACTAAGTAATATGCAGAGGTCGCTTCATCTACCAGACGACAGAAAATCCAGTAATCGAAGTAAAATTCTTTAACTATATATTCTAGTACTCTAGAGACAATTACCAAAGTTCTTATTAGGTTTTCTTTATCTACAGTGGACCTGCGGGAAATTTTAATTATCATTCATTTCAAGACTCATGCATTTCTATTACTAGCAGGAATTGCATGTTTCTAAACTTTAGCTCTGAATGCTGCTGTGGTGCAACAAAATAAATAAAGAATAGGTTTTCATACGTGTTCCTTTTTCACATGCATTATATCTCAAATTCGAAAATTAGCTCTTCCATTTTTCTCGAAATACATCTCTCGTCGTCCGACACAAATCTCTTTATAATACGAATGATTTGAATCATAACTATTTCATCCACATCTTATTGAAGAATTAATTTGCCTTATATTGATGGTGTTCAATGGCACGATGAAATCTTTGTTTATGCGACATGATCAAAAGAAATTTGATTTCAGCAAAGATATAGTCAACAAGAATATTAAAGTTGATCTTACATTTAATTGAAAAATCAATAGGCTTTATTGGAAGAGACTATGGACAAGATGGTCCATTTCTTCAAACTATTGCAATGGAGAACGAAGGTCGATACGATGTTTATTCACTAACCATGTAAATTCGAAGACTTTAAACATCTAAATAATTCTTTTCGTAGTGGCATTCATGATAAAGTCCGAAGCATGATGATGAATGATGAAACATATCCTTTCGAACGTAGTTTTTTCCAAGTAATATCTCAGGAATTTCCTTCACTCAAAGAATTTCACATGTCTAATCGTCAGCCACAAAATGATAAATAATATTCGCCTCCTTGTTTAGTGAATTTTAATATTGAATGCGAATCACTCGCAATAGTTACAAACAATATTATATCAATGATGTAGGTAGTCTCGCTTATGCTACGTTGAAATGTTTTCAAAATATCCGACGTATTTATTCTTCCGAAGAAGTTTTATTAATATTTTCCTTTGTTATGCAATGGTTTTTTTTTGGTAAAAATTCTAGCAATCAAATAAAGAACCTTGAGAAAGTGAAATATATTTTCAATCACGTAAATCCAGTGAAATAAAACCATGCAAATAACAAGGTTGCAAATTAGATACTTCAGCGGAACAACAGGGTAACTTCGCTTATGAACTTACACACGGTTGTCGATAATTCCAAGTATATGGTCTTCTTCTTCTGGAAATGAAACTTTCTCAGCGTACTATTAAGAGTGCATTTTGATAGAACGTTAGATAAATATTCTTTCTTGTCTTGTTCATCAATGTGTGTGAGTGTCGCTGTTAGTAATAGAAAGACTGACGACATCGCCCACCCGGCACCCAGAATAGCAAATAGTCAATAATTATCAATCTAATTTTTATTGAGTAGATGCGAAAAACAGAAAAGATTTACATCATCATTTTCATACGTCTTATACCAATTTTCGCTTCTTCAACATAAGAATGTGTCGGTGGTAGTGAAATATGATAAATCGGAAGTGCTTTTTGTAGATAGGAAAGTGATTTCGAGTGGTCACCTATGGGCTTATACGCGAACACGATGTTGGTAGTGGTGTAACCAGGATTTTTTGGGTGGTTGGACTGCGCCCTAACGTTTTTCCAAAACCTATTTTTGCTGATGTATAACTTTTTTTCCGTAGAACAAAAATGCAATAATGCATTTTACTTGAACAACATTTTTTTTGTCAATAAGTTTTCATTTGCTTATTAAAAAGAAATACAGAATTATAAGGCTTTATTAAAAAAATGTCTACTGTATTAGTGCAAATCAGCAAAATTCTCGATTAGTTTTTCAAAATTGATGTGGAAATCGTGTTCCATCGCCAAAACGCGCAAATCACTCAGCCGAGTATTTGATAGTGTACTACGTGCGATTGTTTCTATAAATTTCATCTTATTAAATGTGCTTTTGTGAGTGATAGGCAAAACAAGTATAGTCATCGCAACAACGGCAAGAAATATAGTAATTGGAAATACGTGTTTCAGTGACATCCAATCAGATAAAAGTTTTTGAAAACGCGTTTAAACGCACAATAAGAGAAGAAAAGTCCAGAGAAGTCCACGTGTTTGAATGACAATCGAGGTTCTCGATTGTGAGCGAAAAACGCCCATTTTCGCCCTCTCTGCGCATTTACACCAGTTCTCAGTCAGAAAACGTGTGTAAATGTATTCGAAAAAGACAACAAATGGTCATTTTCATAGTCACTATCGACGATGAGATCATAATTAGGGTTCTCAAATGTGTAAAAGCGACTACTTTTCGTCGTTTTTATATGCATTTACGCGCATTTTTGCCCGAAAAAGCGTTTAAACACACAGAAAGAAAGAAAGAAAGAAAGAAACGTGACAGTTTTTCGCTCACACTGGAATTCCGATTGCCATTCAAACGAGCCTACTCTTTTTTGACTTTTCTCTTTTTCTGTGTTTAAACGTATTCAAACAAATTCTACTTTGCTAGAGTAATAGTTCAGTATAGAGATTAATACTGTTTATTTTTGAATCTTTCAACATCTGCTAGAGAATTTTAATTTAAATATATAATGAGAAAAAATTAGCTTACGTTCGCAATGTAAAAGTTTTTAGTATCAACTAAAAAAGAGATCAGAGCGATGGTAAACGTGCCGTGTTTTATTGGGTCTAGAGTTATAAAAAAAATCATTTTTTTTTACGGCCGGTGGTAGGGCGCAGAGCTAGGGCGGTTGGGCTCAGCCCAACCATGCCCTACCCTGATTACGCCACTAGATGTTGGTGTAGGAATTACCCAATGATGGATGATTTGGAGGCAGAGTATTTCCTTCGAATTAGTACAGCTTCGCCGACTCTAACTTAGTCGAATAAAAATGTTGACCGAAAAATATCGAATCAAATTTGATCCATTCTAGATATAGAATTTTATCCTAACCAACTACTTTAATAATGACTTGATTAATTAACCCCATCTGAGTTGGTAACCAGCTGACTTAGTAATAAACTAAGTTGATAACCTACATCCACACCCACACTCACATCTACACCTGTTGACATCTGTTTGAGCAAGGCAACAGATGTAATTGACTTGGTTACCAACTCAGATGCGGTTAATTAATCAAGTCACTATTAAAGTAGTTAGTTAAGATAAAATTCTATATCTAGAATGGATCAAATTTGATTCGATATTTTTTGGTCAAGATTTTTATTCGGCGAAGTTGGAGTCGGCGAAAAAAAGATTCGGCCAAGCTGCAATTTACCTTTTCTTCTATGTTAAGTGTGGGTGTGGGTGTGTGAATTTAAGCATTACCAGCACAAGCCCGCGTCCACACAATCAAGAGCAAATAAAAGCGTTCGTTATAACTGGGTTTTTCAAACTCCGCTCATACTAAATAATCTGACAACGTTTTATGGGCACTAAAAAAAATTCTACGGATTTCATATCAATATAGCCTCTAAAATTTGATGATGAGCTTTTTATCTGTATTATTTATCTAGCTTTTGAAACAGTATCTGGTTCATGATTCGAGTTCCTAGTTCAGGTACCACAAGCATTGTTCGCCATGCTTTTTTAAATTTATATTACTAGATTTACAAGTAGATTTTAGAGATTTTTTTTGAAAACCTCTGATAACCACAGTGACTATAATCACTGACAAACCGTTGCGTCTATATAGTTCCAGATGTAGAATTCAGCAAGACAATGCGATTGAATAAAAAAAGTAAAAATGCATAAGAAATGTCGTAAGATCTATACCAATTTTTTTATACTTTTGTTCATAATTATTTCTTGATGATGAGCATGCAGATCAAAAACTTGAAAAAAGTATCAAATTTCAATGAAACTAATATGTACTTTGAAATCACAATAAATTGAATCATTTTTACAAGTGGCCTTCATTTTCGACTGTTAAGATTTGTTTGATGCTGAGTTAATGTCATTTACGGTTGAGAACAGTGTTTTGTCGAATTTTTTGGTAAGATTAGTTGAGATTTTATTTCTTTTGATAATAGATAAAAAACCAAAAGCGTACCGAACTACTTACAATAACTGGGATAGGCGCAAGTACTTCAGATAGAAAGTCTTTCTGAAAACATTGTTCAGTCTCGTAATCCTTCTAGTATCATAGTACGAAAAACGCTACAGGTGTTTTGTACACTCAACTCTATAAATATTTCTACATTAAAGCTACGTTCGTACAACTAATATGGATATATCTTTGTTGAAACATAAGAGAAAACAATAACCCTAGAGATGATTCATGGAAAGAGAAAAAAGTCAATTGAAATTTTAATACATTTCAATGTTAACAGCTTTTTTTCTTGTTCTTGATCGCAGCAGGAATATAATGTAAAACAGAGAATGTGTAATCATTATCGATGGAATTACAAGAGAAAATGAGATGTTATCGAAAGTGCCAACTAGTCAGTCGTCGTCGGCAACGACGCCAACGGCAACAATCCAGTGTTATCGTTGCACTTGGACTTTTTATAACTTCATTAGCTGGATTTTTTCTGCTTATTCAAGCTTTAAATTCTGATGATATTAGAATCACATACTTAACTGCATTTTCATCATCATTACCTAAATGTCATTGTTCGAAATCATCATTAGTGGCTTTCAATCATGGTGAATGTTTTTTCAATCAACCTGCTTGTTATCCAGGATTTATTGGAGATCATTGTGAAATAGAATTAAAAAATGAGGTAAAGCCATTTTTGTTCTGAATTTATCGAGAACTAAACAATTACACAACAATGAAATTGTACAAAAAAAATACATCGTATAATGCTATTTTTATGAACTGGTGAATATAAAATGTGAGGAGTCAACTGGTAGAGACCTGCGGAAAATAATTGTTTTACAAGAATTCTCATATACATTTTAAAAACGAGAAGAAAATATTTTTCCGTGATCGGAAATGTGAAAAAAGGAACTAAATTGATTTGTTTAAAAGAAAAGAATCAGAAACCAACAATAGCTAGTCCAACAGGACTCCACTAGCTAGGCAGATTTTCAAAAGATAGCCCAAGACAACAGAAATACTTGTACGCAATAGTTATCTTTAAAAAAAATCTTGAATCTATTTCAGACTTATCGATCTCATTGTCCATCAGATATCAATAAAGTTGAATGGACTGTATGGCTGATTAATCAAACGAAAACCAAATGTTTGCGCTCACACTTCGCTCAACAAGAATGGAATACATCTTGTTTGTTTCTTTGTTTTTATCATCGCTTAACTGGTGTAACTCAAATACCATCAATATTCTGGCATAGGTCCTTAGGCAATGAACTTTCTTATTGGCGAGACAATCCTATGACAATTGATGATCGTCTTCACGAGCATGTTGAAGGTTTTCATGGTTATAAAATCATTCCGCTAAAACTCAATTCAATTATTGAAATTGGTGCGGGTCCATTTACACAAATTCAGTATCTATTAACACCGTTTCGTTCAATTAAACAGATAACGCTTATTGAACCAAATGCATTAAGTTACATGCAAATGAATAATTGTGCATATCGTGGTGGTCATCTTCGTGGCTATCCAGTATCAATTATCAGCGAATCGATTGAAATCGTTATGGAAAAACGTCGTTACAATGCTTTTTTCTCGAATTCATCAAAATATTATTCAGTTGTAATCGCGATTAATGTGGTTGAACATGTTAGTAATGCATTTGAATATTTTCGTGGTTTATATGATTTATTGGAGGATAATGGTTTACTCATATTTCATGAACGATGGTATGATTATCCACAGCAAGGTGATTGTTTACTTCAGAATGCTGAAAGTTTACATCCAATACGAATAACAAAATGGATAATCGATCAATTTCTGAAGCAATTCGAAGTAATTTACATTAATTTTAATCGAACACGACGACAAATCCATTCAGTTTGTTTTGAGCAAGGAGTTTATTTTATCGGACGAAAAAAATCGAATTGCGTGTGAATCACTTTTGCGTTCGCTCGCATTACATTTGTTACGCTTCATTGATTATGTTTTCTTAGATTTTATTTACAAAACAAATAGATAAATACCAGTATTCAAAAGCATGTCTTCGTCTTATCCATTCTATTCGCAACTGATTCAACAAAACCAAAATCAAATTCCATCGAATTATGACATGCCGAATAATAATTCCAATGCGAATTCAATGACAGTCTCAGGTAGTCTTCGAACACCGGCTAAACCATCACGAAACTACATGTGTAGGCCCGGAGCTCGATGCTCACATCATCATCATTAGCGAAAACAAAATGTGAAGAAATTTACTTATTTAAAAATAAATTTAATATTTTTATTTTATAATTTTATTTATTATTCAAAATCTAAAAGCGAATAAGATAAATAAATTTATCTGTGTTTTTGTTTTTATCGAATACAAAGAAACGAATCAATACGAGAATAAACGATCACAGTACAGTAGCTTAATGTTCAGAAAATAACGGAGCAGTAAAACGATTAATTAAAACAAAAAGGAATGAAAAGCAAAACAAAAGAACTATTTTCTTAATTATACAAAACTCTTGTCGAGATTCTTTAACAAAGCCAAGTTCGTTTTATTCTTCGTCAAATTCTATGCTTTAACTGAATTTCCATTAGTATTATCAGTCGTAGATTTATTCGAATTATGATTTTGTTTCATTTCTTTCGCTCGCACTTGCGCAAACAGACCAGATCCACCAAGAACAAATACATTCGATATCCACCAAAGCATTGTTTTTGTCTACATGTAAATCAGACAATAAATTTGTATTGTTTTTATTTTTATTTTCATTCGTATTCTTACTTCACTATAGATAACAACAGCCATTAATGTTTGCACATAAGATTTTGCTGTACCAGACACATTATGTGTTAATGGGCTGGTTATCTTTATTTGATAACCTGTTACATAGCCCATGGAAAAACCAAGAAAGCCAGCTGCTGTCATTGCAATCCAAAATGGAATATTGAACAATTTCGAATAATTAAAAACAACAGGTATTTCACCAAAAACAAGCATGAGAGGTAAAAATAGAATACAAGCATTAAAATTATTGTATAAACATAGACGCCAAATATTTTTATCAACGCATGGTAAGCATCGAGTTGTATAAATGGCATTTAAGGCGACAAATATACTTGATGCTACACCACAGAGTGCACCGAAAATTGAAAGAGTACCTAGAAGAAGTAATGAAATATGTGAGTAAAATTCTTAGTTTTTGAGGAGCCATTATAATTAAACGTAGCTGATATCGCCAGCCAATGGGTGATTACTTTATTCTATCTATAGTTTAAGACAATGATTTAACATTTCATTGAGATGCTTCGGTATTCCAATCAGTTTTTCCGACATATTCCGTCATTAAAAAAAAAAGGACTTCGCGGGCCATCGAAAACTTACGTATTCTTTCGACTTAAAAAGTATTCAACTATGAACATTGCCGATTATATTACCTAGTGTATTTTCTTGATCCATACCAAGAAAAAATCCAGCAATGATAAGGCCACAACAAATCAACGCTCTATACGATGTTCTATCACCGAGCATAATATAAGTAAAAACCTAAAATGGACGTTCTTAATTTTTAATTTTATCAAATTTTTCATTTGATAACATACCACATTGGCGACTGTAGTTAATGATCGTCCAACCATATAAAATGATACAGTTAAATACTTCAACGTTAAATTATTAAATATAATCATAGCGACAAACATCAACGAAAGTGGAAGTACCTAAAGAGATCGCTATTGTCAACTATTTTGAATTTTCGAAAAATTCTTTGACTTACATCACGTGCAATTTTAAGATCAATATTAAATGATGGAAATCCAGAAAAAGCAGCAACTCTTTTATTTAAATTGCCAATTATAGCGCAAATACCAACGGTTACAATACATTGATACCATGTTATAAAAAGTGGTGCATCTAACTATGAAAAATATGAACTATTATCAACCGATGAACGAATGGAAAACAAAATTTACTTTCACATCTTTGGAGCTTAATAGATATTTATTTAAAAATACCATGGTGATCGAAACAGACCTAAATGATAATAATAATATATAGTAACATATTAAATCAATATTCTTCGTACCAATAGAGTGCGACGGCGATTGCTATTTGTTTGTAATTTTTTCGGAGTGTATCTACATTGGTCGTGTTCGTCACAGATGAGGACTGAGGTGATAAAGGTTCTTTAACTGGTATTGCAACATCAATATTATCTGTCGAGTTATTCAATAATGCGTAGGTAGTGTTACTCATTTTTATTGAATAAAATCTAGAAAAAGAAAATCTTTGTTCATTATTATTATGAAGATCGTCGAGATAAAAATAACCAATGGATAATAAATAACTCGATAATGTTACGTTAGATATAAGTCTTAATGATTCAATGCGATCAAACAAGTGACCTATATTATTAACAATCATAAGTGAACCAAAAATTGAATATGGTGGAAAGAAATGAAGAAAATGTTAGACTTTTTTCAATCGAAACTTTCGACAAATGGCCACTTTTGTAGAGCAGCCAAGTGAAACCAATAGTTGATAACTAAAATGTTAATTCCGTCAAATAAATTGACGATGATCTACATATCCTATATAAATGCAAATGGAATGGTAGTGAAAAATCTCAACCGTGTGGTAAGCCATCCTTTGCTGAAAATAGTAACAGGCTCTATAGAGAGTTCTTGTTTATATTAGATTTTATCTTTCAAGTTGTCTATAGAACACTGCTAATAATTCCGAACATGGATTACATTGTACAGAAAATAGAGATAGCAGAGTTGATGATTTATTGTTGTGAAAAAATAATGCCGTGAAGAACAGAAAGACTTGTGACAGTGTCGGTATTTGCCTTTATGCCATAAAAAGGTGAAAATCATGGAAGCAGAGTTAAATAACGAGAGTAAGATGTTTTATGATGGCTGTAATGATCGCTCCCTGATAAGGTTATTTGTCTGCAATAAATATTTCAAAAGCCTTGGTATTTAAGAATAGTTTAGTGTTGAAATCCCAGTTCAATAGTTCAAAACAAATAGAAATTACGTCTAGAGAAAATTTTCAAACAGGCCGTAGTTATTTTTAATCATTATTATTTCTAATATCACTTATTTGTTTGTCTAGTTGCTCTTGGTCTTTCTCAATTTAGTATTATTATTAGGATGATTATCTAGCAATTGATATCACTGAATAGGGACCTTGTTCTACGTGCCTACTAAAGCTATAGATATACTGTATGATACATCTCGATCACCTCCTGAATACTAATATTGGCTAGTTGACGCTACTAATGTCAATTATCTGACAACTATGGCCAATCAATTTATCAACAGTCATCATCTGCGACACGTTGAATAGATATTTTTCTTTACCTACATAAAAAAAAATCAAAAAATGTACAATGTCGAGCGACTTCGTCGTGTAGCTTCGAAAGCAACATCAAATCTCGACTTAAAACTTATACTCACTATAGAATCTTTTCATGAAAATAATCATAGAACTTCGGCACAGAATTATACTCGTCAATCGAGGTCGAGTAGAATATATAGCTATATAGTCCATATATTTGATGCCGATATCGAACAAATTCGAAGGAAATATAAAGAAGTAATAGTACAACGAATCTTATTTTTGTTAATCCGGCATAACACTAATTTCGATGAATCGACAATTCATGTTTAATCGAAAAATAAGCATCTGAAGAAGAAAGTAAATAATACAAACCGAACCAAACCGTGTTAATATTGTGATTGTATAGATTTATTCATTGGAAATAAAAATGGATAATTAGTCATCATTTAGCCATGAAAAGTCATGTAATCAAACAAACATTATTTAATGAATGATGACATTAGAATACCGATTGGTTCTACGACTAGTTTGCGTTTTTTACTCATTTAGTCGGTTCTGTTTCTCATCACAATACTATCCAATAGCATTTTTGAATAGTCGAGTTCGTTCGTCCATAACGAATACGGACTCAATAAGTTCGTCAGTGAGTATTAAAATTAACTTTTAGAATATTGTTTCTCTTGAAGAATCTAAATCGCCGCTTGTAAATGATAAATTACCATCAGTGGAAAGACAATCATTTGACCAGTATTAATACTATAATCATAGTTTCTATATTAAACAAATATGCTGATGTTTATATTGATCATTCAAGTTAATCATTGAATTTCAAGTGAAACATTTCATTGGTTTCAGAGTTGATTAGTAGAAAGCATTTGCTTCATTTTTTTGTTTTCCTTCAAAAATTTTCATACGCAAGTAACGCAATCATTGCTCAAAAACCGATAGTCAGGGCTATGTAAAAAAAAGAGCCGATAAGAAGTTTTAGTTCTCTTTAAGAAGAGGCCTTGTACCTATACTCGCGTTCTAGAACGTGTCCAGCTAACCACAAAGACAAATAGCTACAAAATTCAAACTATTTCACTCTTCATTTTCCTCCTAATGAAATATTCGGTTATCAGTTTTATATTTTACCTGTTCCCTAAACTTGTTAAGGCAATCAATCTTTCTAAAAAAATGTGCCATCGTTTTCATTATGCACAACTAACTTTAATAAAACTGCATGTCTTACTTAGAGTAAAGAGAAAACATACTTATTTTCGAATTGTGACGCCCACCATTCGTATTTTCACAAACTATTTGAAAATTTTATCTAAAAAAAATCTTGAATATACAAAATCATCTGTAGAAAAATACAATATTTTAATCATCAAATATAAGAAACAGAAGAAAAAGAAACTTATTGTACATCATCTTCTATAGGAGATGAAAAGGAATATAAATTATTTAGGATATCTTCCGTTAATTGCATTTGCTGACTTTTAAGTTCACTTTTGCGTTGATAATAAATTGTTTGTATAACATCGAGTAATTCTTGATATTCAATAGTATTTTTTGAATTTGGCTTACACACATAAATATGATTTTTATTTAATATAAAGAATTTTCCGATATTTATTTGCGAACTTTCTGCTGGCACGATAACAGTTTGATAGCGTAATGAAAATGTCGTTTTTTCATTTTCAGCAAAACTTAATATCTTTATATTGTCATGTTTTTTAAGAATTTCAAGAAATTTTTCATGTAAATTTAGAAGATTTTTACTCTTGGGTTGTAATTCTTCGATTTCAACGGTTGGCCGAACGATAAATGCATGGCGTATACCAAATGATGCTACAAAAATAAAACATTTAGTTTAAATCTTACTATAGGAAGCAAGTAAATTCTCGATAACAAAACCTATCGATGTAGCTCTATTTAGTGCAATCATATGAAGTGATAAATATAGATCTTTGAAGATTAGAAAGGCCTATTGAATACTCTTATTTGTTTTTAACACGAGATTTAATAAAGCCAGAAAATAAGGAATCAACACTTCGTTCATTTCTTTGTTTCAAAAATAGAATAGAGGATATTTTTAGAAGCTCAACCGCAGCAATGAGTCTTCTAAGATAAAAACTATTGCAAACTCCTATTTTAGCGCTGCTGCGTATCAGTGGCTACTGGCAAAATCAACAAGACATATTCAATCTAATAACTACTTGAACATGATAACAATTCCGTATTTTGTAAGATACGAAATTTAATTTGCGTCTATGAAAGTCTTATCATTACAGATAAAAACAAAAAGGAAAGAAGATAAGTATAGTGTCTGGAATATTTTCAAATATTCTATATCTGTAGTCGATAAACTTCTCCACCAAATATGTTGTAAAAAATTACAGATTTCCTACTAGACTTGTAAAGCAACATCGTAGAAAACATATCTATCATTGATTTAGACTAGCAATTGGAGAACTTGTAAAGCTTTCTTAAAATATACGTTTTTAACCTTACCCAATTCAGCACCAAAATGTGGTACTGAAAAGAAAACACACGCACGCGTATTTGATCTTATTTCTTCATTATCTTCATCTGTTAAAATATATTTTGTTAACAATCCACCCATTGAATGTGCTACCTTAAAATAGAGAACAGAGGATTACGAATAAATCTTCTTGTCGAATAATTCTACCCATATAATCGGTCGTTTTCCAACTCCGGCTTGTTTTAGTTGTTCAGCGATTTCTTTCGCTCGGTCATGCATTGATCGTCGAATAATGTGTCTTGGCATCGAACGCATTTGCCATTCGGAAACTGTTGATTCATAATCAACAGCTAACATGCGTATATGTGACGTTGAAATATCTTCACTTAACCAATCTTTTGGCCAACATAATGATGGCTCATCTTGATTCATTTTAGGAATAGAAGGAGGTGGCACAGCACTAGTCATTCTCGATGTATCCCAATTTGTTTCTTCACTAATCTCCAATAGTTCGTCGTTTTCTTCTTCAGTTTGTGCAACGACTACTGTCGATTTTTCTTTGGGTTTTATATCTTCTGTATGTGCAGATTCTTGTCGCCATGTTTTAAAAGCTGAACCAGCTAAACCATGAAACTATTTAAAAGCAAGAAAAGAATTTAGAAGCAGATAGTTAAATAAATTACGAATATAACATCAACGATCGGTTCTTGATGCCATCGTGCATCAGGATCCATTTGTTGAACATTATACACAGTCGGACTGAACAAAATGACCTTAAAAAAGAAATAAATTGGATAAAATAAAAAAATATAAGTTTACTGTTTCGAGCGTTACATTCACTGGACACAATATCGAACGTTATTATTACTAATATTTGCAATAGTTACCTTGTGATCATCGAATTCTTCTCGCTTATTTACTCGGACTTTCTGACAAGAGACTTCGTTCAACTCTCATCAGAAATCGTTACATAGACAAGCTTAAGCAGCAGATGTATAGGATAATTTAATAAAAATACTGTCGGACAGCAGATTCGATCCATTAACCCTATATTAGTCTTAATCTATATCGCATCCAGATTCGAGCGAATTACCTTTAAAAAATACGATGTATAACGTCAAGATTTTCCTATGACTCTCTACACAACATCGTATAGTCGACTTACTTTATCACCATAGACTTGATCATTAATCCATGATGGAATCGACGTTGATTTTAGATTTGTATTATTGGTCTGTTCTATTGAATGACTTGCATCAATATCGAGTGAAAGAATTTTCTTCTCGATATGGTTATCAAGAGCTTTATTATTTTCTACTTCATCATCCTCATCAGACACTGATCTTTTATACCATAGATAACGTAGCAGTCTATTGACGATGCTTAAGTTTTTTGATAGGGGTTCCTTTTCAAACGTCATTTCTTTTTTCTCGTCAGTTTTTTGTTCTGCTTCATTCAATTCCGTGTCAGTAATTTCCGATGATAAATTTAATGGTTTGACATTTTTGTTGATAAAAATTTTCTCGTCGTTAATTGATGTACTATATGAAATGAAAATTATTTTTTATGATACAAAATAGTATTATTAAATGCAAACTTGTCAGGTATACAACGATCAAGATTTGCTAGAATAGTCGAAGCCATCAACGAATAAATAATATTATTCTTGTCCAATAACATGTCATGAAGAATTCTTACCCAACCTATTTAATTAAATGATACGAATAGAATATTTTTATTCGAAAAAAAAAAGAAAGCTTTGCAAACCAACGGCATAGAATGCTTCATGTGTTCGATGGTCACGACTTAGTAAAAGAAGAATTTTCTCAATAAATCTTACAAATGTTATGTTTTCTTTTCGTTTTTCATATAAATATTTTAATATTTGTAAGCCATTAAAATGAATGACATCAAGTGGATAACGGTCGGCATAACCCCGAAGAGCATAGAGAAATATTGAATAGAGTTCAAGATTCGATCGATACCGTTTGATAGCTTTTGATGATAAGTCAGCATGTTCAGATTCGAAATGATGAACAAGATCAAATGCTGTGTTAGAATCGACATCATCCATATAGGATTTAAACTAAATTCAATAGAATAAAAATTCATTTTCATGCACGTACAACTATTGATTGAATGATGTTCGATCGCATAGTGTATTAACAAATGCATCTCTCTGTAATTTAGAAGAATTTGCTAAACAATTGTAAGAACTATCTTCGAATGCAATTCAAACTGAAATATTCCTTAATGAAAGTTTCCCGGAGAATCCCGTGATCTAACCAAACAACTGTTATAGGTCTGCCTATGATATACATGTGCTAGAATCTCGTTTTGAACTGTTCTTTCATCTGCATTTCTCTTACCCATTGTAGATAATGATGACTTAATATATCCAATGGACGGTTTTTTTTATCGAATAAGTTGTCAAGAAATTTTCTTATGGTATGTAGAAGTACATCATCGTCGTTTACATTGTCGACACTACCAGTAGCAAGTACTTTTTTATTTCCAATTAAAAATATATATGGTGGACCAATAGGAAATAAATTTGAATTTGCTTCGCAAGTACGAGCTAATTGAATAGCTGTGTGATAATCGAGCTGTTGACCAATAATCGAATAATATATTGAAGGTAGATTATTTAATTTAGCTAAATGACTAAGACCACGTTCACGTATATGAGCATTTTTTGAATGAGTTTGCTTTATATATTGTAAAGCTTGTTGATAAATTGTAGTTATGACTGCATCAGTTAATTCAATTGGTATATATATATTATTATCTTTATTTTTTAAAAACTTATCAGTTAAATCATGTTGTGAGTCAAGTTTTTTTGACGATAGTTTAGTGATATTGTTTCCACTTGCATCTGATTCATTCGAAGGACTTTTTCGTTGCCGTTGAATCAAATGAGCGATACCCAATGTAGCTGCTACGCTTGGTATTAGAATTGCTAATGGTTGGAATCGTCGATTCATGTCGTTTCTTGTTTTTAATGAAACCAAATCGAAATTTCTTTCTTTTAATTACTATTATTTTATATAGTTATAAACACTTTTTCGAAGAGTAGACAGACCGAGAAAAAGAACACGATCAAATTAATCACTATTTTCTTTCATACATCAAATTACTTGAGTATTCTATGGTTTTAGCATATCACCATAGGTATCGCCATTCAATAGATGGCGTATTAACTTGATTGGTACATATAGCCAGAATACATTTTTTGAAAAGTAAAATGTTCCTTGTCCTCTCTATCCATTATCTCGCGTTGTAAATATTATCCGGAGGGTATGGGTAATACACTTTGAATTATAAATTTATCTCGTAGGGAACAATATTTTTGGAAAGTGTTAACACGAAAGCCTGTTTTCTAGAAAAACAATCACGCCTTTTTACAGAGAAAATCATATAAAAACAAAATGCAAACCGTAATGTGAAGAATATCTAGCCTCCACAAAGTCTATGTGTTCCAAAAAGATATATTTCCAAAAATAATTTATCAAATAGAATCATCATATTTTCTAATCAAATTATTTGAGACTGAGAAAGCTTTGATAAACAGACATCAATAAGTCTTATACGAAATATTATTAGATATAACAATAGAATAGTTTCTAAATCTATCACCCGCTCAAAATACATGCATTTCAATATAAATTTCTTTTTTGAAAATTTTTCTTTTTTGTTTTCACCACCACGATATGCATGAGCAACGTCATTCGAATCGAAGAAACTCAACTTCGATTGATAATAAGAATAGAAAACGAAAAGAATCTGATATAAAAATAAACGACTCAAAGAAAAGGCTTTCATCAATTTATTCGCATGGAAAACAAGAGCGTGAAACATTATCATACAACGATAGAAAATGTTCGAAATTTGAATTTGATGATGCTCGATTATTTTGTGATGATTGTAATAAATTCTATGATAATATTTGTCCACATCATAAACAATCTTATATTCCGGATAAAAAAGTTCATCTTAGTTTTCATCAATAAAAACTTTCTATGTTGTGATTATTTAAGATATCAAAATCATCACTAAAACGTTCACAACGAATATGTGATCTGACTTGCCCAGATGGAATTATTATCAAAGCATCAACTATATCGAAAGCAGGCAAAGGTGTATTTGCAACAAAACGATTTGAAAAAAATACCTTCTTCGGACCCTACACGGGTACAAGACATTCAAATTTTAAAAGTGCTCAAGAATCAGGCTATTCTTGGAGTATTGCAGATAAAAATGGCCAAGTATTGTTGAGAAAAATTTTTTGTGAAAAATTTTATTACAATTTTTCCAGATGATTTATATTGTTGATGGATATGATCCTAATAATAGTAATTGGCTCCGATATGTAAGTAACTGATTATGTAAAACTAAGGTAATGACTTAGATATTTTTTCCTTTGTGCGTTTAGATTAATTGTATGTATTGAATACGCATATAATAAGATTGTTTACCAATTCAGCATTTATCTTTCGTCAAGGCCCCAACACAATTGAACAACAAAATGTACAACCTATTCAATACGATAGAAATATGTTTTATAAGACAATGAAAACTATACACCCAGGAGAAGAATTATTTGTTTATTATGGAGATGATTATGCACGTTTTCTTGGCATTGAACCATTCGGTACTGAGACAGTACAAACGAGCATTGGTAAAATTGTATTACAATTACCAAGGTTGATTACAGTTCATTTTATTTAGATGATGATTAATATTCAATTATATCATGCAATTAGAAGTGTAAGCCGACGCCTCGGTTGGCAGCGGCGACTCGAAAACTTAAATTTTTTTCGCCCATTGGTGGCGGCGACGTTTCGAAAATAATTTTTTTTTGGTTCACCGGCGGCGACTCAAATCTTTCGATGCTATTTTAAAAGATTGTCGTAGCGTTGATAATTATGTAACAAAAGAGGGAAAAATGATAGTATAAAACGTCCTCATTAGCAGTTAGATCAGAAGAATCCAAAATACTGTTTCTTAGTATCGAAAATATTCAAAAATTAAATTTTTCTACTTATATGACGGCGGCGGTGGCTCAAAAATTTAGAATTCTTTTGGTTCATCGGTGGCGACTTATACCTCTACACGCAATGCCAATAGTGACTAAGTTATTATTGTAAATCCTATTCATTCGTTTTTTTAAAGAAGAAATTTGGCAGAAGAAATTCAAAATCAACTTTATCGCACTTGTCTTATTTTAAAAGGCTTATATGTTGCCGCGAACTTATTCTCTGGTTGAAATAGAGTGGGAAAAAAGAATTGATTGATAGTTCGACTAAGCTTATAGTTCATAGAGAATTATACTCATCGTAAAAACATAGTACTGTTATCGGGCTATTTCATTTCTAACTTGAGCAGCGAAATCTTTGACGTAAATATGAATAAAATTTCAATTAGAATCAAAGCTAGATCATACACTGGCACTCTTTATGTGACAACATATCGACAGCGAAAATCAATGAAATGATTCGATTATACAATTTGCTAAAAGACGTCTTTGTTTCATAAGAATAATGAATAAAACGATGTAGTTACAAACAAACAGTATATGCATGATTTAATAATTACATCATAAAATATATAAAAGCAATTAAACTTGTAATGATAATAGATGTTTTTGTTATTTTGATTTGAATAGATGAATTACAACGATTTTCTTTACAACATACATGAGCAGAATTAAGAATACCAATATTAAGTTGCAATCCGCAGCGACGAGCACCTTAAAAAAAGAAATCGAATGAGGTGTTTTAATTTTCATAGACCGAAAACATACCGCAGCCACGTTTTGTACCCAATGGAGACGACATTTTCTACAGGTAAATTTAATAGGTGGAAAAAAAACTATATAACTGTCAATATGCATACCCAACATTCATCGTCTTCCTTTTTACATTGAACAACGCTTTTTGACAATTCTGGACAACTACCATGACAAAAATCATGTTGATAGCATTCAAGACCTTTAAAACATAAGACGAACAATTGTATTCATTGATGCTTATCTTTCAAACCTTGACTTAATGCTATAGAAAAAATTACGAAAAGTGTACCAACAAAGATACATCTTTTATTCATTATATTCTCTTTATTCGATGTGTAGAGACAAAAAATTAAGCAACAAATAGTTTTTAAACTTCTAAATTCTTTCTGTTATAAGAACGTAGGAAAGACAAATAAATACAGATGGCTTCAATTCACAAAGAGCTAAAACAAGTGAAAAGAGTTCACTCTTTATAAGCATACGATGTTTAAATTGTTTTCTTCTCGATGATGCAAGTAAATGTGTCAATATCAATATTGATAAGCATATGTCTATCGATTCTCTTTGTTTTTGATAAAATCTAACAATAGAATCCCCACAACAAATTTGATTGTTTTCTTCACCACAGCCTGCCATGGCGGTATTCGACAACATACAAATCAGTCAAAACCGATACAGCGTTGCTTGATGGCATCAGAAAATGAATTTCGACTGTTTATATACAAAACTCCGAGTGATATCTAACAAATATCATCCAGTTAAATATTTCACAACAATAAGTACGAAGTTATTCTAGTCATCTACGTACACATTTTGTTAATGGATGAGTTTATGTCTGGTGCTTTGGATGCAGCCATGTCGTAACAGAGCTCGCTGAAGATAGTATCCAAATTAGCTAGCATAGTCTAATTTTCTAAATCCTCCAATGACCACGAGAGAAACATAAAAGGGCCCATTGTACTCTGTCATAAACCAGATGCGATATCATTGTAGTGAATTTTTGGGCCTTTCTGTATGCAAAAGTACTTTATAAGCCTAGTCAACAATTGTTTTCAATATCGGAATAAGGATAGCAGGAACTGCCAATATTCAATTCATTATCAGTGTCAGTCAGTTGTATTAATGTTCGAATGGGTCTTGTTTCGTGGACGAATCCTAATCACTCTATTAGCCAAATTCAGCACTGGATTGAAACGTACATAATATATCGCCACTCCAACATCACTCATACTCAGCCACCTTAGAGCCGGTGTTGGTTTTTGTGCGCCGAACCCATGTGTTTCATTACGATGAAACTGTGGTGCAGTTACGGCGTAACTGCGATCGCACTATGACCCGTAATTGCGGAAAATTGCGACGTAACTACGCGTACCTACGATGAAAAAATTGCATTTACGGGTAGTTACGGTGAAAAACTCCCAGTTACGCATAACGGTGTCGAAGTTTTTCGCAATTATGGGTCACAGCGCCGTCGCAATTGGTACAAAAGATGCCATAGATTAGATTTTCATTTTATTTGTACTTTTATTGTGAATTTAAAATATTTTTGCGCAAAATGAAAAACTTAACTAAAAAATTAAAATTTTTATAAAAAATAAAAAAACAATTTTTAAATTAAAAATTTTTACAATAAAAAATAATTGAAAAATTAAAACCTAAAAAAATTTCAAAATTTACTAAGTTAAAAGTTTAAAAAAATTTTAATTTTAAAAATTAAGGAAAATAAAAAATAAATATCTATAAAAATAAAAATATTAATATCTAAAACAACTTTTTAAAATTTAATAATAGAAGAAAAAAAATTTAATTACAAAGAATTGAAAAACTAAAAGGATTTAAATCTAGAAAAATTTAAAAAAATAAAAACTATGTATTCTACTGCTGATAGTAGAGTGACTTATGAAAGAAAATGTAACGAGCACTACTATTTATACTGATTTTCTGTGACTATGTTTTATTGTTAGAGTGTAGCCAAACGTTGGGGAGGTTCGCACAAGATTCGAGTTTNATTTCTGGTCTCACTCAAGTCATCCCTCCAAATCTATATTCCAGCCCCACCCAAGTCGAAGAACTTTGGTCGATGACCCCATACAAATTTAACATTATTCGATGCAGAATTTCATTCTTAATTCAACACAACCATTTCCAGAACCAACACAGCTAAATTAGCGAATCGGGGCTGGAATTACTTCTACAAAATTTTCAGAAAAAGCAGTATTTTCGGATAAAGTGCCAGATTTTGATCGGTAACCCCCTTCTAAAATTACACCATTCGATTCAACACAAAATTCTGCATCCAACACAACGAAAATGAAATTCAACACAACCATATAGGCGAATCCGGGCTGGAAAAACTCGAATCTTGTGCTAACTTCCCTAACGTTGTAGCCAATTACAAATAAGGAGGAATCATTTATAATTGACCATTTATACCTACAAGAGATCGTAGGATGCGACCACTAGGACGCAGTTACGTTGATCTGTATCACAGTACGCGTAATTTCTTATAGAAATTTTCACTACGATCAATGCGCCATAGTTACGCGTAACTGCGACGCAAAATTGGCTCTGCGCGTACCTGCGGCACAGTTAATAAAAAAAGAGGCGACATGGGAACATATTTGCTCTTGGCATACCGGAAATCCGACAGAATAAAGACTTGATACAAGTTTCATAATTGATAGTCAAATAATAATTCTAACTTTGACAACATCGGCCAGATTTGATACAATATTTTTGTAGTAAAAATCTCTAGAAAGGTTAAAAGCAGATAAATTTGATTATAACTGCGTAGTTTTCTAGCCACAGGCGAGAGACCAGACGGCAAGATCTTACAAGAATCGTACGATTGATCCAGGGTTGCCAGCCGTACCACATTTGAGTATTTTGTACCTAAAACAAATTGTACCTCTGAGGTACAGATTTTGTACCCCATCTGCATTTTTCAATGTTACGACTACTATCATCCATATTTTGGTTGAAACTAAGAAAATTTCTGTCTCTTTATCCGACATTTACCATTGATAAAGATCTGAAGCGTCAATTCTATTGGTTGGCTGCTAATGGTCCTGTTTATAAAAAATTCAACAATGACATATGCCAAGAGTCCCATGATGAAGATAATCTCATTCAGAAACCGACGACCAAAAGTGATGAAAGAGAAGTGGAATTTCGGCCTGATCAATTTTGGGCAATTGAAAATCAGATTTAATAGTACTATGACATGTGAAGATTTTTTTCTTTTGCTCAAACACAACCGTAACTGATAACGTGTGCCAAAAGTCAACAAAAATACAATTTCGAAAAAAAGCGTGTAACACTTAGTGTAAATATAAATCGAGAAGGCTCGCTTTGAGTAAGCAATGTTTTATTATGATTGAATTGAATATATGTATGTCAAAATGAAATTTTATTGTGAACATATTTATTAGAAAATAAAGATTTCAATTTAAAGGCTAGATTTCATAGTAAAACGAAAAACTGAGAATGCCCTTTCCTGATTGAAAATAGTTTTCGAAATTGATTTCCGCCGCCGATGACCAGTGTGAAAGATGTAAACTGCGAACCTCACGAATGTACCCCATTTACAACTGCAGTTGTACCTAACGTGTATCCCATTCCGAAATCAGTGTGCCCCATTTGGTACCTAAACAGCTGGCAACCCTGGTTTGATCATATCTGATCTGACAAGATCAGACGAAAAATCGTACGCAAAATCGTCGTCTCTGATTTCTTACACTAAGTCGTATCAGAAGATTCTTGAAAGGTGCTGTTACCTATAGAAATATCACTGTGATATTTTAATTAGACTAATATCTCCTTAAAATATCACGACGAATTTGTATTGAAAATAAATTGCATGTGTGATCTTTAAAGAAAATATAGTATGATCTGATGCAAGATTTCAGAGACGACGATTTTTTGTCTGATGCTTATAAGATTTCGTTTGAATTGAAAGATCTTACGTCAGATTTTTCGACCTGGGCCGAGAGTAGGCGAAAAACGTTACTTAATGTATGAAGAATACCTGATTCATAATGAAGATTTTATCTGTCTGATCCAAATAACTAATTACCATATTTAGTAATAAATTACTTTTTCTTCAGACAGGATATATAAAACATTAGACAACAAAGAAATTAAATGCATTTATTTTGTTTTTATTGTCGCAACAATATAAACACACCACTGATGTACACAGGAAGCACTCGATACAGTGAAATGATAAAACAACTTTAGATAACAACGATTAATCACCCCTGTGACACGAAAAATCTAGAAAGTATATGAAAATAAACTTTGCTTCTTTTATTCGACAGTAAATAATAATTTAATTATTGAGTTAAATTGAATTCGAATAGACTTCTAGTTAAATAACAGTTTCTTGAAGAAATATATGCTTAATACTGCCCTTTGCTCTACGATAAAAAAAAGTACAAATCTATAGTTACATACACAGTTCCTTCTACAGTCAAGGAGATAATCACTTAGGAGACTTTGAAGAGCATAAAACTAGCTTTGGAGATCGCCATAAAAACTGAGTCTTTTAGCGTCTCAGGTAAGAATTTTTTAATGTCTGACGAAGTAAGAAGATTTATCTTTCTGCAAATAGTTTAACGTATCGCTTAGATAAGCTATCCAGTGAAATACTGAACTAAAAACGATGGCAAATAAAATCTATTGGAAATACTCTTAACCATTTTAGACAAAAAGGCTGAGCTTCTCTCGAAGCTTTGCATTGATAGGACACCAAAAAATTGGAAAGAGACTAGTAAAGCATTCGAAACAATCGATCAATATTGTCGTGAAATTGTTGAAAATTGTCCACATCCGTCATCGATGAGGGCTGTCTCCGATATGGCTCATCATTTAGGAGATCTCATTCAAAAACTACGCTTAACCTCATAAACAACCAGTGAACCATATGAATCAAGCGTTGCTAACTGTTATTACTCATATTGTACTACTATATACTTTGAACATGTAATAAAATTAAATTTAATATTTTGCACCTTTCAAGGAAATAAATTATTTTATCCTAATAGCCGAACTAGTTTTCACTGCTTAGAGGCACTATTATTTCTGCTTCATAAATTCATATCATTCTTACGATTACGATACGGTTATGTTTGTACTGTGTTAAATAGTATTGTCTTATTTTCTATAATAGCGACACGGAAAGACCTTAGCTACTGTGCAATAAAAAAATATGCAATCCCATTTCCAAGTGTATTTTTCTAAAAATATGAACTTATTCTGAAACTAAAACAAAACGACACCTCCAGAACATCTTCGGATTTTATTACAAACTGTGAATAATCAGGATGCTAAATAAACTATCTGAATTAACATTTTAAAGTGATTTGATGATCCATCTCGGTTTGTGTAATTATGGTTTTACCATAAGAAATTCAGGTATTCATGTTTTATTGTAAGGAGCTCTACCTCATGAAATCTGCCGACACGATGAGCCAAAGCTAATAACGCATGCCTAAGGTAAAAATAACAAGCTATTCAAGTATTTTCAGCCATGAGTCGCTCCCTGATCTATGTTGAATGTGTACCTGGTTATCAGGGTACACATAGGTGACGAAAGATCATATATTAAGTTTAAATTTTGAGATTATCGTTTGCTCAATTCAAACTATGAAACACGCTTACATTTACTCAAACCTTAATGTACACTTCGATGCATAGGTGATCACCATCGTAAATGCTACCATTTGGTACAGAATACAAATTTACATCTAACTCAACCTGTTTCAGATCGAACACAGATCTCGGAGCAAATTTGAGATGGCAAGATTGGAATATCGTGCTAACTTCACCTGAGTTTATATGTACAGAAATAGTAAGACTACATTACATCCTGTATTAAGAACACGTTCAGAATTGGGATCAACTTGGTATCGATCTGGCATTTTAATTGTTCTTGTACTCGAGAAAAAATTTGCATCAAATAGTATGACTTTGGAGATTACTTCACAAAGATTTTGTTTCTGAAAGATTTTATCGTACCCACTATTTAGTCTACTTATTGAGAACTACCAAGGCATCTTCAATTAGACTCATATTGTAGCACGTGCACAATCACTTCTGCATTGTGTATATCATTAAGAGACTTGTTGGATTTATTCCAAAACATTCGAGGACTTACCGAAAAGTACAATTATATTGCAAGCGACTATTCACTCATCTAGAAGTCTATTGAATTTACTATGGGCACTGTTAACAGCTATAGAAAAAGGCATTGAAGAATATGTCTTGCGTTAACTTTTAAGCAAATTATATTTCGAATTTAGATTAACAAGTTTCATTTAATATCAATGCTTCCGCTTAATTTTTTTTCAAATATGTGACGAGTGTTTTTGTCATTGAGAAAAGTCACGCACGTTCGATGAGTATTGGATGCAATTAATAACTTATTCAACGTTTTACATCAATTAAAATTCAATCATGACAATGATTTTATTAGAATGTAAACTTAAAATCTAGTAGTAGCTACAACCTAATCGATTGAAAGTTTTACTGGGTATTCTTTGTAGTCGAATTTCTCATTGAACATAACTGCATTCTGAATTGATGAGTACAAATATTGTTACGGTTCTATTAAAAATGTATGTTCTTACTAGGAAACTTCTGCTTGGATTTAGATTTTTCTATTTTGCATTACTAGTCAATCCTCCTGACACAAAAATTAATTGCTTGATGCAATCTTTCTAATAATAATATGGTCAATTAGGAAATAAACTTCTTTTTAATCGAAGTATTAGATACAAATCAAAGCTATTGTTTATCATCATGCGCATCATTCATGTGCCCTCATACATTTAAAATAATAATGAAGAGAACAAAGAGTCTAGTATCACAAAAGCATGCATACACATGGAAAGGAAAAAATACTACTATATGTGAAACTTTCAGCCGAACAACGGCAGAAAAATATAGTAGTAGAACTATTCTTTACACTTATTTTTTTTTATTGCCTCCTCATTGTTGCACGTGTATTGGACGCATGAGCATTTATCAGTAATTTTTCAACTTAATTAGCGTCACTGAATCCCGTCGAAGTATCTTCAAGCGATAAAAATATTTCGACAAAGCTAATTCTTTATTATACACTCAATAATTCAGTTTTTTCTAATTTTGCTTTTTATTATACAGCGTCTATTATCAAATTAATGGCCATGACATCACTCACTTCAATGAAACGATTATCTAAGGATGTCATATTTTATATTGTACTTGTTATATCTAATGAGCTATTATTTCTTATAGACTTATGTTAAGCCTGAAGATCTTACATTGGCTGTGTGTGAGTGTGATTCTTCTGCTCATCGACACTACCCCCACATCCTTGTTGGAATTCTTTGATTTCCATTTATTCCATCATTTCCTTCCAGAACCTCTTTTTCTGATATATATATTACTTTTATATTGAACAACTTGTACGAATTTCATCTTTTTTACTCGTTGGCACTAAGCTGAATGTGAAAGAAGGGAGCTAAGAGTACATTTATGTATGTTGTACTTATCAGCTGTACAATATATAGACCAAAAGAACAAATATGAAAGAAAAGTAAGTCACCTTATAACACATTTCAATTATTATACTGATTCTTTAATCTAATTTACTGATTTGTAAATATATCAATAAATCGAAGCATATTAATAACTGACCACACAGATAATGTACTGATCATTCATTTATTCTATTGATTTTATATTTATTATGCTTACTGGTCATTTTACTTATTCTACTGATCGCTTAAATGATAGCCATAAATAAAGGGGTTTGGTGGAAAAGGCAGAAAGGGAAAACGTCGAAAAGGAAAAAGTCAAAAAAAAAAGGAAAATGCCGAAATTCTAAATGTCGAAAGAAAAAATTAGAAAAAAAAACGTCGAAAGGTAAATGTCGAAAATTGCGTTTTTTGATAATTTTAACGAAAAATAAAAATTTATTCGATCATATGATAAAATACAATAAAAAAAAAAGTAAATGGAGTTTATCGGTATTATTTTCTTTTTTTGTGTCATCCAAGTAGAGGTGTAAGCCGTCAGCCGATTTTTACTGAAGCCGACGGCTGGCAGTCGGTGTTTTTGCTAGAGCCAACGTATTTCCTAGCCGACGGCTTACATCTCTAAATCCAAGTAGTAATGCTAATCCCTTCAATAATTGCTTTGCATTGAATACCAAATCGAAAGAAAAAA